CAAGCCTATTATGCTAACCAATAGAGAACAACATTTTCGAAATCAACTTATTTCTTTTTCGAAACTCAAGAGCCCGTAGTGTGAATGTGCATAATCATTAATCAATAACCAAGTCAAAAATCCAAAAGAGTAGTCGTACTTCTCAGTGTCTATGAGTACAGTCTGTATCAAAGAACACGTTATCGTTCGACTTCACTCTCTCCTGATTTTGTTCTTTTTTTACAGAAATCGAAAGTCAGGTGCATTGAGAAAGTTGGTCAAAAAAAAAGTAGGAGGGAGACGAAAATGAATTGGATCGTAAAAATTATCAAAAATTTTCTCTTCTCGACGAAAGAAGGAGCATCAATTTTATTGACCATTACTCGACTCGGTTTTATGAATTTCGAGACTTCTGTTTAGATAAGATTTGCTTCTATTTTAGGAATTTGATTCTCTTCAATCTCGTGAACTACAAAAAATTCGTGAACTACGTGAACTACAAAAATGACTTATAACTATCACTACGATTTGGCTACTTCCCAGAGAAAAGTAAGTTGATGCTTCTGAAAACAATTTTCAAACTATGACATTTTGTGGTTTTCAATGACTCGAGAACACGATTTTCAAATATTTTTTTTTTGAATTTTTACATACATAAACCACTGCATTCAGTTAGTGAGAAAGTCACGAATAATTCTTTACAAGCTCACTGGAAACGCTGTAATAGAGTGTCACCCAATCCGTCAACTTTGAGCCCATATACCGTAAACACTCTAATAGAACGCCCCACGGACCGCCCACTTTGAGCCTATATATCCCATTTTGTTGGAAAGATATCAAAACGTTGTCAATTAATAAACTGTTTATCATAATATCAGCAACATTTTATTAGTTAACCAATTTTTGATATCTTTTACAGAAAATGAGATATATGAGCTCAAACTTGACAATTCGGGTCACGTTCTTTTGGAGTCTTTACGGTATCTCATTTACTGTAAAAAATTAAAAAGTAGTCAACTGATAAACTGTTTATCATAATATCAAAACATTTTTATCAGTTGACTGATATTTGATATCTTTTACAGGAAACGAGATAAATGGGCTCAAAGTTGAGAATTTGGGCGGCACTCAATTATATAGTTCCCGGTATGAGTGTTTGAATACCGTTGCAAATATAGCATGTTTCTTTTAAAAACTTATAATAAACTCTATCTGTGAAAACATTCGAAACTCTTGCATAATTTTTCTTTTTTCCATAATGTACGTTTTTCAAGAATAAAAAAAGATAATTCTGCACTATCACGACATTCTGCCTTCTATTTATACACAAAATCTGAGTCTAAAAATAACTTTTTCTCTATTTTTAGGTGATTCTGAAGCTATTTTTCAAGTGGAAAGGCTCTCTCTGGAAAGCGATTTATCAGTAAGTGACTCAGTGTTTTATTTCATTTTTACGAGCACCACTAACTCTATTTTTGGTCTATTTTCGTCATCTCCTATCACATTTTCCATCAATTTAATGGTTTTTGCAGAGATTTGTTCATTTGGTGCTTCCTTTATGCACTTGTTTCTGTTATCTATCGATATGCTTTGGATAGAAGTCAACAGGAGTGAGTTTAGATGGGAATTTTGAAAAATGGAATGTCCGCATTTCAGCACATTTGAGAGGTTTATGCAATTTTGCAACCGTCGACTAGACTATATCCCAATCAACTTCATGCTAGGATTTTTCGTGACAACAGTTATCAACCGATGGATGACTCAGTTTGCAAATTTAGGAATGATTGACAAGTTGGTAGAAATTGTTAATTGACTAGAACATTAAAAATTTCAGCATTGCATTATTCACATCAATGTATTTGAGTGGAAACGATGAGAGGGGAAGAATATTGAGAAGAAGTATTGTGAGGTTAGATTCATCTAAGATCTTAAGACGTTCTCCAAATTCATTGTTCCAGATTTTGTGTAATGTCCCAAACTATGGTATTCCGTGATATTCACATCGGCGTCCGCAAACGTTTTCCATCATTGGAAACCATGGTTGCTGCAGGAATTATGACATCAGCTGATTTGAAGAAATACAATGAGGTTGAAAGCAGGTATACAAAGAATCTTTGGTTTTCTGAATGCGATTGAAATCCAGATATGCAAAATATTGGCTAGGATTCAATTGGTCGTTCAATTTGTTAAATGAGGCAAGAAGAGAAGGAAGAATTGAAAGTTCGTATACGCAGAATGCCATTGCAGAGGTAAGAAAAAAAATAACTGTCTAATGTAATTTAATTCTCATCTGATTGTACATTTTTCTAGCATACAAACAAGCCAATTCAAGGTCAACTAGTTCTTTGAGACTTTAAAGTATAATTTCAGGAAATCAGAACGTTCAGAAGTGGCTTATCACTTATATGGACCTATGATTGGGTTCCACTTCCTCTCATGTATCCACAATTGGTGTTTTTGGCAGTCCATTGTTACTATTTAGTGTGTTTGGTATCGAGACAGTTTGTGATAAATTCCGATGCCAAAATGACAACTGAAATTGATTTGGGTGTGCCTTTCATGACAATTATCGAATTCATATTTTATATGGGATGGTTGAAAGTGAGAATGAATCATGAATTATTAAAAAAGACAATGGATGTTTTAGGTTGCTATGGATCTTCTGAATCCGTTCGGAGAGGATGAAGATGATTTCGATTGCAATTTCTTGATTGATAGAAATCTAACTGTTGCCATGGGAATTGTGGATGATACTCATGATGATGGACCGATTTTGGAGAAAGACATGTTCTGGAACGATACTGTATCACCACTATACTCGACGGCAGCAGCTCAAAGAAATGTCAACTTCTACTTTGGAAGTGCCACAAATGCAGATTCACAGTACAAAAAGTTTCAAGCATTCCATTTAAATATTCTTAAAATTTCAGAATACCAGATAACGTTCGTCAAATTACAATGGTTCCTCATCCATTTAATGAGAAACTGGACCAAAAGAATGGGAAACGAACAAATCGACCACCAGTGGAAAGTGTTGTCGAACTGAAAAGAGATCAACGATTCTCAACAGGGAACAATAGAAAACAAACTGTAGAAGGGAGATTCTCGAACAAAATTGGAGCGATTTTCCAGAAAAGACATTCTAAGTAAGACATCCCAATCATAAGAAATTAGAATGGCTTTTCAATTTCAGGTCTCTAACCGTTGCTCCAGAAGGTTTCAATGCAAAAGCGCGTACGTCTACAGATATCGAAACACTTCCAACTTTTTTGACGAACCAGAAACCATGCTACAGTAATCCCGAGTGTATCGTAGAAGTTGGTGAGTAGGAATTCGAATTGCTTCCACTCTGGGTTGTTATTTTCATTTTAGAGGAAGAAGAAAACGACTCTCCAAAAACTTCGACAGACTCAAAGCAAGACCCTCCTAGAAAAAGAGTGAACATTTCTAATAAAAGAGGTACTCTCCATAATAGAGAAAAAATATTGATTATTTTCAGAAAGTGTGATATCTATGGGAAGATCTAGGTCATTCAATCATTTTGGAGAGCATGTGGATTATCATGACTACTACGACTTTGATAAGAAATGATGAATGCTTCAAAATTAGCTTTACAAAAAACTTGAAACAATCTTCTATTCTTTTTTAAATTTTTGGTGTAAATATTATGTGAATAAACGAGTACAAACTTTAAAGAATGTACACTCATGAGTGTGTTTTCAATAACAAGAATACAAGATTTGATTGATGAAATAGTTTATTTTTGATAAGAAAGAAATGCTTAACGGCGGGTTCCGTCTTCGAAGAAGACTCCTCCATCGATAGCGCAGTACTTTGGACAGATTCCCTTCTCTCCGGCACCTCCTGGAGTTCCAGCTTGTCCTGGGGCTCCTGGGTTTCCGTCGGCTCCTGGGGCTCCTGGGTTTCCGTTTGGTCCCTTTGGTCCTGGGGCTCCTGGTTGTCCATCGTGTCCTGGCTGTCCTGGAGCTCCTGGTGGTCCTTGTGGTCCTTGTGGTCCAGCTGGTCCTGGTGCTCCTGGGGTGATTGGCTCAGATGGAGCGTCTTGTCCTGGCTGTCCTGGGGCTCCTGGGGCTCCTGGGTTTCCGTTTGGTCCAGATGGTCCCTTGTTTCCTGGGGCTCCTGGCTGTCCGTCTTGTCCTGGGGCTCCTGGGTTTCCGTTGGATCCGGCGTCTCCGGCTGGTCCTGGTGGTCCTGGTGGTCCAGCTGGTCCCGCTGGGCATGGCTTGCATGGTGGTGGAGTGATTGGCTCACATGGTTGCTGTGGTGGGCGTCCTGGGTTTCCTGGGAGTCCTGGTGCTCCTGGCTTTCCTGGGCGTCCTGGCTTTCCTGGGGTTCCGGCTGGTCCAGCGGCTCCTGGCAGGCAACAAGCGTCGCATCCTCCGGCAGAGGCGGCTCCTCCGGTGACTCCAGCATCATATCCAGCTTGACGGGCGGTACGGTTTCCAGATGGGATGTTCTTAAGTTGGTTGACCTCGGACCAGATATCCTTGGCAGATCCCTTGCAGAAGTTGATCTCAGAGTGCATGGTTCTCTTCACATGGTGGACATAGTTGTACACCATTGGAAGGGTGACGCACACCTGGAATTAGATTTTTAGATTCTGAAGAAGAGCTGAAAGTCTGAAACTTACCGAAATGACGGCGACGACGGAGAAGGCGACGGCCGAGTAGGCGACGAAGCGGTAAGCTTTGATTCTTTGTTCGAGATCCATTTTGGAAACTGAATAATCTGTCTCTACTCGATTCTTTTATACTTGGTTCAAATACAGACTCCGCCCCTTTTCTACCTAGCCTTGGCAACAAAAAAGAAAGAAAAACTTGATCGGGTAAGCGTATGCATCCTCTTGTCTCCTGTCACTCTGTGTCTTTTCTTTTGTCTACACGTTGTAATGAACGAGGAAACGAATCAAAAAGGCTGGTATCTGTTTGAAACAAAAAAGAAGCTTTTGACAACTTTCGGGTGTTACACAACATCGGATAAGTGATCTAATCGGGTGCTGAAGAACACCTTAATCGGTAAAAATATTGCGTCGATTCCAATATCCGATGATGGGAGAAAAAGGAAAACGATGCAACCGTTTTTTTTCATTGAATGCGACTTATGAATGGATATTGGATTGTACCTTTTTGCGGAGGAAAGTCAGGTAGAAAACTTATCAATTTCCTACAAAAGAACCAATGATGTTATGTAACTGTTAAAAACACAGAACTACATCTGTATATTGTGTGTCAACAGGTCACAAGACGAAATTTTACACGCATCACCTATTTGACGAATTCAACTTGTATTCTAACTACAGGGTGGCGATTAATTAAGCAAACTTAATTTTCTGAACACCTAAAAACCCCTTTCGCACTTTAAAAGTATGGTATACTCTCAAGAGAAAAAGGTTCTATTAAAATACAACTCGCTGAAATTTTCAGAACCGTCTTATATTCTACCAATTTTTGAGACACCCAAAAGTTTAAAAACAATAATAGACGGCTCAAAATTACCCGGACTGATAAAAACGGATATATAAGTATCTCGGACGCCCAAAAATTGGTAGCAATATACATAATTTTACGTTTGATTCAAATCTACTAAAATTTTCAAAGCGATTCTTCAAGTCTAGGTATTGTTATGATTGTTCAAAGATAAATGTGTTTCTTGCATCCCTTTGTGTTTTTCATAAGATGATGAAACTTTGACAAGCGTTAACTCAGTTGAAACTTGATCAATCGATCTGAAACTTGGTCAGTTTACTGATGAGTTCTTTTAATTTACCTCTCTCCAAACTTGAGTTCAGATCAACGATTCACTCATACTCTATAATAATCCGAACTTTACTCCTACTACTAATTATGCGCCGCCGTGGACAGGAATATTGTTTCAGACAACAAAATCTTATACGAATTGAGCTGTTGTGGATGATGGAGTAGATCTACGACTTCTACGTGTATTTTTCAGATTCTTATGTTGATTATTCTTTCAGAGATACCCTAAATATCAATTCCAGATGCATTCAAAGTATTAACATCAAACTACCATTCTCTCTAGCTTCTTTCTGTTTCTCAATATGACCTAGTTCTTGTTGTTGGCAACGAATTTCTCATGAAAACAGGTGAAGCTGAAATATTGCAGATGTCCTGGCAACGATACCGAACTTTATTCTGCACTTTCCTTTCTCTTCTTTTGTGAGTTGTTTTTTTTTCTATTTTCTTCTATCCAGAGAGTTGTTTTGATCTTTTCAGCGAGCCGAAAATGAACTGAAGCTTCAATCAAAATGGGAAAAAATCGATTGATCACTACGACAGAAATGTCGACGTTCGATTGGGAGAAAATATGGTTTTCAGAGGAAACAATAACCGAAGCACGGGAGACTCTAGTTGAAGCTCTTTACATCGCACTGAGCCCAGGTACTCAACAATTAAGGTTCAGTTTTTCTTATATTGCATTTTAAGGATCCTTTCCATCTGCCTGCGTATTTGCATTTGATTGCTTCCTTACGATAGTTCACTTCATTGTCTCCAGTTACATTTTGGATGATTTCACCACCACTTTTTTGGGAACTGTCTATTTTCCAACTACGATTCTGAAATTTGCCTACGTCATTGATTGTTTTTCACCAGCACAGTGGTGAGTCATTATAGAACACTTCTAAAATTTTTCAGATATTTTATCGTTAATTTTTAGGATCCTAGACGTCACCGAAATACTGAATCAGATTTTCAACATGACCATAATTCTGTCGTGCATTGCATACAATTTCATGTGTCTTTTCGTGGCTCAGTATCGTAAGAATATTCCACTGTCAGTTTGTCGGACCGTGTTTGCTCCGATTCTTCTTTTCTGCTCATTCCTGGTCGTTGCTCCAAAATTGGTTCGAATAGAGAATATCAAACTTTTTAATGTATTTGTTTGTTTAGGTGATGGACAGATACGTCGACAACTGTTTTCAATTCACCACTCAACTCTTCGGATCTCTCTTCCTTATCGCTCAAATCTCTTGGAATTTGTACACTTTTGTATGCAAGACAATTGACAGAGGAGCAGAGAAAGCAGAAATTAAATCAGCTGATGACGTCACTTCAGCCAACGACGTCATCCGGAATGCGAACGGGAGACTTGTGTGGGCCAGTTGGTTCTCCTTGATAATAGTGATTCTAGCTATTCCACAAATTGGTAAGATACTGATATTAAATAATTTTTCGAGATGCTTCTTCCAGTTGACTATTATGTTCCACTTACCACTTCATGGATTCCTTATCACTTCCTGGTTCAGTCGTTAGTGCAACTCAATGCACTTCTTCTATCAGTCACTATCTTTTTGATACTACCAACTTATCGGTACCGTATTTTGTGATAATAGATGATGTCAATTTTCAATATTCCAGATCAGTCATATTCGGCCGATGTGTCAGTTACAACCGAATTATCAAAGTGGAAGAAATAAAAATCGAGAAAGAATCTGAGAATCCTGAGAAAGCATCTAAGAAAGAATTAGAAAAGGAGGCAGAAGCAATGGCTTATCATCAGTCCATTCCATCGGGATCTACCAACTTTTCGATTCCCCATTTCCGTCACGTGGCTATTCCCCGAATCCGAATCCCAGTGATACCTCCAATGATGGCTCATCCTAGTGGACAGATTCGGATTTTTGTGGCTCCACCACAGAAGAGATATTGAATAAAAATTACTGATGATTCTGATTAAATAAACTGTTAATCTAAACTGCAAACGCATGTTTTGGTCCCACGAATCGTTTATCAATGCTTCACCTCTACACCCGAACAGTCAAATCACTCAAAAATGAGCTCATCATCTAGTACGTCATTGGCTTCTAGTCCACATGAAAAAAACTTTATTGCCTTTTTCCATTTTTTGAATTCTCATCAATTTTGTAAACAGTAACTTAACATGTGTCATCACCATCCGCTTTATCAACCGCTAACAGGCCGAAATGTGTAATCGGTATCATTAACATGGCACACACTCTTGTGACCTAAAACCGCAACAACCAGCCCATCCCTCTTTTTGTTTTTGAGCACACTGCCTTGAAACACCCAATGTTGTCTCCTGGAACTGATAGTGAGTAATATTTCGAAAACTTTCGAAACGGAATATTCATTTGTCTTGCTCACACTTAGATAAGAAGTTAGAATAGGTTCATGGTTTTACCACATCAGCCTACGCGCTACTCGGTGATGGTATCACAAAATACAGTTGTTTTAGTTTATGGTTGCAAAAATGAATATAAAAGCAGTGTTCAATAGATAAACTATCATTTTTTACTTTTACCTCTTCGAATTTTTTATTTTGTGCTCCGAGAAATTTTAGTTTAACTAGGTGCAATAAAGGTCAATAAATTATAGACTATTTTTCGTTATGCAACTTTTTACACAATTTTATCCCCAAAAAGTATGCTTGAAAGTTCTCCATACTGAACAAATACGTTTCTTTTTCCATTGCAGTCATAGAATTTTTATAAAGTATAAAGATTTTAACTATCCCGAAAATTAGGCTCTATTTTTATTTCATAATTTTTGTAGTTTCCCGAACAATCATATAGTTTCAAAATACTTTTTCCGAAACCTGAAAGATATTAATCTGGTTATAAAAAAAGGAGCTGTAGAAGAGAAACGCCGGTGGCTGTGGCAGAAGGTCTCACAACGACAACTACCGTAACCAAAAAGTATTTTTATTTTCTCTTTTCCACTGCTTTTCGTCGAGTTTTTTGTTATTTTTTCCCAAATAATTCGGAAATAAAATGACTGGAATCGCACGAAAATCGACAAAATAAATCCGGAAAATAAAATTATTTCTAGGTTACGGTAGTTGTAGTAATGAGATCTGCAGTCACGGCCACCAGTGTTTCTCTTCCACAGCTCTGATTTGTTTGTACCAGAATAAGGAACACACCAAAATAAATCATTTTCCGGTACTGTTCGCCCTCGATGGTTTTTATTTTGATAACAATTTTCCGTTGCCAGCTCTTCCCTGATGTTAAAATTCACTATACATGGAAAAAACATCACTATACATGGAAAAGTAAACAAAAAGTGGTTGACTGTCTAGACTTTTTTAGTTTTGGCTTATTATTTTAGTTTTCAACTCTAAATGATATAAGTTATGCATATAACTTTAAGATTTCATAGTTTCCCTCAGACCTGCAAATTGGACACATACTCCATATATAGTTTATTTTCTTGTACCTGTAGTTTCTTATATTCTCTTTCATCACCCCTAATCAAACCACAACATTCCAGAGTCTTCTTACAAGGAGCAATGCAACCAACAACTCCTCTTCGACACTTTCCATATAAGGTACACAACAAGATACGGTACACCACATTGGGAAACCCATTTGACAAAGATAATGGATTTATTTTGTACATTCATCTAATTTCCTTTTCCTAGAGTTTCGGTATTATCTGCTTTGTTTATCAACGTGCCGCTATTCATGAAAAGGGGGCGTGTCCAAATGCACAGTAAAATAAAAGCGAAGTAGTGTGATCAGAGATGGAGAGATGGAGTGCGAATAGGCTTCCATGACTGAGTTGTTTTATTTCTGTTCCACAAACCATTTCAAAAACAATTTTGGTTCATTTGGATTTTTGACCTGTGATTGTTATTGGTACTACATGAATCAGTTATCAATTACTTTATTTTTAAACTGGCCATATGTACTCGTTTTGAAAAGTTGCTATCTATACATTCCAATCCTTTAAAGAACGTTTATTTGCCTTTTCGTGCTAGACACATTAACTCGGGATTTCGTAACCGTGGCACCTCCCTTTCCTTTCCCAAATAAGTACCTGGAAGACTTCTTTTCCATATTTCGTGATGATCACCCTCTTAGAATCTTTGCTTTTATTAATATGTTTCATCTTTTCAGAACGAAAACATCTGTATCCAGAAACCAATTATGGTTAATGGGTATAAAATGATGACCAACCACAATCCATTCGGTGCAACCAATCATCCCCATGATCAAATGCCAGCTGATTTTTATTACCCTCGTAACAACGGCTCTCAGTGCAGCCCTCCTTCAAACTACTCAAATTACGAGAGCTATGGGAACAATGGTGGAAATTATCAACAGTATACAGTAAGCAGCCCAAACTACCAGAACGTAAAAAATGAGCCAGAAGAAGAATACGTTGAAGACCCAATCCAACAGAAAATCACTCCAAAAAAGAAGGCAGTTATGATTTCAGCTCCAAGAAAATACAAGAAGAAAAGTGAATTGGAGAAGGTATTTCAGGAAAAGTCGGTATCCAAAATGTTTGGATTTTTCAGAATGATCCTGCGTACATTGAAGTTCGGAGTCGCAACAACCGAGCGGTACAACTGAGTCGTGAGAAGAAGAAGAGAAGGGAAGAAGCTGAAAAAGAGGCTTTCAAAAAATTGAAGCAGAAGTGTAGTGAAATGGAAAACTTGATTAAGCAGTTCCAAGAAGAAGTGTGAGTTTAGGATGTTGAAGAGTTGTCCTTTGAGAGTTTTATAAATGTCTGGAATAGACGATTTCAAGCTCAATTCATTTTTTCTTAAATTAAATAAGTTTATTTTATCCTTTTTTCATTAACCATATTTTTTCCAGGAGAGCCAGCAGATGCCAGATTCCATTCAATGTCTTCCCTTCACTCGAAAAGATGATCAATTATCAATAGATGTTTCATTACATGGATTGATGTTTTCCTAATTATACGAGTCTCTCTATACCTCTTATTTTCATTCATTCCTTTCCTATATAGGATATCATAGCCAAAGATCTATTCACTAAACTGTTTATGGTATTATCAAGTCTAAAACATCAAGACCGTCACAGAAGTGACTTTTAAAAAATCCGTTCCAAAAAATTTAGGTCATTCGCGTACAAAGTCTGAGGCTTCTCGACCCAGAAAGCAGTTCAAAGTGACAACCAGATTCCCGAGATTTCCATTTCGCACAGTTGAAACCAGGGCGACAGTACACCCCTAGCGCGTCGAGACCCGCAAAAAATAGGAAAAAACACTTTTTTTCAAGAAAACTAACTTTCAGAAATCCTTGTCAAATGGTAGCGGGTCTCGACGCAATAGGGTGTACTGTGGCCCTCGTTTCAACTTGCGAATTGGAAATTTTGGGAATCTGGTTGTCACTTTGGGCTGCTTCCTGGGCCCAGAAATCCCAGATTTGGGAACTTTGGATGCGGCATCAAGGAGTGAGCGGATAGTTAAAATGTATTGAATTATGTCAGTTGCACGAAAGAGATTAAAACCTGCTGATAGAAATTTAAAGAAGCTTGAATAATCTGTTGGTGTTCTGAAACCCACCACGTTAACGGCCTGTTAGCGGATTATTGGTATTCAAAAAGTTGCTCGAAAAATACATTTTCACTAGTCAGACACCCTAAAGTTGACAAGAATATGCTAGAAACTGGCTTGGGCACGCATGCAGTTGGCGTGCCGCTACCGTGCCGTTGCCGTGCTCAAGTGTGCCGGTTTTTTGAAATGCTTTCCTCGATCAGGTCAATTAATCACGAGATTTTCCTTAAATTGGACAGTTTATTCGATTACAAATTCAAAAAAAAAGAAAAAACGATCATTTAAATCTGTAGAGAAGATTGTGTCGAAGACGTCGAATTTCGATGAAAGCAACTTTCCTACTCCTCTTCTCCAGCTTTATTGGCCTTGGGCTTTACAAGGTGTTTCTGAAAGAAATTTAAAGATTATTGTCGGAATAAAAAAAGTGACACTCGGTTAGCGCCACTTGGGAGATCATCGGATTTACATGAGGGGGGGGTAGAAAATATGATCTCCAAGTGGGGCGCCAAAACACCACGCCGCACTTGCAAAGCGATGGGCGGAGCGCCGGTGGGGGGAGGCGGGAATCAAAGTACGTAAACACCGAGTGTCACTTTTTTTATTCCGACAATATTTACATAACTAATTGGATGAAAACTCACATTTCTTTGAGCGAATTATCTTTACGAAGATCCATCGGAAATTATCTGGCATGTTATCATCGAAGATCAGCTGAGCTATAAAACATAGGGTGTAACATTAACTTATCAAAAAAATTTTTGAACATCTTCATTTCAAAATAGTTCAGTTTTTCACATCTCGCCCACTTACATATTCAATTTGGAATGTTCATCGCTGCTGGTCGTAACCACTTTCTTCTTCTTCGGTATCCTCCATGATTTGACGAATTTCCTTCTCGTCCGTATAACTGAAAAGATTTCCGATATCATTGTTACTTGAATATCTCTCAACTCACCTATTTTCGTTTCAACGGGACATCTGGCACAGCCAACGTCTGAAAACTAAACAGAAATACATTTCATGAATGTCCAAAGAAACGTCAGAAAAATAAAACTAAATGCCATAAAACGATGAAAAATGCAAACATTTTGAAAATAAATCACAAGCCATTTTCGAAACATTTTCGAAACTCTATGGATAGAGACGATATGCGCAGGTGCTTCAAGAAAGGGCACGGCAGCGGCACGCCATATGCTTGCTAGGGGCACGGGCGCGGTGTTCCAAGGGCACTTTCAACTCGGCACGGTGCCGTTTGAATGCGGATCCCGTGTCCCTCTATGCCCTGGCGTGCCGATAATTTGCTGAGAACTGAAATTTTGACAGGAGTTCACAAAAAGTAGAGATAGTATCAAAAAGAAAAAGAAATGATAAGGTATGCACTTTTCGTCGCACGAGGTTGAAAACTGAAACTTTCATTTTATTTATTTCACGACGAAACGAATCAAGATCAACTTCTGATCGGTTATCGTTTCTTTTTTCAATCAGGCCATTTTCAAATGTTTCCCTGTGTTGAAGGTGCAATAGACATCTTCTGTTCATAGAACACAATGAATTACTTTGTAACAACAGTTGTCGTCTGTAGTCCATTTCCCCTTTCTCTTCTTTTTGCAAATTCCCCACACTGAAACTGCAAAAGTTCAACTACGCGCAGTCCGTGTTTGTTCAGACTTAGTTTCGATTCAGTTGGAATCAAACTTACTTGCGGTTGATTTTTTTGTTAGTTAGAGTCTTCTATTTTACAGAAATCTAGCATGAAATTCATTCGAATCTTTCAGTTCTGGTGACCCCTTTCAAACATTAATTTGTAATCTAACCAACTTTTTTTTGCCTTCTTCTGGGGCAATACGATCAAACGCAGATTTTTATCAATGTCAGCATCTCTCGGCCAAAAACGCGATAACGAAATAGCGGAGATCTTCGAGAACCATCAGAAGAGTGGCGAGTAGTGGACAATAAAACAGAAGATTGACTAGTTGCCAGTCGCATTTTCCCCTTGAATCGTGTACTTTGAAGAATGTTTCTGTGATCCTATATTGTTTTTTTAATGTCCACTTCGCTTTAATTTTCTCGAGGTTATAAAATAATTAAATTCATGTCAATAGGCAGCGAGGCATATTATTTCGATTTTTCTTGATATCTTTTTTGGTTAGATTATGTAAGGATATTATAGAACTTCTGTCTTTATTTTTATTCTAAAAATTCTGCTAATTTTTCACATTTCGTAAACGATTTTTCGGATTGAAGAGTTTTTGATTTTTCTTCAAAAAATAATTTAGGCCCACTGTTACGACACTCCGCCGATTCCGGGTGCGCGTTGGTTAGCGTAAATCATGTTCAACCGAAATTTGAATTTCAACGTGGCTGTCGTGGATCCTTTCCACATTTAAACCGAGAAAAATATCCACTCATGACCTAGACACTTGTTTCAATCGGCACGAAAACGATTTTTTTTTCGCACTATTCTTCTGTCATCCTCTTTATTTGTTTTCGTCTTTGTCTATTTACTTGCCCAAAACTTTAGTTTTCTCACTTTCTTCATTCAAATTGATCTTTATTCAGGTAATCACATCCCCTCACGTCGCAGAAATGTCTCCACTGCCAGAAAACACCCTTATCGGCATGTGCAATCCTTTGTTGGACATCCAGACCACCGTAGAGAAGGTATGTGAATTGTTTTCAAAATACCAGACTCATGTTTCAAATGTGATTTTCAGTCATTCCTCGACAAATGGGGGCTCAAAGAAAACGACGCTATCCTCTGCGATGACAAGCACAACGATATGTTCACAGAGCTTACCAAGGACTTCACCGTCGAGTACATTCCAGGAGGAGCTGCCCAGAATTCCCTCCGTGTTGCCCAGTGGATTTTGAATAGTCCAAACCGCACCGTCTTCTTCGGAGCCGTCGGAAAGGACCAATATGGAGAGCTCCTAGCAACCAAAGCCAAAGAAGCTGGTGTCAATGTGCAATACCAGATTAATGAAACAGTCAAGACTGGAACCTGCGCTGCCCTCATCAATGGAACTCACCGGTAAGAAACAGTATTTTCATAGAACTTGGAAACACCGTTGCCGTGCTGAAATGATTTCAGATCGCTCTGCGCCCATTTGGCTGCTGCCAACACCTTCACCCAAGACCATTTGCAAAAAGAGGAGAACCAGAAGATCATCGAGCAAGCAAAATACTTCTACGTCACTGTGAGTTTATAAAGTTTTCGAACAAATTAGAACCTTATCTCATTTTCAGGGATTCTTCATCACCGTCTGTCCACCAGCTATCATCCAATTGGCCACCCATTCCGCTGAGTTCAACAAGACCTTCACCCTCAATCTTTCCGCTCCATTCATCTCGCAGTTCTTCTTCGACAAATTGTCTGAAATCATCCCACTCGTTGACGTGCTCTTCGGAAACGAAGATGAGGCTGCTGCCTTCGCAAATGCTCATGGATGGGAGACTACCTGTGTCAAGGAGATCGCCCTGAAGGCTGCTGCTCTCCCGAAGAAATCCACCAAGCCAAGACTTGTGGTTTTCACTCAAGGACCTGAACCAGTTGTCGTTGTGGAAGGGGATAAGGTTTGTATTTTGTACTGAATTCTTTATGCTCGGATAATGATTATTTTAATTATGCTCTTTTCAGGTCACCGAATACCCAGTCACTCGTCTTCCAAAAGAAGAAATCGTCGATACCAACGGAGCCGGAGATGCTTTTGTCGGAGGATTCCTTTCCCAATTCATCCAAGGAAAGGGAATCGAGGCTTCCGTTGCTTGCGGGTCCTATGCAGCTCAAGAAATTATCAAGAAGCACGGATGCACTGTGCCGTCTGTATGCAAATATCACTGAATGATATCCTAAATCTGTGATTATTACTGTCATTGGTTCAGAATTCTATGTCTTAGTTTTTCAGATTGTTACTCGTTTTACTTTTCATTCCGTTTCTTTTCGCAAAGCTCCAACTTTCGAATGTTTACTTTTGGTGGTCTTTTTACTCTTTTTTTTTTGAAAGTGCCTTTATTATAAAATCAGGTTTCAAATATATAGGTCACTCATTTTTCATTCTTCTTCTAGTATTTGAATAGGAACCCTCCTCCCTTTCGCGATGTAGTTCACAATATCCAGAATCACAACGACGCTACCCTTTCTGTAAGCTGATACGTAAAACTGGAAACATGTACTAGAGCCTACAGTCTTGGAAGATTATGCAACTTCAAGTTGTCAACATCCGATGGACGAACACGACGGAGTTTCTGTGAGCGCTTGTGATCATGGAAAGCATAAAGAATACCGCATGTTCGAATGAGCTGTTCGTAAGAAAGATTTTCAAAATTCTGGTGGATCACATCTGTCAGAACTTTTTTCAAGTTTGTTGACGTCGTTGATCTGATAGATGAGATTGGCCTAAAATTCGTGAATTAAGGTTTTCAAGTAAAACTATAATAATGCAAACCTCAATTTTCCTCGGAAATTCTTATCATCAATCACAATGACTTTCACAGAAACCTTCTCAAGATCATTCAAACAACCAACAGACTCCAGCTTCTTAGGACGATAACTCTTCGATGATTCGCAAGTTTTTGTCGCGGACTTTTCGGATTCCGTCACAGTAGAGTTTCCGTTCGAAGACGTCGAATCAGAAGAAGAAGTAGTGGAAGAGGAATTGGGTTTTTCGTTTTTCTCACATTGAGAACGGCTTCTAAGATCTGGGGGAAACGGAAGCTCTTGATAATGGCTTTCGACCTGGATCTTCTGCTCTTGTGGGATTGTTTCTTTGCTTCCTTTTTTACTGAAAAATGACTTCAGATTCCCAAAAGAGTAGCCCACTCACAAATCACACGCTTTACCCATCTTCTTCGCTTTCAAAGCCAGCATGATCTCTGAAGTTTTGATTGAATTTCAAAAAAAAATTGCAATCTCACTATTTGCTTCTGTAACTGCAACTCTATATTTCTCTTCAGCACCATGGCTAGGATCTTCCCAAACTAGTGCATACTGATATGTTGTTCTGGAATACACTACTAGGATTCAATTAGAATTATCAACTTATTTACTGATTGGTTGGAGCATCATACGCAATGCGAAGTTCAGCTGATTTCGTTTCGTTTCCAATTAATTCCAAACATTTTGGAAGTAGCTAAAGTTGAATAAAAGTAAATTAGGACATGTTTTAGAAACTACCATTTGAAGATCAGAGGACGAGATGTTAGAATTCGGCTGAAATTTTTCATGAAAACCATTTATTGAAGTTTTACTCCAGCCAGTCTCTCACCTGATTAGATTGATTTGTTGCAGCTGCACTCATCTTTCTTTTACAATCCGACTGTGCAGAGAATCAATCGTCGAAACAATCGAGGAGATATTCAGAAATAGCTACTATTTGTCGACTACTCGGTTTTTCATTACTTCTACGTGGTTCGTTGAGAAAGTTCAGAACCTCATTAATGTGATCCAAATAAAACTTTGGAGAACAGCATTGTATAATTTTAAATTGAAGATATTTTCCTATTGAAGCGATTTATTGATAATTAACAGACACACTAAACAAAGTATTAACTAAAAGATAATCACTCGATACGTAGTTTCTTCTCCTTATCTTCCACTTCTAATTGCATTCGTTGTTCCCGCTGAGATGGTGACTCGAGAACCTTCTGCCTTGCAGATTGCCAACTCTTCTCATCTCCACTCCACAATCGTTTTACTAGATCCTCTGCTTGATTGATTGTGTCATTCAGTCCGAGTAGAAGAGGATTCTCCTCAACCTGAAAATGAAAATTTCGAAAACTTGAAGCTTATAGTTTAGCGTACAGTATCCCATCCTTTGAGGAGCGCCAATGCTCTACCGTATTCTTTGTCAGTCACAACCATGTCATCAGGTGGATAGAGAGCAGCTCCTACATACCTTCCTTCTGCGTTCAAGAAGTTGAACGTGGCAATAGCATCTTCCTGAAACAAAATCAGATTTGAGTTCACCAATTTCCTCCTCTCCCTACCGTATCCATAATCTCTAAGCCAATTTTGTGCTCACGAAGGAATGGTGCCACCTTTGCACGAACTTTATCAATGTTCTTCTTATCACCCACACCCAGCACAAGAATGTCGATTTTAGGTTCGAGAGCAGCAAAAAGAAACAATGATCGGGGTGTGATATCTTCTGGAGTTGGAACACGCCAGGAGAGAGCAGTCTTCGGAAATAGAGCAATCGGACCGTACCTAAATATTTTTTAATAATAGGTTTTAAAGTTCGATCCATCCGGCACGTACAAGAATGATCCATCCAAAAGTCGAAAACCATAGCACGATAGTCCACGAACGCCGATCTGTTTTGCTTCGAGCATTTCTGTCGATAGCATCGAAATCCGACTACGGTCAGTCATGTCCGACTCTCCAAGTGGATTGAAATGGTAACCATCGAGGACTCCTGAAGTTTATTTTTTAGTTCATATATGGTCTTTCTTCAAAGTTTTTTTTCAATTTATACTTCAGCTAGTCATCGATAACGTGCGCGCTACACTGGACTCTTCAATTCGAATTAAGAAAGTGCGCTCTACCGCAACAAAAACTGACGAGGCTCTGAAATTTTATTCTCATAGATCTCACTGCGTTTATTTTATATGCACGATTATCTTCGACTCGTGAGGCCACCAAACCATTGAAATTTTCAGAACATGAACGAAAATCTGGATGGAGTTCTCAACGCGCTACTTCACAACGAAAGAGAAGCAGCCAGAACATTTAAAGTTGGCGATGAAGCAAAAAGATTGAGGAGAGAAGATATCGTAAAGAAAAGAGTGAGTTTAAACTTTCCGATTCAGCTTACATTGAAAGTTTCAGCGAAATACAACATGGATTAATCTTGGTAAAATGGTATGTTCTTTGACACTTGAAGAATTCGGTCTCGTTCCCAAATCTTCTATCCAACCAAAGATTGATGTGTCAGAAATCTCAAAGAATTGACTGGCGATGAAGTGGTTTCGAATGTTTTGGGTTTCGTGAACACTCTCAAAGACGCTATGGGACATTACACAAGAGGAACGTTCGTTAAAGATGCATTTGCTTTAACAGGAGCCCTGTGCGGTGTTGAATCTAATAAAGTCATTAGTTCGGATCGAAGAGCTAAGAGGATGAGAAAAAGAAAACATGAACTGATCTCAAAGAAAGAAATTCGACAACAACGAGTGAGTGCATTGATTACTGTAACTACTTTCTGATTTGATAAGGTAATGAAGCAACTTCTAACTTGGTTCATACTTTTTTAGGACTACGATTCTGAAGAATCATCGACCGACGAAACAATTGTGAAGAATATGATAGAAGACCACTTTTTCCAGATAACTAAGAAAGGAAAAGATGAAAAGCAAAAGGAGGATTCTATTGAAGAAGATCGAACAAACAAAGACACCGTTAAATGGTATCCCAAGAAAAAAAGAAACAGAACAAAGGCGAGAGTATCAATTAGGAAATCCATCTGAAACGAAAATTTCAGGTTAATCCTCAAAAGAAGCTTCTTAAAGAGATCGATGTTCACGAGGATCCAGAAACTAAGATTGCTAGAGCGATTGCAGAGGAAGCGGAGAAAAAGAAGATCAGAGAAAATGAAGCGAGGAAGAAGGTTGGCTGAAGTGAGAGTAATTCGATAAATTAAAATTGTTATAGAAAGAACAAAAGTGGATAGAATTGGGTCAAGCTGTGTGCAGTTTGTCAGCGGATGATTTCATTCTACCATCTGATGTCGCTGAGAATCCGGATCATAAGCCTGACCGAAGCCAGCGTGGCGAACCAATTGTAGTTGCTGTTGCTTCGTTTATTCAATCAATGAAGGCACTTGTTGGAAACAAAGCCGCACACGATACGGTTCTTGCAGATCAAAGTGGTATTGCTGCTGCACTTTGTGGTATCCATAAGTCTGCATTGACTGCACGATTTTCATTCAAGAAAAGTAAATTTGATTGACTATGTGTTATAAATGAATCAGTTTGTTGATTTGATAAATATCTTTTTTCCGAAAACTTGTCTCTTACCAGTGTCTGCTCGATTAGCCTCCCTATTTCCCCCTGTCTTATTTGTGCTCAGAAATCGTCGGATGGACTTTCCCCCAATGAAAACTAAACTTCTGTTCATTATGCTGTCTGGAAAATTCACTTTCTCATTCTTTCTCGCTCAATTTTCAGAATAGTTTCTGGTTTCCGCAACCATGGAAATAGAAATCATTAAAAAGGATTTTACTGATGCTTCGAATATTTATTACGGTCTTTGGAATGATCCAGAAAAGGCACAATGCAAATTGGGATGATCACAGAAAAATGAGGAATGTTTACATAAGATGTTGATAAAAATAAGATATCACTGAATTTATGTACATGGTGAAGCTTCTATTCAAGGTTCTCGATGTCTGCTAGTTCATCAGCCAGCGATGCCTCTTTGAAGTTGGCTGGAGGTGTGGCGTAGCCAGAAGCGGCCTCGGACGTCGTTGTAGTCGTCATTGAAGTTGCAGAAGTAGCACTCTGAAAACAAAAATGTGTCATGGGGGTTCTTTTTTGCTGGTTAACCTGTTGCCATGATGGAATCGATGAAGATACACTGGGTGTCACTATGGGTGCAAAATTGTGTTGGCTGAGAAGTAAACTCTTGATCGTAGAAATTCCGCTCTGAAAATAAACTATTTTTTATACAAGCATCATAAAAATCGAATCATTTACCTCTACTCGATTCAAATCTGCATCTCTGTTGGCTACGGAATACAGTGCTCTAGATATTTCAGCTTGTTGTGTGGCAAGTTGTTGTGTCGTCTGAGAGACCGAATCCATGATGAACTTGATCGAATTCTGAAGATCGTTGACTTGCGACTGCAGCTGTCGTATCTCTTCGGTCGCTGGATCAGGAATATCAAAGAATCGCGGAAGAATATAAGATCGGACAAATCGATAGCCAGCATACGAGATTGAACCCAAAACGACCGCCGATTGAGCGAATGAAACGATGCTGAAAACTATTTTTGATTATAAAAAATTGAATAAATGGCATAATTGACATACCCATTCTGTTTTGATTCCATCATCATCATCATTGGTGGGTTCCCATGATCCATTCCGATCTGGCTTCTCAGTTGTTCTGGTGGAATAGACGCTCTTGCCTCCAAAATTTCTGCTTCCGTTACTCCTTTTCCTAACAAGAATTGTCGTTGCTCTTCAAACGGCGTCTCTTTCACTTTAGGCGTTAGCATGAATTTCCGAGCAGCTTCTACCATATCTGGACGGGTGGGAGAAGACGTTGGATCTGTCATTTTGCGGTTCTGAAAAGTAAGATTTCTGTCTGGAAAAAAATCGATAAGCTAAAAAAGAAATCAATTGGGAAAGAGTCACCAATGAATTGTAATCGAAAAGTCAACAATGTTGGAGCCCGACTGATAAAACTTTATCACAACAATTTAACATTTACAGGTTGAAAACTTTTTGAAAACTGAACGTATACTCGTTTGGTAAAGAAAACTGGCAGAATCAGCTGAAGAAACAATTTCCCTAATACAGAAAAAAAACAGATAAATATGTAGTTTACATTCTAATTACATACAAAAGTTAAAATAGATCTTTTCAATCATTTGGACTCGACAAGATGCCCACGAAGAATATCCAAACTCTTGTAGAGGGCGTTTGAGAAGGCAGCTGCATCGCGTTTTGACTGAAATTGAAACGGTAGATAGATAAGATATGAATACAAAATAGGAAAGATAAGATATAATTGAAACAGGAATTGACCTTATTGCTGGAAATGACAGCTCCCAACTTGCTAGCCACAACGTTGTATCCGATACCGAATCCATCAGCCACAACTGGTCCAAATCCTCCAAACACAATAGTTTCTGTGGACAAAGTACTTGTTGACAAGACGAAGTGATTCATTCTGTTGTATCCAGCATCTCCGAAGAAGTCTGGTGTCGGTTGACTGAGGCGTTGAGCCGTGATCTTGAGACCAAGCAAGTGACGATCGTATCCTTGTCCCATAGATGCTTCCTTGACAAGTTGGAAATGCTGTGATGAGCAATCTGTCAGAAGTTGTCGGATATCCTTACGATTCTCTTCAAGAATCGCAAGTGTTGCGGTGCGAGTTGCTGCAGTGGCAGATCTAAAAATTCATATTTGCTTGATTATAAATTCAGAAACATTCCTACCGCATACATTCGGTTCTTCCTTTCAAGAAAGCAGCTGTGGAGCAGGATTCATAAGTTGGAACAAACTCTTTATATAGGGAGTAGAATGCCATTTGAATAGCGAGCTGCATCACAGAATCTGGAGATAGCTTCGTCTTCTTGATCAAATCTCTGTTAAGTCCCTCATACTCCATGGTTGCAAAATCAAGATCTGAATTAGCATTGACGTGGGTCATTTGTGCTTCGTGAATCTTAGTTTTCAAAGAATCGGTCAGCTTGAAATTCAATGTTTCGACATGAGCAGGGTTGTGAGATTTCGGTTGATCATCAGAAGAGACAAAATGGTTTTTGTTAGTATCTTTGAACGACTCTTCCATTAGACGAAGAACAGCAACTCCATCTCCCCATGAGTGTTCGAAGTTGATCGTAGCTTGTCCGTTGGCTGAAAATTGAATATTCTAATGCAATAATAACTAGAATTGGTTACCATCTACAATAGTCTGGAAGCACTTATCAAACCAACGGTTACGGGCATCGTCACCAATGAGAAGAGATTGAACTAGCCTGTAAAAATTCACCGATAAATACCTATTAAGAAACAAACGCATTACCGTTTGTGTTCCTCAGTTTTCAAATCATCAAGACACATGGCAAAAAGACCTCCGTCAATCTTTTTCAAATATTCTTCGTTTCCGGCATTCTGGAGTTCAACCCTGGCGTCCGCCCATGAATCACGATCCAGAGAAGTCAATGAGCCTGAACAATAGTTACAATATAAACTACAAATAATTTGAAAAAAACATACCGACACTTTCTTCTGGTTTGGCTTCTTTGCCGTTTTTCAGAATCCACGCCAGAGAGCCATGGACGTCTTCTGCATCCAAAAGCTTTCCGGAGTCATCGAAAATTCTGACAGCGTACGGGATTCCTTTGTAGAAGGCAATAAAGTGTTTTTGAGTGGAATCCTAGAAAAAAATTAAATGAAGCTTCACAGTTCCATTTTTCGAATTTACCAAATAGAGAACGTCTTTTTCCTTCTTCGGAATTCTAGATCCACAAAACAACGACTTGTACTGCGACATGTCCAACGGGAAAGCCTTGAATGCGACAGCACCGAACCATGACAGACTTGGTGGGAGGGTTCTATGAATAACACATATTAAAAGTTTGAAAAAGAAATATATAAATTTACTTGCACACAGTTCTGAACAATTTGGTATCACTTTTCTTTGGATTCATGTGGAAAACCTCTGGACCAAGGAGGTTTTCGTCGAGTGATCGCTTGATTCTTGCATAGGAAATAGCGAGGTTGGTAGCACGGGTGAGCTGAAATTGTTTCAGTGAAAATCGAAAGGAAAAATTATTCAATGAAGAAACTTTATAATATTAGCCAAGATTTCTAAACCCTGGAATCTCTAGAAAGATGAGTTAACATCAGAAGAAAGAAGTAGAGGTAAGGCTACACTGTACCCTCTCATTCTGGCTACACCTTGTAATTTTCCCTAGTTGTACTTTACGACTACACGTAGTCCTCGACGGATAGACTACGTTTGCTATTAGGAAATATCTTACTGAAAAATTACAAAAAAGCTCACAATCAGTTTCTAGATGTTATTTCAGAGCCAAAAATATAAATACCTGGTCGTTGAATTTCGGGTCCGGATCAGGGGCATACATCATGAATGGATTGTAGTTCACAGCTACTGGAACTCTAGCTCTCAAGTACATATCAAACCATGGCTCAGAGATATAGCTGGTATCGCGATGGGCTTTATCATATTCCAGAAGAGCTTCTTGAAGCTTTGGGCCTTCATTTGTTTCGAAGGATCTGATTGATGCTTCGGTTTTTGCATAGGCCTCTGAGGATAAAACCGCTTTCGATGATGTAAGGTAGCTGAAAATTAATCTGGTAGGGACACATTAGCCATTTTTAAAGAGAATGAATCTAACCGGTTTACGGTATCTGGAAGTTTTGGAATGGGAAGACGTCGAAGAGACTTTTGAAAATGGTAGGATGGAATCTCGGACTTCTCCAAGTACTGATAATCATCACCAGTCAACGCATGTTTACCACGACTCGCCGCGATCGATCTGCACAAGTTTGATGAGCGAAGCATCTGTAAACAAGATTTACTCAAAGTAAGACTGAAAATCTAAACGACAACAAATGATAAATAGGAGACACAAATGAAAATCACGAAAAGATAAACTTTTAGTTCAGAATATGGAAGAAAAAACTAACTGTGTTCTATGAAAAGACACAAATGATATGAGAAGTGAGAGATAACGGGCCACACCGGACCGAATGATGGACTTTGGACCGACACTAGAAACACGCCAGCAAGAAACGGAAAGTGCGCAAACGACGGCAAATGCGCCTACCCTAATTTTTTGTTCGTTTTTCATCATATTTTCTTGTTCTTTTTAATGGGGTTATGCATGATTTGTTTTTTAAATACAAAAAAATACGAAAAAGTACATGAAATACATTTTTTCGCATGCATGCATTAATTTTTTGTGTTTAAAAATTACAAAAATACATTTTTTATGTCATGCATAACCCCATAAATATTTTCTTCTTTTTTATCTATTTTTCCATTTCAAAATTAGCTCATAGAACTTTAAATCATACTTGTAACGGGCCGGGCCGGGCTTTTTCCAGAATTTCGGACGCTCGGCCTGGCCCGGCGGGCCCGTCATTTCACTAGTTTCGAAATTTTCAAAAAACACATAAGGGGGGACCCTTATGTGATTTTTTTCGACCAAAAATTTTTTTTCGAGTTTTTCGATTTTTTTTGATCTGACAGACAAACAATCCGAAATACGAGAAAAAAATTGAAAAAATTATATTGAGAGCTCAAAATTTGGCTCAAAAATACAGAATTTTTGACACCGGGCCTTCCGGACCGGGCCCGGGCCTTGAAAATTTCCTCAGGCCCGGCCCGGGCCCGGGCTTTGGCGGGCCGGCCCGGAATTTTACAAGTATGCTTTAAATTACTGGGGAACATCTGACTGAATCGAGATCCGATTCCATTGTTTTCGGAAGTAGCAAGAAAATGATTTATTTTTTATTCAGCTGAATATCGTTCTTGTCTTCTATTCAGTTCGATGTGAATGAATAAAATAAATATCCAGATTGCTGCTATAACTCGGAGACCGTACGAAAACGGGTGAAACAGAAAAGCAGTTTTCGAAAAGTTGACTGTAATGCCTAGATATCTGATGATACCTTTTTGTTTCTTTTCTTAATTTTTAAAAATGTTTTTCGGAGACCTCGATAAATTATAAATGTTAATTTTTCAGAAAATGTTCCGCATGCAAGGAGCCCCACCAGCACCACCACCGCTAAAGACTCGCTTCGAAATCGTCAACACAGTATACAACGATCCATTCTTCTGGTACTTTTTATTAATGCTACAATTATTAAATAAAAATCTTTTTTCCAGGAGCGTCTTCAAGGGAGTAATCGGATTCGGTGTAGGAGTCGTCGTCGCCAGATCAGTCAGCGAAGAATGGGCAACCGTCGTTTAATTTTCTGAATCTCAAATGCGTTGTTTTTGTTGTTTTTTTTTCATAGAACGAGTAGAAAGGTATTTCTAATCAGTAGTGAAACACGGAATAAGACAACAACAGCAAGATCTCAACCAATTTTTACATTTTTTATCTCCAATTTCGGATTCAGAAGACCATCGTCGACGTTCACTTTGACTTTTACCAATTTTCTGAATTAATACAGCACACTCCTCGAAAACCTAAATCGAATCATTGAGGTACTCCTCATGTAGTTTTCAAACCTCTGAGACATTTTGGTTCAGTCGAGCACTGGTTTCAAAATATGGAATCCTTAGCTTTCGAGCGAAGTTTTGTGCATCAGATTCTTCTACTTGCCTGGTTTCTGCCAAATCGGACTTATTCCCCACTAGAACCATTGGAACCTAAGTAATCAAATTTATCAGCTTCCATAGCTGCTTTTATCTCACATCTTCTCCGCGAATCGTCAAAATATCTAGAAAAGTCTGTTTCAAGTTTTCGAATGTAGAAGTTTCAGCCAAGGAGAAGACGAGGACGAATCCCTGTGCTGTTCGGTAGTATGTTTCACGCATTCCGGTGAATTGCTCCTAGAAAAAATTGTTGTGATTACGGTAAGTACTGTATTATTTTGGTATAAAAAAACCTGAGCGGTGGAAGAGAAATAATGGTGGCCGTGGCCAAACTTCCGACAACAACAACTACAGTGACATAATAATAGTTTTATTTTCTGGATTTATTTTCTCTTTTCCAATGCTTTTCGGCGAGTTTTCTGTTATTTTTCCCCAAACAAGTCGGAAAAGAAAATTTTTTTAAGGTTACAGTAGTTTTCGTTGTGTGGCCTTCGGCCACTGGCGTTTCTTGTCCACAGCTTTGATTTTTTACATACCATCATAATAATCTTTTTTTTATCGGTTCTCCAGGGAAATTCATTTTTAAAACATACCGTTCCCGCTGTATCTAAAATTTCGAGTCTGGCATTTTCAGCATCTACTTTGGACAGTTTTCTGTACGAGTCTTCAATTGTAGCATCATAATTGTGAACGAAAATTCCTTGAACGTATTGAAGAGTCTGAAATGGCACATTTTGATTTTTTGGCTTACCGTAAAGCCTGTAATAGAAGGGCCCCCACATGTCCGGTTTGAGATCAATTATCTCCATTATTATGCAAGATATCAAAAATGTGTCAACTAACAAAACACTTGTGATATTATGATAAACAATTTATCAGTTGGCAACTTTTTTATATCTTTGACAGGAACCGAGATAATATGGGTTAAAGTTGAAAGCTAGGTGCTATTACAGGTCTTACGGCATTTTGAAAAGACCTACCAGAGCACTCTTTCCCACTCCACCGTTTCCCAATACGACGATTTTGTATTCTTTCATTTAGAATCAGATTGGGGATTGCAAGAAACGTTGGAGAAACTCTTGGTGAAAAAAGTTTCGGAAAAAAGAACTACAGTCTGAAAACAAAATTTGTAAAATTGGAGGTTTCATAACAACAAAAGAATTGAGGAAGTGTCATTGATATCATCTGATTCTTACAGAAGAATTGAATCAGAATGAACATGAAGGAGGGCAAGAAAAAATTGAATGTGATTACACATACAGAAAGAAGAAATTGAGGAAAGGGGGAGAAAGGAATGAAAAAAGAGACAGGCTTTGTAATTCGGTTTCCCCTCTTCTTATTTATATTTTTTTGTTAATTAGCTACGAAACGAATAGTCGAACAAGGATGGGTTTCATTAAATGGTTTCGGTTTCGTATTTGTTCAGAATGGACATTCACTTCCTTCTCTTTTAATGATGCAAATTGCCTTCGATTTAAAAAAGAGTGGAATTTCGTATAGAGAGCGTTTGTAGTTTTGTGATTGAAATCTAAACTTTTAATAAAATACTGAAACATTATAATAGAAGGGTTCCCTTATTATTAACTTTGAGTCAATTTAAGATAAACACTCAATAGAGGGTCACTCAAAGTGCCAACTTTGAGCCTATATATCTATGTTCCTGTGAGAGATATCAAAAAGTAATCAATTAAAAAAATACGTTTTATATTATAACGAACATTTTGTCAGTTGACCACTTTTTGGTATCTTCTACAGGAATCGTGATATACAAGCTCAAAGTTGGCGGTTCTGGTGGCCTTCTAATAGAGTGTTTATAATCGTATACGGTATACTGTAAACAATATTGAAAAATGTCAATTAATAAATTGTTTGTCATAATTTAAAAAATATTTTGACAGTTGACACATTTTTGTTATCTTTTATAGGAACTAATTGTAGGATAATTGGGCTCAAACTCGACAGTGTGGGTATCCTTCTACAGTGCGTTGCAGGTTCTTACGTCCACCCATGTTTAGGGTTATAACTTTTGAACCGTTAAAGTAATCAATCTAATCTATTCATAATCGGATTTGGGACTACGAATTACATCTAGTGGCCAGTTTCTGTGATGAAACCTTAAAAAATACCCGAGTTATCTGGAAAAGTCTGAAAAAGGGCCTTTTGCAACCGTTGCAAGTTTATACGTCCACTCCAAAGATCGGTAGATCATAACCTCCAGCGAAGACGAAGGGGTCTAATTTTGATCCTGTACATTTGAAATCATTGTAAAAAGCTGTTTTCATTACTTATTTCTTTTTTCTTTGACTTTTTATCATGTCATGGGATCTTTTGCCGACTGATGCTGGAAATGCTTCAATCAGCACAGTTAGAGCAGCTGGATGGACCAAAAAAACTATCACAAAGCACCTAAATCAATCACACTGTCATACTGACTGTTTTCTCATCCAAAAATTAATGAAAAAAGACACGATCAAATCCTGCATTCAAGATCCCAACTATCTACCATTACTGTCATTTTAAACTCTTTGAAGTCGTGTAATGGTATCAATTAGGAGCTGGACATTTAAAAAAAACAGTCACGCTCTCAGCTCCTACACCTACCGACGATCACGAAGTACGTTGCCTCGTCTTCACCAGTAAGTGCATCGGACCCAACTGGGGGAAGGTGTTAAAGTTTAACATGATCTATCAAAATGACCGTAATCGATATGTTTTTTACTCTAAAAAAGTATCTTTCAAAATTATCACCGTTTATACCTCCCCCAGTGATGTCCGATGCATTTACCGGCGAAGTCGAGGCAACGTACTTTGTGATCGTCGGTAGGTGTCGGAGCTGAGAGCATGACTGTTCTTTTGATGTTTGAATCATCATCGAGACATCTCTTACCTGTACATTCAATGACTTCAAGTGTCAGCTCCTGGTTGATACCGTTACACGAATTCAAAGAGTTTAAAATGACAGTTATGGTAGATAGTTGGGATTTTGAACGCAGGATTTGAGCTGATCGTGTCTGTTTTCATTATTTTTTGGATGAGAAAACAGTCAGTATGACAGTGTGATTGATTTAGGTGCTTTGTGATAGTTTTTTGGTCGATCCAGCTGCTCTAACTGCGCCGATTGAAGCATTTCCAGCATCAGTCGGCAAAAGATCCCATGACATGATAAAAAGTCAAAGAAAAAAGGAAACGTAATGAAAACAGCTTTTTACAATGATTTCAGATATACAGAATCAAAATTAGACCCCTTCGTCTTCGCTGGAGGTTATGATCTACCGATCTTTGGAGTGGACGTATAAACTTGCAACGCCTCGACTTACAAAAGGCCCTTTTTCAGACTTTTCCAGATAACTCGGGTATTTTTTAAGGTTTCATCACAGAAATTTGCCACTAGATGTAATTCGTAGTCCCAAATCCGATTATGAATAGATTAGATTGATTACTTTAACGGTTCAAAAGTTATAACCCTAAACATGGGTGGACGTAAGAACCTGCAACGCACTCTATTACATGTATTACAGTAAGTTGGAAATAACAAACTGAGGGTATGTGATAAATACTGATTTCTTACTAGTTCAAATTATTAGAATTTTCTTAACTTTCACAAAATTCCTCTATTTGAAGCTTACTCCAATATTTAAAGAGCCTGATCAAGTATTTTGCCGGTCAGACCTGTTTTTTACGGTTAAAATCTTTTCAATTAGAAATTGGGAAATATTTTTTGCATGAGAAGGTGTGAACAACTATCAATAACTAACAAAAATAGAAAAGTAGGCCGTAGACAAATAACTTGTTTTTCAATTTTTTGGAAAATTTTCGAAAAGAAAATCAGCTTTTGTACAAGCAGCTGGGTATGGTTGAAAGAAACAAATTCCTAAGAAACTTTTGATTTGTGTAAAACAAGTTTCTAGTCATATCTAGCTTAAACTTAACGGTGTTAAGTTAACACTATAAAAATCTGGGGAACAAAAAAGGAGAAGAAGAAACAACTATCGTCAGCTAGATTCGGTCATTAGTATCAGTGATGATATGGATATGATAAGAAACGAGGCCATCATTCACAGAAGAAACGACGATGACACAATATGACATTCGTCCGTTCCAAACACATCTCTTCATTGATTTTATTATTTTTATTGTATGTCGAATCATATGTTTGTTTCAACGGGTATTTATGTGAATCATTTTCTCTATCTGTCAATACTTTTTGAACTTGTTTTTTCGAGACCGAACAGATAGAGAGAACGGGTCGTTTCGAGAGAAAGGATCATTTCCGGTTTATAGTTCAAATGCGCATTTATTCATACCTTGCAAAGAAACATTGGAAAAAAGACAGAAATATAAAATAATAAATATCGGTGTCAATTAAGAAAAAGAGATGTTGAATATCAGAAAGTTCAATATCAAGTCGAAATCCGGGATAGGCAAGAAAGGTGGGAAAGAAGAAGGTGGGACGAATACCGTAAAACCTGTAATAGAACGGCCCCACACTGTCAAGGTTGAGCTCAATTATCTCAATTCCTATGCAAGGTATTGACGTCAACTGATAAAATATTTTTAGCATTATGATAAAGAGTTTATTAGTTGACCACTTTTTTATACCTTTGCCAGGAACCGAGATAAATTGGCTTAAAGTTGAAAGTTAGGGGGCCCTTCTGTTACAGGTTATACAGAAAGAAATATTCAAAGATACAGTAAATATAAATTAAAATGTGCTTCAAACTGCCTGCACTTCATCGGCCTTCACAAATTCTTTTTCTTTTTCTTCGTTCTCTTCGATCGCTAACAATTCCGTGATTGATCGAATCGAATGACGTGGCTTCGAGGAAGAAGGTGATGAAGATGCCGACTGTGACAACATATTCAATTTCATCAGAAGTTGTAGAGAATCCATTCCACTTATTGGTCTAAAAATAATAATTTATTTTTGAAACTTAGCGAAGAAATGCATACCTATCCTCAGTGGACGAGTCCTCATCAAAGTGATTGCTACTTCTGGCATCATCCTCCTCCTCTTCTTCTACTTCAACATCTTCTTCCTCTTCTTCATCTTCAGTCTTTTCTGGTTTCACTATCAGATTGAGATGGAAGTTTGGAATTGGGAACAGAGAGCTTGGTGGTTTCGGTGGTTTAAACATGTCTTCAATCAATCGAGTCATTGATGCTGATCCGATTGACGGACGGAACAGAACATCGATAATGGCAGATGTTGGAGTTGTCGTTGTTGCTGTGTAGCACCTATAAAGTTATTCAAATTTAATAACTTTTGAAAACAATACGAAAAGCTTACTTCCAGAATCTCAACTGATCCGTCCGATGGGTGACTGCTTGCAATGTCATCAATTGGTATGCAATCTGTTGACCATTTGGAGTCGCTCTCATCAATGTCATAATTTTCAGAAGAGAATACTCTCGAGTATCCAAATGTAATCCTTCAATCATTTCGAAGGCCGCTGCCACCTCATTCCTAAGTTTCGAAGTTCCAGAAGTCACCTCATTTCTAATTTGTCGGGAAGTGATGGCTCTTGACTCTGTGGCATGGAGCAGAAGAAGAGTAGCCCAGTGCTGTTGGAAAATTGCCAATTGTTGTTCCCTTGGAACTCCTGTCAACGCATTTTGACAGTATCCAACCAGAGCAAAAAATATACGAGCCGCAGTACCGACCACTGAATCTCGATCTATTGATGTCGGTGGAAGAATCAGAGCATCATTTTCGGATCCGATTTCAGGCTGAAAAAATAAAATTAAATAGTTTGAAACTAGTTTTCCACAAAATCATTGCTTTAAATATTTTGAGCTTCTAGCATGTTTACCCAACTGAATAGATCAGCTGTCTCTATTGGGTACTCATGCAACATAATCATTGTACACTGTGTTTTTTCCACTTAAAGGGGCAGAGAGGTACAACATTGTTGAGTAATTGGCAACCTAATACATATACACATACAGAGAACATCTGCCTATAATCGGGTAAAATATGAGCTGATATGATGAGTATAAGTTTTCAAATCCTTAAAATTTGCTTGTATTCATGTACTACAGTAATCCTCAGAAATCAAAATCTCAAAAGTTATTCTTCGTTAGTTCTCGACAGTCGTACAACTCAACAACTTCTCATAGGGGAATGACAAATCACCTCTCGGATTACGGTAGATTTGTAAACTCCAACTTTTCACCTTTTTTACTTTTCGCCGCCACCGCTGCTTTCGGGGCCTCTCGGGTGTCAAATCGAACACAATGCCGCCGCAGCGGATTACTGTACTAATCCCCCTCTCTCTATTTCACGAAGTATTTTTTTCGGATATATTTTGTCACTGATTTTTGGATTACGAGTTAATTTTCAGCAAAAAGTTACAATTTTAGTGAAAGTCATCGATTACTGTAATTTTTCTCCGTCAAGAATTTTCGGAACCAACGTAAGCACTCCTAAAAGGTATCGCGCTAATCACCCTCCTATGGGAACTTGTCAAAACGACTTACCGAATGAGGAGATGATCCATGTTCGAACATCATCTGTTGCCGTCTTAAACTTGAGTTACGAGGACCTCTTTCGTGTTGAACGGCGTCTTTGTTCATACCGATTTCGAGGCACTTTCTTAGTCGGCATGCCCTACAAAAAGAGATCATCAATCAACATACTTTTTCTAATCCACCAGAACATGATCCTTGAGGAGCCATGAACTAATCCTAGACACTCACCTGCATTGGTTACGGTGTGTTTTGTCCACAATGCATCGCCCCTCATCGAAATTCCCTTTGTTTTTGCAGACATATTGACGGTGTCGTCGGATTGAACGCTGGAAAGTCACATGGTTTTTGAGTTAAAGAGGATCAAGGCTGCTGTACCAACCTTAAAAAACCCAGCACATCCGTCGCATGAAAATATCCCATAGTGCTTCCCCGAGGAATGATCTTGACAGACTCTACACGGCACATCCACAAGAATTCGACCTGGAAGAAGACGAAGAAGTAAATGACTAGTGACTAGTAAGGAAATCAAAATCAAGAAAGCAATAGATTCCAATTATCCAGGACTTCCGGTTGTCTCCCGGTGTCTCTTGCTGTGGCTAATTAACTCAAAGGAATAATAAGAAATGAGAGGAAGCTGTGAGCTGTCTCTGGAGAAGGAAAAAGGCAAAAGTGAAAAATACTTTTTGATTTGAGATATATAACTTGTGAAATAACTTTCAGAAACCTTGGAATCACATTCGAAAAGTAGAATTTAATCTGGATGTTCATCATACAACTTCCTTAATTCAGAGCCTCTGGAGGATCTCCCTAATGTTTTGTCAACTAGAAAGTGTTAATCCGCAGGTGCCACGTGTCAAAATCTAATTAACCGTCTCCTAAACAGTACACCTGCATCTTGCTGCTCTCTCCATGAAAAAACTATTGCCTATTCTACTCTAGTTCTTGCACCTTCCTTATAATTCACACCTCATCATTTTTACAGCAACGAGGCATAATATTGAGTCACACACTGTTTAATGACTTCCTCTATCAATTAGCGAAAAGTTCCCAGAGGTCAAATTGGAGTATTTTTAGTTGAGTACTAATGAGTGGGGGAAACATGCATACCGTAAGACCTGTAATAGAAGGGCCCTCTAACTATCAACTTCAAGTTAGTTTACCTGGTTTCCTGTGAAAGGTATAAAAAAGTGGTCAACTGATAAATTGCTTATCATATTATCAAAAGTGTTTTGTCAGTTGATACATTCTGGATATCTCGCATAGGAATTGAGATAATCGAGCTCAAACTTGACAGTGTGGCGCCCTCCTAATAAAGGTTTTACGGTAGACTGGGAGCTCAAAAATGCGACCCAAAACATTAAATATGTCTGGAACCTCAACCCCCGATGTATGAAATTTTTAAAAAGTCTGGAATTAAGATCCGGAAATAGAAATCCCAAAAAACCTTAAGATGTTAGTCCATTATTTTAGACACCGATCTCCAATTTCTAAACTCTTCAGAAAAAGTCCCGAAGTGTCATCTATTTTGAAAATTAAAGTTTCAACATTGAAATCAAAATGAGACAATATAAGAGAGTAATTTAGTATCGAAACGTCTGAAGTGTGCCTTCAGGGCAATTCATCCTACGCTTATTAATTGCTCAAGAGCTTCGTCTTAAAGAAGAGCTTCTCTTTGAGAGACTCAAATCACAAATAGGTTTTTCAGAAATGCTTGAATTCGGAACCACCAGATAAATCCAGAGAATTTTAAGCAATTCCTGAAAACCTTAAAATCCTAAAACTCTAATGATTGTTCAGAAAAAAAATTGACTTACTGCTTGGAGCTGCCAGTTGGGATACTGCTGCCATCATCATTTGAATCTCTTCCGAAGATTGATTAGAAGACGTTGGTATTTGAAGATTCCAGAATACGGAGCAAGAGAGATTTTCCCAGAAGGCTGTTTTTCTTCTCAAGGCGAGAGTGAGAGGCAGTCGGAAAGGCGATGGAGAGTCACGTCAACGGGGGCGGAGCCGGCGCGACCACCACTGACGACCTACGGCTAGGCGAAGGCGAGGAGGATTACTGTAGTTGAAAGCGATGTCAAGAAGCCACGCCCCTTTGATTTTTTCGGTTTTTTTTCAGCTGTTTTGCAAATATTGAACAGGTGGGCTACTGTGCGACCTAGATAAGATCCTCCCGGTTCTTTTCAAGCTACCGTTCAACCTAATCATTATGCTCTTTTTTCGGAGACTACGTTTAATTGATGCTTATAGAGAGATGAGTATTTCTGGAGAGACAGGCATCGACCGTTTTTTTAATGGTTTCTGAATCACAACGTTGATAATTATGATAGCCAACATCAGAGCAAGTTACTGTAAACACTCTAATAGAACGCCCCCGACCCGTTTGAGCTCATATATCTCATTTCATGTAAAAGATATCAAAAAGTAGTCCACTGACAATATTTTTATCATAATATCAAAAATATTTCGTTAGTTGACAATTTTTTGATATCTTTCACAGGAACCTAGGTATGTGGGGTCAAAGTTGAAAGTATATTTTGATTCGCTTTCTACATCTAGACCTTTTTTCAAATTTATCTATATTTTCAGTTTATATGCATCCATCAAACTTTTGGCAACGTTGAGCATTTTTTCAGTTCTGTCAGTATTTGCCGAACTTTCCTTCCAGGGATAGACCCAAATCTTCAGGTGCACCACTATTCTTATATTTCCCTCTCAATAACTTCCGGTTGGATTTCTTGGATCTAACTGTTCAGTGCTCACGGAGCACCTCACTCTCTCGAAACTTTGTTCTTTTCCTTTTACAATCACCACTTCTGCTTTTATTCCTCATCTCTCTTTTTGGAAGGCACAAGTTGAAGAGGAGGACCTCAAAAGGACTCAAAAGACGCGCACCGCCAGTTGTGGCATACTTGACCATTGTCTTCTGATGACAAGACTTCTGATGAAAAGAGTTGGGACACACAAAACTTTCGAGGAAGAGTAGTGGAATGGTAGTTTTGCCGCAAAAACTTTTTGGATTCTGGACCAGAACTCTGATGCTAAGCACTCTGGGGGAACATGCAGGATTACTGTATCTGATCAACACAACACTATTTTTAAAGCTCTCTGCAGATTTAGATTGGAACTAAAAAGGGCGATGCCATAAAAATTTCGACGAATTCGAAATTTCTTCTGGGGGTTCGAGTTCATGCCCTTGCTCTTCTCATTTTTATTACTTGTTAGTACTGCTCGATGAAGAATCTCTCTTCACAAACATTTATAGAAACAATAAAATTGTACTCTCTGGTGCCATGCAATACGTCCTTCCTCCGAACACCTGCATTTCCCCCCAGCTTACGCAATAAAATTTCATTTTTTTTCTTCTCGATTTCCCAGACTAAAACAATGTGTTCAAATCGACGCAATATCGAGAACGAGGCAAAAATGGAAAGGTCATTCAGAGGGGTCGTACAGGTGCAACTTCAGCAAAAAAAAACATTGAAAGATGAAGAAGGAGACTGGGAGCTAGTGGATGATACAAAACGGGACGGACCACTGTTTTCAGATAGTTGGGAATAATAAGGCATTTATGAATCTGAATACCGTAAAATCTGTAATCCCCTTACTTCTGACATTGAGCCAATTTATCTCGCTTCCTGTCAAATATAGAAAAATTTAACAACTGATCCATTTTTTATCATAATAGCGCAAACATTTTATCAGTTTAGACATTTTTGTTATCTCTTACAGTAATCTAGAAAAATTGGGTGAAAGTAGCAGCAGGGCCCTTTTATTACAGGTCTTACGGTAGTTTGGAGTAATAAGGAACTCATGAATCTGGAATCCGTAGGCATTGAACCACTGTCTAAAAAACTCAAAACGGAAATACAAATTTCTCATAAAATTTCTTTCAATCTACGAAGATCTGCTCCTTCTGAATTTCTAGCTATAGTGTTCATTCCAAACTTCCCATACACTCTATTAATTTTGATTCCAACTATTTGAGGTTTCCTATGTTTGTACCTGAATAAAGGTGTCATGACACCACTATCGAAAGGCATATAATATGAAGAAAAGATAGATAATAAGCGGAAGCTATTCTCTTCTTTCATTGCCGCTTTGGTGTGAGATTTCGCGCATATGCACCGCCCGTGTCGCCAGTGAGAGATAATTGTCGATTTTCATACGCATCGATAAGTTGGCAAAGAGCCGTTTACCGTTTATCGTAGTCAATGGTCGAGGGGACAAATTGTCGCGGGAAGTTATAGAATTCCGAGAGTGAGAACAAAAAAGAATTCCGTGAGCATGGGTACTATGAGGGATATGGAATAAGGGAAACCTTTAAAATTAAAAAAATAATAGGAGAGTTACAGAAGTTGTATTGTCTGAAAGTCACTGGGTAAAGGCACAAATTTAGATATCAATCCCGCCAACTTGATATATATTTCTATTTTTCATCACGGTTGGAGTCTACAACAAAAAGTATGCCGTATTTTCTCAAATAAAAGCTCACCCAAACCGTCAACTTTGACCTCAATTATCTAGGTTCCTTTAAAAAATATCAAAAACTTTTCCACTGATAAAACGTTAGAGATAATCGAAATTGATGGTTTGGTTGGGCTTCTATTGGGAGAAATATCTCTGGACTCTGGAAAAATAGTCAGATGTTACGGGATTGATAAAAATTACATTTTCAACCTTTTTTAAAAGAATGTTTCCACTTCGAAGCATCATACATCCGTTGTGTCTACAATTAATATATAAGGCTTTTTGACTCCACCAAAAAATTTCGATTTTTATCTCTGGTCCTATAATATCATTTGATCTGATATTCCTCACTGTATCAAAAAAAATGTTCCTAACCGTTTTTCCTCATTTTAGAACGTCTTCAGTCTCTATGACTCATAACTACCGTAATCCTAGACTCATGATTCTCGGCATCCGGATTTCGAATCCAGAATAACTAATTCCCGATTCCTCGACAAGCCAAATCATCGTCTTCGTGAAATCCAGAAGCGAGTATCCTTCATTTTCCCGCATTCTTTTAGTTCTATTTGCTCATGATCTATCTATATATATTTATGGACATATCCTCTCTTCTTCTTCTTCACTTGTATCTCCTCCTTGTTTGCCAACATCCTTCATAACTACAGTAATATTCGAGTCGTCGTCGTGTCATCTTCTCAAAAGACGAAGTGGATTGAATGATGGCGTAACCTCTCGCTTTCTTTCATATGTTCTCCGATACTTTAAACAAGGATTAGGATTTAGAAAAATGAAAAGAGAGCGCGACTAGAATGGGACAAGAGACTGATCTGTCTACTAAATGATTGAACACACACTTCGATGATACAAGGTGCCGACAACAAGGGCAGGTGCCACTTTGGGACTTCTTTTCTCGAGGAATGTTAGGTGACACGTTTTATAAAGCTTTTGGCTTAACGAATTCCAAGGAAGTATTCTGGTTGGGCAGGACGAGACTCTCAATTCAGTTTCAACTTTTTTACATTCTGAATCACAAACGGCACACTTCATTTTAAACCAATGTTTAAACAATTATCTCGTTTTCTGTGAAAGATTTTTAAAAGTGGTCAACTAAAAAACTATTTTTGATATTATGATAAACATCCTATCAGTTGAATGCTTTTTGATATCTTTTACTGGAAGTGAGATATATTGGCTCACGGTTGACGGTTTGGGGGCATTCTATTAGACAGCTTAAGGTAGCTCATTTTAAACGGATTTTGATACAAAAATTGACAGCTACGAACTAGAAGTTTCAATTTAGTTGATATTTTTTGAGTTTTCTACAGAAATAAATAATTCTAATTATGTTTTTCAGTTCCTCAAATTTAGCTATTTTGCATTAAACATATCGTACGAGTGATATCGTCGCCTTCCTTCCTCGCAAAATCTTAATGTTCGATTGAATAAACTTGTTCCTTAAAATCTTGAATTCTTCACATTTCAATGTCATAAAGTATATCTTCAAAATGTCTAGCAGTACCAGGTACACACTTGAGTTAGTGACACCTGATTGGTACGAAAAGACAGTCATCCATGACCTTTTTAAAGAAGAGACTCAATTTTTGCCATGATCAAACAGTAATCCAGAAATTTCTAAAGTCTAAGAATTCATTTAGTATCATTTTGTAAAGATTGCAAGAACAAAAACACTAGAAATTTCGACCTTGGATAAGACAAATGTATCCGAGGATCCAGAGGGAGCACTCCATTGTTTATAATGAGACAAGAGCCTTCTCATTGTCTGTTTTACAGGTTGGATACAAGTGTGAATTTCAAGGATAAGAGTCCATTGAGCCTTCCGGAATATATACAGTCTGGTAACTGCGAATGTAGTAAATTATTGGGTGGAACATTTTTTTAAAGAACCGTTTCTTACGGAATACCATCTGTCTTTGTGGAGAAGGGGAATATAATCAGCTTTCGGTGAGATATGAGGAAGAGAGATCAGCCACTAATTAAAGAGTGGAGAGAAGGATTGTGCAACACACTCCCTGCACATTTTTGTAAGATCTTATCAATGTACAAATCGGGAAATTGTTGTTTACTTGTGCTTTTCTCGTTTGATAGGACATAAGGGGTATTTACAAAATCGAGATACCGTAAACCATACTTGTAATCCGAGCCTTTCCGGGCCTTCACGGGCCCTGCCATAGTTTGCCGGGCCTTCACGGGCCCTGCCATAGTTTCTTTCAGAATCTGTATTTTTGAACCAACTAAATCAGATAGGATAGAGCTCCACGAGTACTACAAAACGGTATTATTTGAAATACTGTATCTTATCTATGAACAAAGTTACAGATCATAAAGTGGCTTTTCTCGCAGGGCCCGGCAGGCCCGGGCCTGCTTTTTTGTTCCTTTTGCTCTGTAACTCTGTTCATAGACAAGAAACAGTATTACAAATAATACCGTTTTGTAGTACTCGTGGAGCTCTATCATATCTGATTTAGTTCGTTCGAAAATACAGATTCTGAAAGAAGTTATGGCAGGGCCCGTGAAGGCCCGGATTACAAGTATGCCGGAAACACTCTAATAGAGTGCCAATCAAATCGTCAACTTTGAACCCAGATATCATGGTTCCTGGGACAGTCATCAAAAAGTTCTGAAGAAATGTTTGTCACTAACGTTTCATTAGTTGACAACTTTTTGATTTAAAGTCAAAAAATAACAATTTGTTCAAACTAGACCACCATTATCCTCATATTCAAGCTTTTAAAGACCAATTTAATGTTTTAGGTCCGAGTTAAAATAGGAATTAGAGATTTTACGTTCTTCTCAAAAGTTGAAAAACTTGAAAAATGATTTTTTGAAAATCCAGCAATTGGAATCTTTTTGGACGTTGCTGGATCAGAATCAGCTTGTCAAGAGTTTCTAAATCAGCATAAACATGACCTAATTTTATAAATTTTACATTTTCGGTTAAATCTGGACAAGAAGAAGACCCAAAAATAAACGTTTTTCTAAGCTAGGGTATCATTATACTCATCTTAAAGTTCTTGATAAAACAAATTTATCAATCTAGAACCCATTCAAAAAATATAAAAATTTGAGATTTCAGGCTCTTCTCAAGATTTCGAGATGAAAATTGCAAACTTGAAAAAATATTGTTTGGGTTACTAAAGGATGGGATTTATTAGACGTTTTTGAATCTGAATCACCTTGACAGGAACTTCGGAATGAGCCTAGCCATCACATTTTTTCTGAAATTAGATATCTGGGCTCAAAGTTGACAGTTGGCACTCTATTAGAGTGTTTATGGTATATTGGGTTAGAGTTTTTTAACCGTAATTCGTTAACGTATTTTTGGACATTATTTTAAGTGCGGTGAACGATTCGATCTTGCTCATTTATTGAGAATTTTCAGTTTCAAAAAAATTTGGATCAAATACGGTACATTCTACCACCACGACCTGAAACCAACCCATTTTTGAGAACCTTAGTGTTTGGGTTATGCAACTTTTGTTGTGCCCTATATCATTGTTACCATTCTAATCCGTACCATACTTCTCTGTTCCATTGAAAGAAACGCCGATGTGATGCTGCAAGAGGATTAATCAGAGAGCAATTTGTAGAAGAACAGAAACATCCTTTTTTATTGGATTGCGTATTCGTTTTGCAACAGAGCCGGAAAGACATCACAAACAGGTGTATGCTCGGACCCTTTGTGACGGAATAGGCAGATAATACTAACACGAAGGTTACAATTTGGGCGGCGGGGTGGAGATGCGTTAAAGGAAGGGGGCTTTGAAATAAACAACAATGGGAAAGACTGAAAATTCATTTTCAAGAAAGAAAAAAACAACAAAGACGAAGAAACAACCAACATTAATTTGTAAACGAAAACCAAACAACAAAAGAAATTATACCTTTAAAGATGCTAAATAAATCCAGTTATGAAAAAAATTCTAGCCTAAAACCTAAACCGGACCGGAGAACGAAAAAAAACTAGGAAATTATTCAGAATCACGGTTTCTTCTTCTTCTTGTTCAATTCCTCTCTCAGCTGGTCCAGATCTTCTTCACTGATATCTGTTCGCTTCAGCAATGCCTCCAAAATCGAAGACTTTCTTGTTGGCTTTTCTGACGCTGATTTCGCCAACTTCTCTTCTGAAGGCCGTGACAATCTTTTCTCTCTCGAATCAGAGTTATCTCCAGGTCCAACCGCAAGCAGGCTCATGAATCCTTCGACACCGTCCTACAAATGAAATTTTAGGGAAAAGGTTTAGGGATGGATCCATACCTGAATCATTTTGTCTAAAATCTTCGACGCGTCACGAACTCGGGGTTCATCCGGTAGCATATCTGGGAAACGCATAGACAACCACATGTATTGGTCGAGAACTTCATAGTTCTGCTCTAGAAGTGATAGCTCAGAGAGAGTTGATGCTGGCTTCGGTGGCCATTCGAGCATATCCATCAACCATTCGTAAGTGAGAGCTTGACCAGTAGCAAATCTGAGAAAAACTGGAATTAGAAGCATACTTACTTTCTTCATAACTACAAAAACCTTCTGGCCATTTTTACGAAAACTGCAGCTGTTCTCTTATCATCTGTGTTCAATGGAGAGGTACAGAATGTGTAGCGGACTTTCAATGGCAACGGAACTTGATCGATCAAAACAGCTAATTCTCTCATATCATAGACGGTACAAATGAAAAAATGATCGGAAACTGAGCAAACCGAGACGAATAGATCCAATAAGCGTACAAAAGATGCCTGTGGCAGATGGAATGAAAACGTTTCGATTTGATCATAAGTTGGAGCGATTCCAACGTTCGTAATTGGCTCCACCTATAATTATACCGATCGATTTCATAGTTACTGGATCTTGTTTCTTACTTTTTCAGCTAGAATTGTTTTCAAAGTTCCGAGATCTTCTTTTCTCATCGTCGTTGCAACTCCATTAGCGTAAGCAGTTCCGAATCTGAAATAAATTTTTCTTTTCAGATTTTTTATGTCAATTGAGGAAACCTTCCAGCTCGTCCGGCAATCTGCAGAGCTGCGTAGGTGGGAAGCAGCTCTGTTTGACGAGTGCATGAGTTGAAGATAACTCGTCGGATATTCAAATTCAGTCCCATTCCAATAGCATCAGTAGCGACAAGTACATTGCATTCATCATCGGGATCATTGAATTTTGCAGCTTGTGCAAGTTTCGTTCCGGGTGGAAGATCTCCATAGATCACTGCTGGCTTGATTCCATTTTCCTCTAGTTTTTTTGAATTGAAGAAAACTGCCCGTTTTGAGAAGCATACAATACAATCACCAGGTTCGATCTGAAATTTAAAATTATCGTACAAATCAAATAGTGATTTTTACATTTGAATAAGATTCAATTGCTCTGTCTGCAATAGTCAGGGGAGATTTTCTGTCGTAATACCGAACTTCGACGGTTTCTCCAATTGGTTCCAACAACTTTTTGACAATATTGATGGCAGCTGGTTCACCGCACAAATGAATCTATAATAAATAGTTGTTTAAGAATGCTTATATAATTGATATCACCTCATCTGCAGCTGCACCGAGAAGGGCTCTTGTCCAAGCCCATCCACGTTGTTCGTCGCGAAGCATTTGAATTTCATCAATAACCACCACCTGAATTTGATTCTTAATACAGTCCATTAATTTTCAATATACCTCGACCCTCATTTGAGTGGAAAGCATTTCTACGGTAGACGAAAGATGTTGACTTGGATGGTGGTTGTCTTTAGCAAATCTTAAGCAAATTATTTGTTAAGATTTATTGACACTTTACGTTCTGTTCATACCTCCTTTCTTCACCAGTGACTAGATCGCATGGTATTCCTAGAGCGTTAGTTCTGTTGAAAACTTCAGTAGCTAAAAGTTTTAAAGGTCCGCAGAAGACTGCACTTTTTGCCTCTCCGAAACTGAAATTTTGTACAAGCTCGATTTTCGGTACCTGGGAAATTCAGGAAAAATTTACCGTTTCAAAGCATGGTACGTTTTTCCACTATTTGTAGGTCCAGCATGGAAAAAGATTTTCCTTATGATACTTCTGGCTTCAGGATACCAATTGTGGGGTCGAGTTAAATCAGAAATAATACGAAGATCGTCCATTGCTTCAAGATGTGGGAACACCTGAAAATCATAGTTTAACGTTTTCTGTATGTTTAATGCTACCTGTTTTGAGTGATCCAAAAAGAAAGGATAGAGCATCTCACAGTCTTTCCCTCCTTTAGAAATATCACTCATTAGAATTAGCAATCCAGGATCAACAGAACTCAAGTCTTCTGGCGTACAGTACTCTCTGAAGGATTTAAACGCTCTTATGAACAGTTTGTCATTTATTCCATTTTCTTTTGCTAACTGTCGAACCATTGGTCGTCTCATGAACTCGTCTAACGCCATGTGAATAGCTGCCTGGAAAGATTGAAAATATATTTAACTGTTTCTTGGAGTTTCCAATTGTCTGTGAAATTTTAATTCGTACATTATTCAGTGAGCCAATCCATTCTTCCATTCCAGCAGCCGCTTGTGTAACATGTTTCACTTTTCTTGGTTCGACGAGATCTTCAATAGCAGCAGCTTTTCGAATTGAATTCCGTTTTCTTCTGGAATTCATTGTCTGAAACCTGGAAGGCGTAGCTGAAGAGCTAGGTGAACATCGTTGACTGAAACTTCCGAGTATTCGGAGGACACCTGTTGCTCTTTGCATCTGGAACTATACTCCCGATTGATGCACAGTCTGTAGCGAAAAAGATAAAAGTAACGGGAATTTACGAATATGTCTTGATTTTGTCTGAGAAATCGTGATCATGTTTTCAAAGAGATTCATTGGAAAATTGATGCGAACATAAGTAAAGCGAAATTACACACATAAGAAATTGAATCAGCGTCTGCTTTGAATTAATTCACGAAGGTTCGACTCGGCTTCAACCAATCCCTTCTCCAAATATTCCTTTTGCTTGTCAATGGCTTCGATTTTGTCTCTGGAAAATGTCATACGGTTGGAGACTGGCTCTCACAATGAAATTGAAATGCTACTCACTTTGACTGTTTAGCTTCGGTTTCATGTCGGGCAATCTCGGAAGCTTTGTCGGTGAGAAGGAACATACGACCGACGGAGCGATAATATTTAAGATCTTCGTTCAAACCGATCAGATTTCTCTTCGTACTTTCGGAAATCCGCATTTTCTACAATAAAAATGTTTTTCACTTGACTGTTTTTTGAGTTAATATGTAAAGGATTAAACATTTTTCTTCTGGCTACAACCTGTTGAAGTAATTCAGCTCAATGCAACTTTTCAATGAATGCACTTTTTACGAATATCTCACACGAACATTCGTGTTTATAGAAAAAAATACACTGACTGAGAAAAAAAATACCTGATGATTCACTTTCTTATTTTGCTCTCCTTGCACTATCCGCATTCTTGTCTCATTGGTTTTGAACTGCAGATCGCGAAACGCTTTTGAAATTTCCTCATCGGCCATTTTCTGAAAACAAAGATAAAAATTTCAATTGAGCATCAAATTATATTGAGGTGAGAAATTCAATCACTACACAAAAAGGCAAAGGAAAAGAAATGAATGTTAAACTTTGGCGAAAAACTTTGTATACAAGCTTAACTAAAACTTAAATTTTTTTTCAGTTTGAAAAAAATTCAGTTTTTTTCGGTTATACAAATATAGAAAAAGAGAAGGATGAGTAAATTCTTCTGAATTCATATTCAATTTTTGAAGAAAAATCGAGAGAGAAATCGTCTTGGCGCAATGCCAGCGCAGAGTTAGATGTGCAGGTCATATAGCAAACACTAGAGAACAGCCTTCTGTAGGGGCCGACCATGGCTCATAGAACGGCCAGGCCGAGTTTTCAAGTGATAAATTATCAATTTCGTGATAATCCATGCGAAATTTCCGTAATTTTCAGTTAACTGCAGTTTTCTAAGTTTCTCGAAGCTTCTCTGAACTATTTTTGTTGTTTTTTCTGTACATTCTCAAACCAAATGTACATTCTCAAACCAATTTCGTTTTTCCTCGAATTTGAATTAAATTTTGTGAATTCCAGGTAACCACCATGAGCGTGTTTAGCCAGCTTTCCGAATCGGCCAAGCAGAACCCATTCAGTCTGCCAGTCAGATCTGCGAACTGCGCCAGTGGAGCTCCAGCCGGTGAGACTTTTAATTTCAAATTTAAATGGTAACTGGGTTATTTATGGCACAAAAATGATTTTTTAAACCTATTCATGCATATAGAAAAAAATTATTTCACATGTGAAAAGTAGCTAATGAATAACCCCATAAAAACTGGTTGAAACCCGTGTTTCTAAATTTCTTCATAAAATATGTATTTCCCTTAGCATCTACACTTTTAAAGTTAAGTAGATGTGTAAGATCGTGTACATCGCGTCCATCAAAATATACTTCTCAATTCTGTCTGTGCTGCGCATGTGCACACGGAGACCGGCGTTGAAAGGCATTACGGAGATAGTATCTATCGGGCAGAGACGGTAGACACGTTGTTCCCTTTTCCTGCTAAACGTGGCAATTGTGTCGGTAGACGGTGACCTAGTGCGAAAATAACTGTTCACTATTTGGTTCATCTAACCCACTTACTACGTGGGACTACCGATTGCAACGTCTATCATATGCTATCTCATGCCTGGGAGAGACTATAAGCACTGCTATAATCGCTTATCAATGACGTCAGAAACTGAAGAAAAGGCGCTACCCTTCATAGCTCGCGCAAAGTCTCCACATTTTCAAAACGGACGAATGGGAGTCGTAGTGATATTATGCATGTGGATCATAATTTATTTTTGGGGAGTTACCCAATTAGTTGACGGGTTGATGGAGTGGCTAGCTTACGGTTCTACCGAATACGTAACACGGGTTGTGATCGGAGCTGCTACGACTGTAGCATCTGCATATGAAGGTTTCGCGTTTTAGAAAGCATATATTTCATTCGCATTTTCAGCTGGGCAAGTCGAATTCGGAACTGGCAAGTACTATGCTCTGTGTGCTTTCGGAGGAGTTCTTTCCTGCGGAATCACCCACACCGCTATTGTGCCACTTGATCTCGTCAAGTGCAGAATTCAGGCAAGTCCCTTTATACTTTCATGATTTTTAAAGTAGCTTTGCAGGTAAACCCAGAAAAGTACACTGGTATCGGAGCTGGATTCCGTACCACCGTAGCCGAGGAGGGAATGCGAGCTCTTGTCAAGGGTTGGGCTCCAACCTTGATCGGATATTCCGCTCAAGGACTTGGAAAGTTCGGATTCTACGAGGTCTTCAAGAATGTTTATGCTGATATGCTCGGAGAAGAGAATGCCTACCTCTACAGAACTTCTCTTTACTTGGCTGCTTCCGCTTCTGCCGAGTTCTTCGCCGATATCCTCCTTGCCCCAATGGAGGCTACTAAGGTCCGTATCCAGACCGCTCCAGGAGCCCCACCAACACTCCGTGGATGTGCTCCACTTATTTACAAGACCGAAGGACTCACTGGATTCTACAAGGGACTCCCACCACTCTGGATGAGACAGATCCCATACACCATGATGAAGTTCGCTTGCTTCGAGAAGACCGTGGAAGCTCTCTACCAATATGTTGTGCCAAAGCCAAGATCTGAGTGCTCAAAGGGAGAACAACTCATCGTAACTTTCGTTGCTGGATACATCGCTGGAGTTTTCTGCGCTATCGTTTCCCATCCAGCCGACACTGTCGTCTCCAAGCTCAACCAAGATTCTCAAGCAACCGCTGGTGGAATTTTGAAGAAACTCGGATTTGCCGGAGTATGGAAGGGACTTGTGCCACGTATCATCATGATCGGAACTCTTACGGCTCTCCAATGGTTCATCTACGATTCTGTCAAGGTATTTTGAATTACGATTTCAACTGCATAGTGTATTAATTTTTCAGGTCGCCCTCAATCTCCCACGTCCACCACCACCAGAGATGCCAGCTTCCCTCAAGGCCAAGCTTGCCGCCCAGCAATAAATATGCAGACTAGATATCGATGCATGACTCAATTCTTCTGATAATCTAGCTCGTATTTCTTGAAATCCACCTAATTTTGTCTCTTCTCGGTTCCACTCCATCCCCTTTGAATTTATAACTAATTAGTGCAGCTTGCTCGTTTAGTGTGATGATTTTTCTTCATTTGTTTCAATTTGTCATTCAGTCATCATTATCTTTTCCTTTTAAAATCCATCATTCTCAGTCGATGATTCTATAAAATCCTATTCGAAACAAGCGACCGAAGAACTTAATTTTTGATGTTTGCGTTTATACGAGAAGAGTCTTTGATTGGGTAGTTCAGAAAACCGTTCGCCCGTGTTCGTTTTACCGTTGAATTCCAATAAATCCGATGAGATTCAGATTTTTTTCTGAACTGTATGTAATATTCACAGAGACATGAACTGGATAACAGAGAAATCAGTACTGATTCGAACAGTAGAAGCAAAGCTGCTGCTTATGAGGTGCCAAATGACATGAGAAATAATAATGCTTATTGCTTCTAGAACTTTTTCGTTCACTCGTCTCCTTGCTCTTGATGTCGCTATTTCGCTGTATATTTGGAATGTGTGGGCACCTGATTGGAACTATAACGTCGACTCGTTTTGGAAGCAGACAAGCCACGTGGCGGATAATTTGAATGGTGTAAGAATATCACTTGCTCGTGAATGTTCTAATAATTCAGAGTGGTTTGAAAAACTGTATTTCAGACAATAAACTGGCTGAGGGACAATCCGGCTGGTCTCAAGTTGAACACTCCAGTAAATGAAACACTTGCGTGGTTCTTCAGTTATCACATCTACTTGTGGACCAGTATATATTCAGCTATTGTCTAATCAAAATAATCGCGCGGATGAACGAGTAAAAAAACGTGTAGAGAGTATCAAAACCTGTAGAGGCGCTGTAGAGACGCAGACATTTTCACTCGTTCACTCGCGCGATTATTTTGAATACACAATAGCCTGTTAAAAAGAGCTGATTAAACTATTTTCAGCATTCATCGGATTCCTTCGGTACGATGTATTCTATCGTTATGTCACCAATTCACTCGTCTTCGGATTGTCAACATTCTCATCTATGATCTACGATCTTTCTCAAATATTCTTCCTTCACTTTAACTGTTTCGATGCGTATGCAACGAAGTAAGCATTTGTTCGAATTTCAATATTCAAGAATCGCAACATTTCCAGACTTTGCTATCTCTGCTACTATACGCTGACAGTTTTGTGGAGTTTGGTGAGAGGAAAAAAACATAACCCACTTCGCGAGAGAATGGATACTGTAAGTATTTTCTTCAGTTCAAATAAATTAATGAAATGTGAATGTTGCAGATTACACTGGATACTCGGCAACAGTTCCTGGCTACATCACTCTTTGTTATCCTTCTTTTCATTCTACCAACTGTTTTTGTATATTTCGTTGTATTCCGAAGCCTTCGTTTAGCTGTTTCTGCTATTCAAACAGTTATCTACTTCTTCGGAACATGGCCATTTCAGATATTTGCTCTACAAAAGTATGTAGTTCGGAAATACTACGGGAAACCGATTGCGGAAGAAACCAGCGACAGTCCAGCTACATAAATTGAGATTACTTTCTTTTTTACGGTACTATATCTGTTTCGGGTTGTTTGCGAGCTTTGTAATAACCATATTTATGCATCCTGTGCACTTGTAAGTTGTATTCACAAAATATCTGAATAATTTTTAGTTGTAATACAATGAGCTGATGTATATATTCAATGAAAACATTTTATGGTCCTTTAGCTGTCATTGTTCATCATGCACATCACCAGCAGCAGATGTTTATTTTATTTATTTTTTGTGTCAAATTTGAAAAAGTCAAACTGTGTGCAAACACTTCGCAGGCGACGAAGTTGACGACAATTTTATTTGCAACTTTTTTCCAGACCAGTCCGTAAACCGCGGTGCACAGATTGGAATAAAGTTCTGAAAACAACAAAATATTCATAAGAAGCGAAAGTACAAGAAACGAACCAGCAAGAAACATGTCGACAAAAAGTTATTTAATCTGTGCGCTTCTTTTATTGAAATCGCATGTGGGGTTTGAAAGAGATCGCCACATTTTAGTGGTCTTGAAATCTGAAAAGACGACCACCTCATGCGTATTCTGCAAAAATTGTGCAATATCTTCATGCGGATTTGTTCTTTGCAGTTTCGTTATTTGCCCATCTCAAGTTTTCCGAATGTATCACTCAACGCAGGAATCTTCGAAACGGAATTCGAAATTCCGACCGGAATTTTCACAGCTTTTTTACCGATTAGCGAATTTTAGATTACAGTATATCAAAGGCGCAAGCGAAAAAATTTCCTACGGATTCGAGCGGAATTAAAATAATTTTGATATTTTTTTCGCTGTTGAAATTTTCTGTCAATTTTCGCTAGTTTCTGCGTTTTTGTGATAGGAAAACAACATTTCTTTAAAATTTGAATTTTCAAAAAATTTCGAAAATTTCAAAATCGGAATATTTCGAACATCCCTGGCTCAATCTCACTGAACTTCTGTTTTTTTTCTTGCACACCTTAAATAACGGAATGACCAAACAAAGATAATTTTTGTAGGGTAACTGCATAATATATCATGCTAGACGAAGAAGCTGAACGACTATTCCGTTTGGAATGCCTTGAGACACTCAACTGGCCGCCGTGTGCTCCAATCCCATCTCATATTTCCAAGTATGCAAGAGTCAATTAAACTTGAACTCATTAAAAATATATTATTATCAGACAAGATCCCAGTCTGGAATTCCACAATGTCGCCAACAATCTGGATTCTCTTCTGCAGTCAATTGATGCTCCTGCCAATATTGTTCCAAAAGTGGACTCGAACGGAAAAATCGCAGGATTTGAAGAATATGAACGAGTTGTTGTTGGATCAGCGAATACCTCAATGTCGATAAATAGGTACAAGCTCATGGAAAGTTGTTTCATCAGAAATTATTTTTTAGAGCTCCATTTAAACAAAAAAGTCTGCACACCTCGGCGTTGAATAGCATTAAAGGATCACCAGGAAACGTTCCATTCATTCCGGGTTTCTTGGAAGAAATAGAGGAAATGATGGGGAACAAAGAGAAATCATCGAATGGTGGTGGAGAGCTGAAGTATCTCAATTTTTCGGACGAAGGTGAGATCTAGGAAAATGGATATTCATATAAAACAAGTATGTTTCAGCAGACCTACTAAACTCCGTTCCTACTCTTGGCCGAATTAAAATTCCCGAAATCGTCCCACTGAAAAAAGAAGAAAAAGAAGTGGTTCACACTGAGGTAGCAAAACCGGTGGATACATCAGACGTGTTTGATTTTCTCAACATGCTTAACTCGGACGAATACACAGTTGTGGAAAAGCCAAAGACTTCCAAAAAGGTAGAGGATATCCCTATCGATAAGCCAATCGAAATCGCTGAACAAGATGACAACGAAATTTCGAATCTTCCGGAAATCGTCACAAAACCATACATTTTTGGAGAGGTGATTAGCAACAAACCGGGTGAGAAGTTTGAATACGCAAGAAAATTGGAAAAGAGTCCAGGAGAAGAAGAAGAATATCAGCGGCTTATGCCAACTATGGCACGCAAGGTAAGCTGAAAACATACAGAATTCATAGACTGAATAGGAAGTTTTAGTATCCGTTCACTTTGGATTATTTTCAACAATCATCTGTACTTTGCATGGAAAGAGGAGAATCTTTGTTTGTGGCAGCCCACACTTCCGCAGGAAAGACAGTTGTTGCAGAATACGCAATCGCTTTGTGTCAGGCTCACAAAACGAGGTACTTTTTAATTTCATACTATTTATCCAAAGATCCGTACTCTTCAGAGCGGTGTACACTTCTCCAATTAAAGCACTTTCGAATCAGAAATTCCGTGATTTCAAGCAAATATTTGGAGATGTCGGATTAGTCACCGGAGATATTCAACTGCATCCGGAGGCTGCTTGCCTTATCATGACTACTGAAATTCTGCGATCAATGTTGTACAACGGCTCGGAAGTGATTCGTGATCTTGAATGGGTTGTTTTTGATGAAGTTCACTACATCAACAACGAAGAAAGAGGACATGTCTGGGAAGAGGTAGTCTTGATAAACTTTACTATTAAAATGGTTCATTTTTAGGTGCTAATTATGCTGCCAGCGCATGTTAAAATTGTGATGCTTTCCGCTACAGTACCCAATTGTGTTGAGTTTGCCGATTGGGTTGGTCGTATCAAAAACCGTAAAATCAATGTTATTTCAACGGACAAGAGACCTGTACCGTTGGAGCATTTTTTGTATACGGGACAAGACGGCAAAACTCAGAGAGACTTGTTTAAAATCATCGACAGAGATGGACAATTTATTTTGAAAGGCTATAATGATGCGAAAGATTCGAAGACAAAGTCAAACGAGAAGGAGAAGGCTGGAGGTTCAGGAGGAAGAGGTGGTAGTCGAGGAGGAGGAGGAATGAAAAGAGGTGGTGGAAATAGTGGAGGCGGTAAGAATTGGCCTGGGAAGAATGACAAGAATATCTACCTGAATCTCATCAACTTCATGAAATGTGCCGATCAATTGCCAATGGTTATTTTTGTTTTCTCCCGGAAACGTTGTGATGATAACGCCCAAATGTTGTCTTCCATGAACTTAACCACGGAAGTCGAAAAACAACATGTTAGAACCTTCTTCTCTCAGTGTATCCAAAGATTGAAAGGATCTGATAAGGAACTCCCTCAAGTACTTACGATGCGAGAACTTTGTTTGAGAGGATTCGCTGTACATCACTCTGGAATTTTGCCCATTTTGAAAGAAGTCGTTGAGCTTCTTTTCCAAAAAGGATACGTCAAGGTTTGAATCTTCCGAAGATGTACACATAAATTATTCTACTTTTCAGATTCTTTTCGCTACTGAAACATTTGCGATGGGTGTTAACATGCCGGCAAGGTGCGTAGTGTTTGACAGCATCACGAAACATGATGGAACGGAAAGAAGATTGTTGAATCCTGGAGAGTATACACAGGTTTGATCGATCTATCTTTTCTGTATTGCAATATCAATATATAGATGGCTGGCCGAGCTGGAAGACGAGGTCTTGACTCCACTGGAACTGTTGTCATTATTTGTAAAGACTCTTCAATTCCCCTTCCGGACGTTCTGAAAAATGTGATCAGTGGCCAAGCACTACGCCTAGAGAGTAAATTCCGTGTGACCTATTCTATGATTCTGAATCTGCTTCGTGTGGAGCAGTTGAAAATTGAGGATATGCTGCAGAGGAGTTACGTTGAAAGTGATTCATTAAGAGAATCAAAGGAGAAGAAAAAGGCGTTGTGCGAAATGAGAAGAGCGTTGGAGGAAGTAGAACCAATCGAATGTGAAACATGCACTCCGAATTCACAACTGAGAGATTATCATGACGCAGTCATTGCATTCGTCCAAAAGCGAGCGAATATCTGGCCCAAACTGAATGATGAGAACGTTATCAACAAGCTGTTGGGATCTGGAAGATTCTTGATTGTAACTAGTGCACATAATCAGCTGCAAAATGAATGTGCACTGTTGATTAAAGAGTTGAACAATAAGTCGATACAGGTAACTGTGAAATTTCAATCAAACCGTTTATTACTATGCATTTTCAGGTTTTGTCCGTCTCGAAGGATTCTGAAGAGACGACACAAAAGAATTTAAAAGCAGTAAAGTTTTCAAAACTTCCGAAAACGGTATTTGACTCACTATCAGAAAAGGTTATGAATTTTATTTCAATTTTAGGATATCAACTGGCTCACTGAGGAAAACCAAATCCTTGGAACTACGAAATACGGAACTCGAGGGGTTGCTCAATGTCCGCAGACCGCTCAAAGTTTCCGACTGTCTGAAATTCCATTGTCTGGAATCGTTGCTGTAACGAAAAAAAGCATTAAGAATGTTCAATCTGCCGAGATATTGCAAGAATATAACATGCTACAGATTCCAAGATTCCGGTAAATTTGAATCTAATAATCTATCAACAGTATACTGTATTTACAGGGATCGTGAGATTTCTGAAAGCATCCGGAAGCTTATGCAGCAAATAACTACCGTTTCACAGCAACTTGCGAGCAAAGAATTGGAAACATATTCGTGGAAAGAGCTTCGAGCAATGTGCCAGAATCTTGAATTGAGCTTCGAAACTGATTGGATGGAGTCTATTGAATCAGAGCTGAATCTTCCGAAAGCGTTTCCAGCTCGGCATTGTACGCGTTTCGCAGATCATGTAAAACTTAAAATCAAAAATCTCCATCAATTTCCCCTTTACAGTTTGACCTTCTTCGTAATTCTGTCCGCATTGAAAGGAAGGTGAAGAGTCTCGAATACGATCTTTCTAGTGATGCTCTCCGGCTCAGCGATGAATACCAGAATCGTCTTAAAGTTCTCGAATCTCTGGGTTTTGTTGAAAAGAAGATGGTTAGTCTGAAAGGAAGAATCGGATGCGAAATTCATCATCAAGAGCTTCTGATCACTGAATTGATTCTCGACTATAAGTTCCATAAGAGAACGCCTGCTGAGTTGGCTGCTCTTTTGTCTACGTTGACATGCCAATACAACTGCGGAAAAGAAGTGACATTCGAACCCAATTCAGTGTTTGCAGAGGCAAGGATTAAATACCAAATTTGGTAGAATCAGTTATATAATTTCAGATTTGCGAAAGTGTCAAGTCCGTTCTCACCCGTCTGGAGTCAGAAGCATCAAAACACAGGGCTCACATTTCAGATGTGGGATGCGAAATAAGATTCGATTTGATGGAGGTCGTGTATGAATGGGCTAATGGAACGGTATTTTGTGGATGAATTCTGAGAAGTTTTGGATTTTTTTTTTAATTTCAGCCATTCTATCAAATTATGGAAATGACGGATTGTCAAGAAGGTCTGATCGTCAAGTGTATCCAGAGACTTGACGAAGTTTGCAAGGACGTTAGGTAAATTATTAACTCAGTTCTTCGGCATATATTGATGTTTCAGAAATGCTGGTCGCATTGTTGGAGATCCAGCGTTAGTGGAAAAAATGGAAGAAGTTAGTGCCTCGATTCGACGAGATATTGTATTTGCTGCCTCCCTATATACTACTGTTTAGTTTTTTTGTGATTTTTCGAAACCGGTTTTTTTCATGTTCGGTGTATGTTGACGATTTTTTGCGAGCATAAAACGAGAATATAAATATAATTTATCTATCTAACTCAAATTAAAGAAAACCGTAATCAGGATAAGTTCAACTTATGCTGGCATTCTAAGGGCTCCGTCGAATCGGATAGTTTCTCCGTTCAGATACTGATTCTCAATGATGTGCTGAACAAGAGCTCCGTATTCATGTGGGTGTCCAAGGCGAGATGGATTTGGAATGAGCTGAGCGAGGAATGTTTTCACCTGAAGCATCAAATGTTATCAAATCAGGCTTTATACAAGAATACCTTATCAGGGAGAGACGATAGGAGTGGAGTATCCATGAGTCCTGGAGCGATGGTGTTGAATCTGATGCCATCTCCAGCGAAATCGCGGGCCAATGGGAGGGTCATTCCAACAATAGCTCCTTTTGAAGCAGAGTAAGCAGACTGAAAACTGATAGAAATTAAGAATATCTTGACATTAAATACCTGTCCAGTCTGTCCATCGAAGGCAGCTACAGAGGCAGTGTTGATGACAACTCCCCTCTGTCCATTGGCATCTTTCTCGTGCTCTCCCATCAACGCAACACCGTGACGAATCACATTGAATGTTCCGAGAACATTGACCTACAAAGCTTTATCGTGGAGCTATTATGCCTTCTCGTGTACTCACGTCCATAGTTTGACGAATCTTATCGAATTCAACGTGCTTCTTTTTCTGAACAGAGTAGAGCTTGAATGCGTAGGCGATTCCAGCGCAATTCACGAGAGCATCCAGGCGTCCGTACTCAGATTGAACTTTTGCAAAAGCTGCCTTGATCTCATCTTCATTTGTTACCTGAAAATCAATTGAAGAAATTCTCTAGTGAATGACAAATAGTTTCTGCAACTTACAGAAGCTGGTGTGAAAATGCCTCCAATTTCTTTTGCGATATCGGCTCCTTTGGATTGTGGCAAATCAAGAATAGCGACACGAGCTCCGGCTTTTGCTAGAACCTCAGCAGTTCCTTTTCCAAGACCAGACGCTCCTCCTGTGACGAGTGCAACGAGTCCCTGAAAAAGAAAAATTCGAAAATTGGCTTTAGAAATTTCTTTCAGGGTTATTCCTGTGGCGAACGATTGTATTTCAAAACACCCACTCTTGAATAAAACTACGGTACACTCTTTCGCCAAATGAATCACCCCATTATAAAAAAGCTTTTAAAAAAAATTAAAAAACGAACCTTAGTACTTCTCAAAGCAGCCATCTTTCAAGATAAATACCTGGAAAAGTTATTTCAGTTTAACCTTTGTTGCTCAAGAAGTACACAAGGAGCAAAAAGTGAGCTAATTCTAGAAAACTTAACGACTAAAAAATGCACTCGAAGTAATTTTCATTGGATTAAAACGAACGGATAAATAGAAGCGACAAAAGTCATAGATAAAATTGAATTCATCGGGCTAAAGCCATATCTCGCTCGAGGTAGACATTTCCACCAGTGAGGAGGGCTTGCGATTATGTGAAAAGAACAGAGGAGAGACGCAGAGGTGAAAACGGTCAAAGGGCGACACAAACGAACTAGCGACTAGAGACACTGATAAGAAAAAAAAGCTTATATCGACAGAACAAAAAATCAGACATCATAGAACATGAGATGGAACACATACAAGTATCAACTAGAAGAACGCTGAATAACAATTTAACAGGGGGAATTGAATTATTGTCCTTCCTCTAACTCCTTCTTCAGCATTTTCATTGATGGAGGGGCGGACGTAAGCGGCCCAGAAGAAATTTCTCTATTCCACTCGCTGCTCATTGGATCGCTCTTGGATGAGCCTTGTGGGCTGTCCGGTCCCGCGCTGATCTGAAAAAGAATCGGTCCATGAACAAAATAACATTATGGTTAACCTTATCATATTGCTCCTTCCATAACTTTCCAATGATTTTCGAGTTTTCATAAAGTTCGCTACCCTCCTGATTGAAGATTTGAGCGTTATTCACGAGTAGTTCCATATCTGTGTTAACGTCCTCTAGTGTCTGATAGCGACCGGTAGACAGTTTCCTTTTGAGCCTATCAAAATCCATTGGTGTTGCAATAATTTGATAATATTCCGGAAGCTCTCTGCGAGTTGGTAGTTTTTTGAACGGATCTGCGATACGGTAACCACCATCGTCCTCGTAAACCAAAATTACAGCAATCATGTCATTGACTGATCGTGCCAACTCTGGATCAGTCTTCACTCTTTTAGGTTGTTGAATAACATTATCCATTGACACGTCATTCTCATCTAGTCCTGCCATTTTCCTCTTACGCTGCTTTCTCTTCTCCAAAGCGATTCTTTCGTTTTCATCTTCGACTTCTTCTACTTGTCGCATGAACTGCTCCTCGGTCATCAGATCGGATGCGTAATCAATCTGGAAATTGAACGGTTTTTGAATTAATAACTACAGAGTTCAAACTAGAATTTTTTTTTAACTTGGGTTCCATTTTATAATTACCTCTTTACGCCGTCTTCGTTGATTGGGAGTTTGATCAACAACTTCGCGCCCTTCCTCCCTGGCTTTTTCCATCTCTTCGTAGTTGAAGGATAATTTGACGATATCATCTGGAATCTCCATCTCTTCCAATAGACGTGGCTTTCGATTCTGCTGAAGAGATTCCTCTCGTCTGCGATCAATGTCCATGGATTGGAATAAGCTGAACTCGTCTTCAGATCGAGCAACCATTTGATTCACAGTCTCATCATCCGGCACTTCTTCATCTTCTTCCTCTTCTCCATCGGCTCGAATGATGTCTTCTAGCATTTGTTTCCGTTCAGCACCAGTTGAACGTTGATCGAATTTACCAGCTTGAATAACCTTCTCGTCTACATTCAACTTGTAACGGGCAGCGGCCAAAATCTTCTCTTCGACAGAATTTGCCGTAATCAGTCGAAGAACTCGAACCTCTTTTTTCTGTCCGATACGATGAGCACGATCTTGAGCTTGCATATCTTGATGAGGATTCCAGTCCGAGTCGAAAATAATAACAGTATCTGCCGTTTGCAAGTTGAGACCAAGTCCTCCAGCTCTTGTTGAAAGCATGAAGAGGAAGTATTTGCTGTCTGGAGCATTGAACATTTTGAGTAACTCTCCACGTTCATCTGGTTTTGTTGAACCGTCTAAACGGAGATAAGTGTATTGTCGGAAATTCAAATAATCTTCGAAAATTGTCATCATTGTCGTCATCTGGAAGAACATCAATACACGATGACCAGTTGCTTTAAGTTTCGGCAAAATACGATCCAGAAGCTCCAGTTTTCCTGCCACACGAATCAAATTGACTCCACTAACGAAATTCACATTCCAATGGCTTCGACACGATTCCTCAATATTTTGGAATAGGAAGGGATGATTGCAAAGTTTCCGAAGGTGAATGATTGTATTCATCAAGGAACGAGCTCCACATGACGATTTCGAATCAAGCAGATATCCACGTTTCATATGACGATAGATGACTTTTTGAAGAGCCGACATATCACATTTGATAACGTATTCAGTTTTATCCGGCAGCTGTGACTCTACTTCTTTTTTAAGACGTCTCAACAAAAACGGACGAAGAACTTTATGAAGCCTCCTGATAATGAGCATAGTCTCTTCTTGACTCAACTCCACTTTTTCTCCTGTAGTGGCGAATGGAGCATTGAACCATTGTTCGAATGTTCCACAAGATGAGAAAATGGAGGGGAGCAGGAAGTTGAGAAGCGCCCATAGTTCTGGTAGCTTGTTCTGGAGCGGAGTACCGGTGAGAAGCAAACGATGTTGAGCGTGAAAATATCCATTGAGCATCAATGTCAACTTGCAATTGTGATTCTTGAGACGATGACCTTCATCGATAATCATATACTTCCATCTAATTTTTCCAAGCAGCGCCTTTTCTCGAATTACATATTCATAGGTTGTCATCAATACATTGAAGTTGCCTTTCCTGATTGCTCCTTCTGCAAGACGACGAGCATCTTTGGTTCCCTTGTAAGTAATTGCTGATACAGACGGAGCCCACTTCGCAAATTCGGATTGCCAGTTTGAAAGAGTAGACAGTGGGACAATAACGAGATATGGTCCTTTGTTTTGTTTTACCTCCATCAAATAGGTGATTAGAGAAATTGTCTGAAACAAGGGAATAGTTTTTAGTTTGACGCTAGTGACTCACTTGAATTGTCTTTCCGAGACCCATTTCATCTGCAAGAATTCCATTTAAATTGTTGTTGTGCAGCGAGACCATCCACTCCAACCCTTTTAGCTGATAAGGTTTCAGCAAGAGATTAGGATCACCGCCACCCATCGTAGAATGTTGTTTGACGACCTTTTCCTTCACTCTGTGTGCCGTCGCATAATAGTCAGCCATCTGCTTTTTGGTTCTCTGATCATATTCGTCTTCTTCATTACGAGCTTTTTCGATAATCATCTTTGCTTTTGTCTCGTCGTCCATTCCGGCGTACTGATCATCTTTTTCTTCTTCGATTACTTCTTCAGCAACTTCTTCCTCATCATCACCGTCATCATCACTGAGCTGATCTCGTGGAATTATTTCATATTCTGGGTGTGTCTCAAGCCAATATTCAACTTCTTCTGGTTTTGGAGCATCAGTTCCTGTCAGTATTTTTCCGGTACTTCTTTCTCTTACATGAACATGGACTTCTTCATCGAGTTGATCTCGCTGTCTGTCTTCTCTTTTCTTTTTCTTCTCAGTCGTTTGATGCTGGCGAACCAAGGAACAAAGAGAGTCGACGTATTCATCAGTTTGTTGAAGTAGGTACACCAGTCGCTGATCTTTCTTTTCATCGAGAAGTGCACGGTAACCTTCTTCGTCTTCTTGCATGAGTTTTTGCATTCGCAGCTTTTCATTGCGAATTTCATCTCTTTTGCGCTCTCGCTCGTTATTTTGATGGTATGTTGTAACAGCTTTTCTGGTTCTTGCTGTTTTCATTAGAATATTTCTGAAAACACTTCTTTAAGAATGGAGGCAAAAAACTTGAACTGACCGGTGATACTCCTTGAAATCTCTTGAGTGTTGAACGATTGCATACATCAAATCGGTATGCTTCTGTCTCCTATTTCTCTCTTGCTCCAACTTTAGTTGTTTCTCCAGTTTTTCGGTGATACGAGCTTCGCGAAGGGTCTGACGTTTCATGCGTCGATAAGCTTGGGGGTTCAGCGATGTTTCCAGAAGAGTATCGCGTTGCATACAAGACATTACGTCTTTTCGAACCTTAAAACAAGTAGCAATACAGAATCACAGAGAGCAACTTCATGAATACCTGTGTTTGCAAATTGAGCAAACGTATTGCGCGTAACTCGATTTCGGCTTTCAGTTTTATATGTTCCGGCATATCGGCAGGAAAATTTTTGAGGACTTGCAAACGAAGCCCTATTTTGTTATGGACCATATTTTCTCGTTGCATTAGCATCTCAATCGGATCAATTCCAGGTGGAGCAGAAACTGTTGTTTCCCGCTTGCTCCGTGCTTGATGTAGACTGAGAACCTGGAAAAGGAATACCTATATCCAAATTAGTGAACGAGTCTGAAAACCGGATTTGCAGAACCGATTTAAATTACGAAGCTCGTTCAAAAGCATAAAATTCTGAGACTTGAATATCACCTTTATCAAATCATATGGCAATTTTTCGCCGTTTTCTGCTTCGCCAGGATATTTGAATGGTTCTGGTAACATCGTAGTCTTCTTTGGAGGAAGTTGTACAGCATTAGCTATCAAATTCTCAGGGACCTTCTCATTTCGAGCCAGGAGACGATATGCAACGACTTGAGATTTCAGCTGGGATAACTGGGATGTGCTCAACTCTTTTTTCTCTGACGAACTACTTCCCACATTGGATGAATTGTTCTGAATTCCTCGTTGAAGTTTTTGTTTCAGTAGCAAAACTTCCGCATAACGCGGATCATTCTGTAGACCACGATCTTGCATTTCGGAAAGGACTTTGTCTAACTTCGTAAGAGCTTGATCTGGTTTTGGAGTATCGCTGCTCGGTTGACCATCTGCCATTACGCTGGCCAGTATTGGAGGTTGAGCAGCGCTCATATCTACCTTGAAGCTATCTTTGTTTACGTTGATTAGTGGGTTCTGTAACAATAATAATATTTGTTCTGTAAATTCAAACAAACTAAATATTCTTAAAGCAAATGGATGATGAAATAAAAATAACGATAAGGAAGAAAAAGAGGAAAATCGCCGATCGATAAATTTACAGCTACCGTAACATCTGTCATCGCGTTAGTGTCCATTAACATTAACAGTCATGCTCCTTTAAAATGGTTTGCGAGAGAATCAGAAAACTTTTTCATTCATGTTGAGATCTCTTTTATTATAATCTCATGTAAAATCGTGTTTATAGTTTTACAAAACTTTGTTTCATTTAAAAAATATAAATTATGTTTGAGCATAATGATCGAGGCGATGACTTCAGAAAGAACGAATCCGTAAGTGAAGAACTGTGTGCAATTTCATGGTTGAAGATTACAGGTTGTTTCTACACAATGCACCAGTTACGAGAGTTCGGACGAGTCAGATGACAGTTTCATCGATGAAGAAGTTATCCCGCTGAAGATTCAGGCGATCCGGAAGATAGAGTTTGCCCTGGCTGACATCCAAGAGCAAATTGAACGAGACGATAAAACCCTCATTTTGAGAACGTTGGTTTTGAAACGATATCTATTTATTTGACACAATCCTCCTCTCTTTCAGATCACACGACAAATCGAAGTTCTCACTTCGATATTCTCCTCGCATGAAGAAGAAGTTAGATCGAGATTTACATTGTCTTCATCAGATATATGACTTGCTAGAAAATGATAAAAAATCGACAAAGAGAGAATTGTTCTACGAGCATAAATTAATTTATGAAGTCCAACGGAATCTCGACAGCTCAATCACATCAATTTGTGAGCTATTGAACCAGAGTCGGGCGATGTTAAATGTGGTGAGATTTGAATTTGAGAAGATCACGAAATTGTACTCCGAGTACTATTACAGTTTGCATGTGGACGCGGAATCATTCGTGGGGCTATAACTTTCTTGGTAAAAGATGTCGGAGTTATTGATGCCAGAATTCAAGATGTTCTTATCACAGGCATCTAGAATTTTACCATCTTCTAAACTTTGTTTTTATTACAGATGCTCTAATTTACGCGGATATTGTGTCAGAAGCTGAATTTGTGCTTGTTGTTGAAAAAGACACAATTTTTCAAAAACTAAAGGATGAAGATTTTCAAAAAATGTTTCCTCGAGGGATTCTAGTCACTTCCAAAGGATATCCTGATATTGCAACTAGAAATGTTCTTAAAATGTTTGGTGAAAGAAAGAATTTTCCAATCTATGGGTTATTCGATGCGGATCCTCATGGTAAGTTTTTTTAATTAGGCAATCAATGACAATAGTTATTTTTTTAGGGATAGAAATCTATTTGACATACAAATATGGGGCAACGAAAGAAACTGCCGAAGGACGGGGAGCTTTTGTGCCTTCGATTCAGTGGATTGGGTAGGAATTTTTAAAAATCAGTGTTCAAGAAAATTCTTTTTCTTTCAGCCTATTCCCAACTGACTTCAAAAATTTCTTCATCGACAAATCTCAGCAACTCCCATTGATTCGTTCCGACTATGTGAAAATCGAAAATCTGATTCCCCGTTCCATTCAGCTCGGAGAAATTTCCGTTACTCGTGAACTCGATTATATGATTCAGAATCCTTTGAAATTCGAACTGGAATCCATCAACATGTGCGGACCAGAGTATATGGGAAGGTATCTAATTGCTCCACGTGTTAAAAAAGTTGAAAAGAAAATAATGGATCCAATTGAAGAAGTTGAAGCTGAACAGGGTTCGCTAGATTCACAACTTTCTTTCGACGCTAACACTTCTGATGAAGATTTGGACGATTGTTATGCGGATTCTGACACTGAGCGAATGATGGATGATTTAATAGACAACGACAGCGATTGACTAGAATAAAAGTTTTATTTCAAATGCAATATTGCAATTACAACCACAAAAAGGGTAGAACCGTAAAGTGTTCGAGAAGTACTGAGACTGAGAAAGGGGATGGGTCGAAAATAAATTAAATCATTTTCTTGAAACAATACGAGTAATCTTAATTTATCACAATATCATCGAGAGCATAAAGCTAAGGGGTGTGAAGAGTTTGGTAACCGTTTAGAGCTCGGAGTGTTCCTCCTCGATGGCGTTTCTTCAGAAGGTTCTGCTTCTGGTTCGGCTTCTTCAATATGTTGTTCTGTTTCAACTTGAGCGTCTTGAGAGACATCAAGAGACTGGCGCAAAACAGCTTCAATTCTGTCTGCAAATCCAACTTGATCTTGAAGGGAGAATCCTGATCGAAGAGTAGCTGTCTCGAACAGAAGCTTAGCAGTTGACGAAGCGATAACGTCGTCTTCCGATGCAGTTACTCTCTTCAGAAGCTCCTTGATGACTGGATGACGTGGGTTAATTTCAAAGGTCTTCTTTTGAGTAGCATAGAAATCTTGAGTTGGATCCTTAGCCTTAGCGTAAGCTTGAGACTTCATGATGCGCTCCATGTTTCCAGACCATCCGTAAGACGATGCAACAAGGGCAGATGGAGACTTCACAAGACGTTGGGAAACGACAGCCTTCTCGATAAGATCCTTGAGGGCGGTTTCCTTGAGCCAGTCGGTGAGTGGCTTGTATTCCTCTTCGAGAGCCTTGTGAGCTTCCTTAGCCTTCTCTCCATCATCAATGTTGACTCCTTCCTGAAAAGAAAAACAGAATTCGATGAAGGATATAAATTGGCATTAAGAAGGAATTCAAGAAATACACCGCTTTTGATTTTACTGCAACTTAAAAATCTTACCTTGGCGACATTCTGGAACTTCTTGGACTCGTATTCTGGCATAGCTTGGATACAGTACTCGTCGACGGCTTCGGTAAGGAAAAGAACCTCATATCCCTTGGCAATAAGTCTTTCAACAAATGGAGATGTTTCAACCTCCTTTCTAGATGTTCCGGCCATGTAGTAAATGGCATCTTGCTTCTCCTTCATTCTCTCAACGTAAGCAGCGAGAGTCGTGGTCTTTTCGTCATCGTTGGAAGATTGGAATCGAAGAAGTTTGGCGAGGCGCATTCTGTTTGATGGATCCTCCATAACTCCCAATTTGATGTTGGTGGAGAACTCTTTCCAGAAGTCGTCGAACTGAGCTCCATCAAGTTTCTTGAGCATGTCGAGCACTTTACGAACAAGTTTCTTCTTGATGACCTTGAGAAGTTTATGCTGTTGAAGATTTTCACGAGAAACGTTGAGTGGGAGATCATCAGAGTCGACGATTCCGCGAATGAAAGAAAGGTACTTGGGGAGCATATCAGCGAAGTCGTCTGTGATGAAAACGCGACGAACGTACAACTTGATGTTTTCGACGATCTTTCCATAGTTCTAAAATTAAAATTATTAATTTTTCAAAAGAAAACTGTCGCATAGGTAGTAAAAAATTACAAACCTGGAACATGTCATTTGGAGACTTCTTTGGAACATAGAGAATCGATCTGAAGGAAACCTCTCCCTCGGCACTGAAGTGAACGTGGCTCAGAGGTTCCTCGGAATCCTTGGTGATGCTCTTGTAGAATTGTTTGTATTCATCTTCTTCAACTTGGTTTGGCTTGCGCATCCAGATTGGCTTCACATTGTTGACCTTCTCCCAATCCCATGTGGTCTTCTCAACCTTTTTGGTCTTTTTCTCTTCTTTCTCTTCTTCAACAGCTCCATCTTCGGTGGTAGCTGGTTCTTCTTCGACTGCTTCTTCAACCATTTCGGTCTTTGATTGCCAGAGGAAAATGTCGAAGTTGATGAATTGGGAGTACTTGTGAACCAAGTTCTTGAGGGTGTCTGGCTCCAAGAAATCGGCAGCTTCTTCCTTAAGGTAGAGTGTGATTTGGGTACCGCGCTTCAAGGTGTTTCCACGTGGATCCTTGGTTATGGTGAAGCTAGATGAATCAGATTCCCAGATGTATTGGTCATCATCATTGTTCTTGGTAGTCACGACGACGCGGTCGGCAACAAGGAAAGCTGCGTAGAATCCAACTCCGAATTGTCCAATAAGATCCTGTTGCTGATCGGAAGAAGTGGCAGTATCCATGAGCTTGGACAAGAACTCAGAAGTTCCGGAGCGAGCGATTGTTCCCAAGTTATTGATGAGGTCTTGACGGGTCATTCCTACTCCAGTGTCAGTAATGTGAAGGAGACGGTTCTCACGATCAGCTTTAATTTTAACGGACATCTCTTCAGTCTCACGAAGCTGCTCTGGGTCAGTCAGAGAAAGAAGTCGGATCTTGTCTAAAGCATCAGAGGCATTGGAGATAAGTTCACGAAGGAAGATCTCCTTGTTTCTGTAGAGTGAATTAATAATGAGCTTCATCATCCGGTTGACTTCAGCTTGGAATTCGTGTTTTTCGGCCTTCGATCGGAGCTCCTTGATTTGGGATACAGATAGTCCATCTAGTTTGATTGTGTCCTCTTCTCTGAAAAATTTTAATTCAAAATTTTAACGATCATTTTAGTTATTCAGATTCCATTAGCACTGATTCAAAAATTTTCACAACAAGGAATAAGCTAGCTTATAAAAGCTTAGTATTTCTAAGAAGCCCTACTTTTACATCGTATTAGAATCCCTATTTCCTTTCCGTTCCTGAAGACACTCTTCTTTAGGAGTAGATTAAATCATGTGATTTCATCTCCGTCCTTGACCAGCTACACTTCTTAGAAAGTCAGTGCCCCATTATGTAGGTCACAGATAACCCTGTAAGCCGTGCGCTTGACCCGTAAACGGATTTTTTAACCTGTCAGGAAATGAGGAAACACAAACAAGATAAGATAACCTCGCAGTCCATCGAGTATATTTGCATTCCGACAAAGGGCAACTCTCCATCAAACAGGCTCTATATGCTCCCTAAAGTAGAGAGTGTGCAATAAGGATGAGAGTCGCGTAAGTGGACTGTCTCGGACTGGTACCGTTCGAAACGTTGGCGGTGGAAGGTAGATGAACAAATATTGATTTACTACGAAGTAACCAAAAAAAGAACGGACACCCAGTGACATACCACAGGTTAATTGGAATGACTGCAAAATTAGATGGACCTAGTTTTTAAACCGGAAAATATGTGTTTGGTGATTTGATGGGTTTTGATCAAGCCTTGAAAAGGAGGAAGAATGAATCAACAAAATAAACTCTTGGCAATTTTTTGAACATTTATAAATTCCTTTGAATTGGCTAGTGGGATAATTACTGATACTGATATAGAAACCTTCCATGAGAAATTCTTTAGTACTAAAAACTACAGCTGAACGTTTTTTACACAAAAGTGTTAATTTCAGCTCACCTGGTTTCTTCTTTGCTTCCCTTAGTCGGCGCATTTTCAATTTCATCTTCGGCGTAGGCGTGTGGAAGGAACGCTGCAAGAAAAGATATGGTTCAAGATTGTTTTAGAGATCTAGATCTAGTTTCTGACAAGCTTATCAACGGATACTCTTACCTGATACAGCCAGAATGGCGGCAAAGCCCACAACAAGGAACCTCATAGTCGTCTTTCCCTAACGACGGAGAATTAATGGAATGAGGTGTGTTTCCCGACGGTCAATTACTGTCCCTTTTCTCTCCGTTTATTTGTTTTCCTTCGCTGTGCTCACCTCTTCTCGACGTGTCTTAATAAGCCCCGCCTCTCATTGCAAACGCCGCAGGCTGTCGGTGTCTCTCCAATATGCGTGCTCTCTAACCGAAAACTGCAAAGTGCGGCGCATTACTAGTTGCAAAAAAGGGCGGAGTCGGCCAATCGGCCAGTTTGGAAATAGCTCTGAACACGTGGAGAGGATGTCCTGGAATTATGTTTTCTTTGCTGAAAATATAGTTTTTATTCAAATCTGGAAGAGTAGTGGAATAATTGAACTGAATTCGACTGAAGACGATATAATAAGAATTTGCGAAAAAAAACCCCCTTTTGAATTGCCGATTCTGACACTTGTTATTCCTCTTCGCTTTTCTTTCTTCGTTCTTAATTATCCAGTTAAGTAATTTGTTTCAGTTGGGTCATCAAATCTCTCGAAATGGCGGAAACTACCACCGAAGTGCCATCGACGGTCGCAAATGCTACGGTCTTCACATTTGAAGAGCAGGTTTGTATCATATAACTGAAAGTCTAGTCTTAGAAAAACTTGTACATTGTCATTCAGGTGTGCGATGATAAATGAGTTTTTATTAGATTAGAGAGATGGTTTTTTTTGAAAAACAGCGATTTTCAGGCGACCAGCTCTCTTGCACTCTATGGAATGTCGATTTTCTGTATCATTATTGGATCTATTCGCTCTACCCAATATATCAGGAGACAGATTGAGAAAAAACGTCTAATTGAAGGCTCCATCACAATGAGAGAAGCAAAAAAATTCCCGATCTCCGCATCATGTGTTCTCTTCGGATTGTATCTTTTCTTCAAGCCAGCTAATGAACGTTTCAACTGGGTGGCATCTGTGGCTCAAAAGTTGAGGGTACCTGAAGAATACGTCCAAAAAATTAATGCTACGATTATCAACTACACTGCTGTCCCGGAAACATCAACAGATCCTGCCGAATCACTTCTGATTAGATTAGCGTCAAAGGTCCCACATCAATATGTTCCTGAAGCTATTCATGCCGGTGCTGTTTGGGCCTATGGACAACTTCCGACCCTTGGAAAAAATGAATGCATGCTTCTCTTGACGTTCCTGATTTGCTTCGAAGGAGCCAGTTCCTTTGCTTCTCTAATCAAACCTTTGGTCTCCGCCATTGTCAAGAGACTACCTCTGATTGGATTCAACGCTCCTTATTTGCTTTCTCTGAAAAAGGGCAAAAAAGAAATGGAAGAAGGAGATATCGAAGAAGCCAAGAGCAAAGATACGGAGTACTTGTGCAAGTTTGAGTTCGATCGTCATGATATCATCTCATTGCTTCTTTGCTCTCCAGTTCTCATTTCTCACTTGTACAAGCGTCATTGGATCACCAACAACATCATTGGTGTGAGCTTCTCTATTGTCGGTATCCAACACCTTCATCTGTCAAGTTTCAAGGTGAGTTCAGATTCTTTCATTTTCGGAAACCCATATTCGCGATAATGATTTTTAAATTAAGGAAATTCATCGTTTCAGGCTGGTTCCTTGCTTCTTTGTGGTCTCTTTCTCTACGACATCTTCTGGGTCTTCGGAACAGATGTGATGACCTCAGTCGCTAAAGGAATCGATGCTCCGATTCTGCTCCAGTTTCCTCAAGACATCTACCGTAACGGACCATGGGAGGCTAACAAATATAGCATGCTCGGACTCGGAGATATTGTTATCCCAGGAATTTTCATTGCTTTACTTCGTCGATTCGATTATCGCGTTGTCCAAAGTACTGCCGAAGCGAAGGCTCCACAGGCTTCTCTTAAAGGACGTTACTACTTCTCTGTGACCGTTATCGCTTACATGGCTGGGCTTTTCATCACCATGGCCGTTATGCATCGCTTCAAGGCCGCACAACCGGCTCTCCTGTATCTTGTACCATGCTGCCTCTTCGTTCCGCTTCTTTTGGCTGCCATCCGCGGAGAAGTTTCAGCTCTCTGGAATTATGACGAAGGAAAACATGTCGATAATGAAGAAAACAGAAAGCGAGTGGATTCAGGAAAGAAGAATAACTGAAAATGTTATAATTCCGACTATTCTATATCACATCTAGCCATCCCTGTTTTATTCGCCTGTCTCTTCTTTCGCATAATCACTTTTTCTGTCCTTTCCGTTTCTATATTTTCTTCGGGTTTTATTTAGCTTTTCCTTCCTCTTTCCATTTCCCCTGTCGACAGAACCGAAATTAAGTATTGTCTTCTTGTCTAAATATTTATTTGTATTTATTTATTTATTTATTTACTCGAATAAAAAAATCCCACAAATAAACCTTTATTGAATGACAGCTCATATTACATAAAAAATATCCACTGATTATTTTTATATACAAATTATAAGAGAGGCGAAAGATTCTTGGGAGTGAAACCCGCGTAAGAACTCACTAGGAGACGGTGAACAGAAAAGATTGCAGTTTACAATGATGTGCTAGTCACCTTCGACTGTCGCTTCTTGTTTTTATGAACTAGCACAAGTGCAGATCCAAACAAACTGCAAACAAATGAAATCCATTGAAGAAGAGAAGCAAATCCGAATACATAGTACGCCCATCCATAATGAATCTGAAATTTCATGATTGGTATAATTCAAATATAGCCCCCCACCTCAATATGACCCCCCACCTTATAAACAACTATAGTAGAGCCCCCCACCAGTACAAAAATGGGTGGGTTCTCTACTGAGGTGTGGGGGGGGGGGGGCTGAAGTTAAATTGGTTGATTAAAGTATGACCCCCCCCCACCTGTACAAAGTGGGGGCCTATACTTGAGGAACCTGGTATTCTTAAAATATGACCCCACCCCTCTCTGTCTTCTTCAATTAAAGCCCCCCAACCATTCAAAAATAGCCCCCAAAAAGAAAACCTTATCTGCCCCCCCCCCCCCCCACTTTATTCAAATATGACCCCCACCAAATTCAAAAATAGCCCCCCCCACCATTTTAAAAATAGCCCCCCCCCCCCATTCAATTTTAGACCCCCACCAATTCAAAAATAGGTCCCCACCATTTTTTGGCCTAAGCCTGAATTTTAGAATGTTTTAATTTTGGAAGTTCTGATAAGATATACATAGCTGAAAAGTATTTTTCAGATAAAGTTCCCAAGAAACAAGGAAAAATGATGAAAAATGACACAAATTCCGAAAAAATCAAAAAATTTTTAAGAAAAGCTCAAAATTTGAATCATGACGGTTACGGTACCCTTCACACACCACAAACTACGCAAAATTGGGGGTCTATAATTGAATGGGTGGGGGGCTTATGTTGAATTGGAATGAACCATTTAAAAGTGGGGGTCTATAATTGAATGGGTGGGGGGCTTATGTTGAATTGGAATGAACCATTTAAAAGTGGGGGTCTATAATTGAATGGGTGGGGGGGGGCTTATTTTGAATTGGAATGTACCATTTAAAAGTGGGGGTGTATATTTGAATTGGTGGGGGGCTTTTTTTGAACTGCTGCAAGTGTCTAGATTGTTGGAGGTGGGGGCTCTACTATGGTTCATTTTGGGGGGGGGGGGGGGCTATACTTGAATTGGGGTGGGGGCTATATTTGAATTCAGCCTCATGTGATTTCTTATCATAATGATCTAACCTAGATACAAACCTGATATTGGTATCCAGAAACCAGTTCATACTGGTTTTCCTTCAGTTCGTAATAATAGGTGTACGCTAGGAATCCAGATAATGAACAAATTGCTGAAATATTTGCCGTTTTGTGATGTATGTTATACGGTAGCAACAGTTTACTGTAATATCTACCAAGTGAAAAATTAGTTAAACTTTGATAAGGTTTCAAAGAATTCATACTACTTCATGAACAATTTCTTCAAACTAACCAGCTGCAATCAGAACCACACTCTGTGCCAGAGCTCCAAACGAGGTGAAAATTGTACAGATTGAAAAGCAAATTGAAAGAATACAACATGCCATTGAAGCCGAAATGAGTATGATAGTTGCTAGCTCAAAATCTGGAAAGAGTATAATTGATGTGTTAAGTATTCAGATGAGTTACCTCCGAAGCAATTCCTTGTGGATTTTTCGTGATTCGTGTTTGATTTTTCTTGACAGTAAGCTGAGTTTATGTAGTTTCGAAGATGGCAGGTTTTGGAATTACTATCATCTGAAAACCAAATTTATTGAACAAAAAACAGTACAGTAATCCTACCGTCTCGAGATTGGGTTTGCGTCTCCGGAGTATAACAGAATCGGAAAAGTCCATAGTTTTTCATTCCACCCAAACTGTCGGAGTTGTATCGGAATGAAGCGGAAAACATGCAAACTGTTAGTAGGATTAACGAAAAAATGGCGATTACTGTCGAGAGACCAACGCAACATATTCTGCCTCGAGCCGCCATCTGGAACAGTTAGAAAATTAAAAAAAAAAGAAGAGATCGAGAAAAAGGTTTAAGTTACTGTAGATTTTTTTGGAAGAAATAAAAATTTATAGGTTCAGAATTCTCTGAATTCTTTCATGGTTTCTATGTTGAATGTTGAAGGAAAAAAATAACTGTATTGAATTTTCAAAAAAAAATCAGGATCGTGAGCACACATTGATATTTTTGTACTTTGATAGTGAGTCAGAAATATTGGAAATCGTGTGGCTTAAAGGAAATAAGATGGAATAACATTCAAAAAATTTAAAATTAGGTCATCAACTACTTCTGCTCTCCAGTGTTCAAAGGTGAGGCGCGGTTGCCGAAAAGCGTGCGAACGGCGGCTGAAGGTTCAGAATTGGCTATAACTTGCGTATTCAAGCAAACGGGGTGAACTGTGACAAAAAACATAAAAAGACCCCATTAGTAATCCGATCATAATGAAAAATCTTTTTTTGTAAAATATTTTGTAATCCATATGAAAAAGTTTTCTAATATTTTTGTTTAAAAAAGACATAGTTCCTCTATTATGGTCCAATTACTAATTTTTTGCGTTTTATAATTTTTGTCACAAACTTTCTTCCGCCACTTTCTTGAATAGGTAAGTTATAGGCAATTCTCAGATCTTCAGCCGCCCTTGGTACTTTTTTCGGGAACTTCACCATTCCTGTGTTAGGAAAATGGTGAGGGATTCGGCTAATATAACTATCACATAACTTTAATAATAATTTCAAATTTTGAAAAATAAGCTTTTTTTTAAACTAACAAATTTTCAATATGTAGTTAACTACTTTCCGGTACTTTCCGGAAAGTTCTTCCGAAAATTTCTTGAATCCCCTCAATATTCAGTTTTATAGGGAAAATACCCATGACAAGAATAAACAGAAAAAGCAATTACAAAGAATCAAACATCTTTCACTTTCCTAAATATTTCTGGAAATGTCTATAACTGTTTTTTTCGAAAAAAGAACTAAATTTTTTGAAACTGTCTGAGATTCGAAAAAAATTGATCCGGAAAATTAGCACTTGATCAGGATTTAAAGTTATCAGAATGCCACAATATGGTACTGTATTCTTTCAGATGAAGCACCGATGGACAGTGTGATGTTCACTTTGATGATTCACATATTTTTGTTTTGGATTTGTGTATATTCACACTTTCTTGAAGAAAGAAGAAATATAGTACAGCCATGGGACTGTTTTTGTTTGCCATAGGAAAGAGAGCACCGGAAATTGCAACGGGTGATCATCTGTTTGTTTCGATTCTGAATCATCTTTATGATATCAGTTGAAACGAAAATCGGAGACCGAACGAAATTCATATTCTTCCCTATGCTTGTTAGGATCCCAAAACAAATATCGACAAATATCGTCCCTAGATATTAATCTTCAAAAATTTATAACTTTCTGTTCAAGGGCATTGCCCATTGGGCAACTATGAACGAGTTATAACTTGGAACCGTCTGGATTAGAAAGATAAGAAATATAATTAAATTTCCAAACCAAGGACATATAATATCTTTCAGGAACAAAGTTGTTATTGAGTACCCAAAATCTTTCTGTAGAAGAATATTGTTTGATAAAGAGTACGGCCTACTGGGCCTTTGTGGGGCCTCTATTTTCAACCTCCTTCTGGGTGTGGACTAATTTTAGAGAAAACGCTCCAATTAGCTGGTTTCGGTTTTCCACAAGTTTTGAAAATTTCAAAAAACACATAAGGGGGGACCATTATGTGATTTTTTTCGATCAAAAAATTTTTTTCGTTTTTTTAAAAATATTTTTTGATCAAACAGACGAACAATCCAAAAAGCACAAAAAAATATAGAAAATTGTATTGAGAGCTCAAAATTCGGTTCAAAATGACAAAATTTTTGCTACCGGGCCTTCCGGGCCGGGCCCGGGCCTTGAAATTTTCCTCAGGCCCGGACCGGCCCGGGCTTTGGCGGGCCGGCCCGGAATTTTACAAGTATGATTATTTGGAAAACTGCATCTTGTCTATGAAAAAAGTTTCAAGCCATACAGTGCCTGTTTTTTCGGGTGGTTCCGTCTGCAATTTTGTTCATAGACAAGATGATTTTTTTTTCTTAATAACATCCTTTTGTAGTACTTGTCGAGTTCTATCATATCTAACTTAGTTCGTCCAAAACATTGATTCTAAAAGAAACTATTGCTGGGCCCGCAAAGCCTTGTCGAATGACGGGTTAAGTATGGATTACGGTATTTACAGAGTTTCGTTCAAAGTTTCCATCTAGCATATTATTTTCAAAACCTAACCAAAAATTTTGAAGTCTCCCTCTTCTTCTTACCTTCAACTTCTTTGAAAGTTTGCGTTTTCTTTTGTCTCCAACTTGCTGATCATGTGAAACGATTTCTCTGGAAACAATACGGTTTCCATGTGCATCTCTTGATCCAATTGGACCCAGGTCAATTGATTCAGAAGAATAGGAAATGGTAGAAACCGACATTTGAAATTTAAGAATGGAAGATAGGGAAGAAGAAGGAATGGGAAAGCTCTGTTGGAAAGAATGATATACCGAGAGAATTACAGAAACAAATGGGAACCGCGGGGGCGCTCTCATTTTTATGGTTTGTGAACTGAGAAAGTTATCGTAAAATTTTGTTTTGATAACTAAAAAAATCAAAAATCTCAATTTAGAGTTCAAAGCTCATAATTCGTAGAGTAAAGACACAGTGAAATAATTAGAACCGAAAACAGAAATCTAAACATTTTTGGTCCTGCCTCCATTTTTCTCTTTGTATGTAAAAGTGTCACGGGCCAGGGATCAATTGTACTGCTCTTCGGAGCACAAGTGTGGATGAGCACAAGCACGACAACTGACGTGGCAAATGGATGAAAACGCGGCGAAGAAATTGGAAAGCCGCATGAACCATGACAGAGAAGCGAGACGAAAACGACAAAATATTGTGATTTATTGTCTGGCCTGATGAAAAAGTTAACGATTACATGAAAGCTTTTTACATTTAGTACCTATAGCTTTGATTTTTTATGTAAAATCATTCTGGACAGAATGAGGGCATACATTGATGAATCACATCTAAAATAATCATCTTAATTTTCCACATTTACTGTAAAACCTATAATAGAAGGACCCCGCGCTATCAAGTTTGAGTCAATTTATCTCGGTTCCTGTCAGAGGTTTTTAAAAGGTGTCAACTAATAAAATGTGTTATAGTATGATAAACAATTTATCAGATGACAACTTTTATATATATATATATATGACAGGAAACGATATATATTAGCGCAAAGTTAGAAATTAGTGGGCTCTGCTATTACAGGTTTTACGGTAACATGACCATTCCTGTTAGTGACGAATCATCATTGGGATAATAGAAAAGCTTTTCCAAGTAATTGAGGATTTGAGGATAAAATTCAACTTGAGACTTTCACGATGGAAACGAAGTTTCGAAGCATCGATTTCAAATCAAAGCTTTTAAAAGTCTGATAAAACTTTAATTGTAAGCGAAATAATTATGTTTTGGGGTTATTCACCGATATGCAGAAAAATTCGGAGAAAATACAAAAAATTCCGCAGAAATTCACTTCCCAACAGAGCTTTCCCATTCCTTGGAGAATGAACCAAACCGGCAGAAATTTCGGAGAAAATAGGAGAAAATTATAGGGAACATATTCACAAAAATTTGGGTCAACATATTCACTTTGAAAGTTTTGTCTGAAATTCCAGCCAAACTTTCAAAGTGAATATTTTGACCCAACTTTTTGTGAATATGTTCCCTATAATTTTCTATTATTTTCTTCGAAATTTCAGCCAGTTTGGCTCATTCTCCGAATTTCTGCGGAATTTTTCGTATTTTCTCTGCATTTCTCTACATGTTGGTGAATAACCCCATTTGAGTCGATTCTATGTTGTATTCCAATAATAAATTTTTATCTTTCTTTTTTAAATTTTTCTTTTTTTCCAACTTTTGTGGAACCCATTCGAATGAAAGAATCGTTTTGGAGTTGCCGCTCTGTTTCTAATTTTAAGAGACGCAGACGACAAAAACTAAAGGCGCAATGCGTTTCGCCGGTGGCGATATCTCGCCACGACAGTTACCAGCGACAGGAGATTTGAGGCCCAATTTCTATTTCTTTTTTGCAAAATTTCTTTTTTTAATGTTTTTTTCACGATTTTGGCCTAAAATTCGTGCAAATTAGTGCTTAAAATACTGTTTTTCGGGTTTAAATCGATTTTATATCGTTCGTTTGTCATGAATATCGTCAAGTCTTATTCAAAAATTTAGGACTTGTCAAAGTTCTGTACTCTTTTATAACCGGAATGAATTCACATTGAATTGTTTTATAATCTTCTGACTTTTGATTTTTTTTTGCTCAATTAAGTTCAAATTGTTTTTAATTTCAGGATGGCCGATAACTGGGGATCTGAAAACGTCGAGATCGACGCCGCTCCAGCTACCGAAGCCCCAGAGGTTTATAAAATTACTCTTTAAAAATTCTTAATTCGATAAAATTTTATCAAAAAAAAATTAATTTAAAAAATCAAGTAACTGATAAAGTTTTCCAGGTTGCTCTCTTCGGAAAATGGTCGCTTCAGAGCGTGAATGTATCTGACATTTCGCTTGTCGACTACATTCCAGTCAAGGAGAAGTCCGCCAAGTACCTTCCACATTCGGCTGGACGCTTCCAAGTCCGCCGTTTCCGTAAGGCTGCCTGCCCAATCGTCGAGCGTCTTGCCAGCTCTTTGATGATGCACGGACGCAACAACGGAAAGAAGCTCATGACTGTCAGAATCGTCAAGCACGCTTTCGAGATCATCTACTTGCTCACTGGAGAGGTACAAATTTACTGCATACTTTTGTGTTTATTTTATCGACTAATTTTCAGAACCCAGTCCAAGTTTTGGTCAATGCCGTTATCAACTCGGGACCACGTGAAGACTCGACCCGTATTGGTCGTGCCGGAACAGTCCGCAGACAAGCTGTTGACGTTGCCCCACTCAGAAGAGTCAACCAGGTAAAACTATTCTAGTTTTTTTTTCAATACTGAGTAATTATTTTCAGGCTATCTGGCTTCTCTGCACCGGAGCTCGCGAAGCTGCTTTCAGAAACGTCAAGACCATCGCTGAATGCTTGGCTGACGAACTCATCAACGCCGCTAAGGGATCCTCCAACAGCTACGCCATCAAGAAGAAGGACGAGCTCGAGCGTGTCGCCAAGTCCAACCGATAAGCAACTTGTTATTTACTTTTATCTCGTTGTACGACAACTGATAAAACCTTGTTTGTTCATATGTTGTTACCTAAGCAATGCATTCTCAGAATACTGTCTTAGCCAGATGTTCCACATTATTACATGCCCACAGCACAATTTGCGCCCTAGTGCACAATAGTCAAACAAGCCATTATTCATTGAAATAGAACATTTAAGGCTATGCGCCATGTACTATTGATTTTTTCCGCAATAATCGGATCTCAAGCTGTTTTAAATACTGGTCTCCAGCTCAAAATCGATGAGCTTTTCGATACTCCAGGTATTTATTGATTCGTAATTTGACAATTGCGAGGGTGGGAATTTCAGGTCACACGAATAATTGGGCGGTGCTGGTCTGCACCTCAAAATTCTGGTTCAACTATCGTCATGTTTCAAATGTTTTAGCCCTTTATCATTCTATCAAAAGATTAGGAGTTCCAGACAGGTTTCAGAAATCAAAAAAAAAATTGCAGCCAATGTCTATCATTTTACAGTAATATTATTATGATGCTTGCTGAAGATGTTCCCTGCAACTCTAGAAACCCACGACCAGGCACAGTCTACGCAGCGAGAGCTGGAGCTAATTTGTATGGAAGCGACGTGGAAGTCGATTACCGAGGAGAAGAAGTGACTGTAGAAAATTTCATCCGTATCCTAACAGGTCGCCATCATCCTGCAACCCCTCGTTCGAAACGATTGCTCACTGATCATCAAAGCAATGTTCTGATTTATTTGACTGGTCACGGTGGAGACAGTTTCATGAAGTTTCAGGATTCCGAAGAACTGACAAACGTTGATTTGGCATATGCTGTTCAGACGATGTTCGAGGATAATCGGTGAGAAATTAGAATGGAGGAATTCTAAACTTGAGAAAATCTTTTCATATTGTCACTCAATCAGTGGCAAAGTATTGAAATTCTGAAGTAAAGAATGTAAATTATTGCTTTACATCCTTCTCAAATTATCAAAAAATAAAATATTCAATTTTCAGCTACCACGAAATGTTAGTAATTGCTGACAGTTGTCGTAGTGCATCAATGTACGAATGGATTGATTCACCAAATGTTTTGAGTCTCTCGAGTAGCTTGACCCACGAAGAAAGCTATTCATACGATGTGGATACAGATATCGGTGTGTACGTCATCGATCGGTATGTTTTGAAAATATATAACATCTAATGAACTGAAACAATTTAAGGTACACCCACTACACTGTGAATTTTCTAAATAACAAAGTGAAAGCTCTAAACTCGTCAGCTAATATGCAAGACTATATCGATTCATGTCCAGCGAGAAAATGTTTGTCTAATACTGGTGAGTATTTTTGAAAATTCAAGAAAGAATCCCGAAAAACTGTAAAAAACAATTCTAGGGTTTTCAGTTAAGTCAGATACAATTTTAGGAGTTTTGGGACTTTTAGATCAAATTCTGAAAAGCGAAAAAAAATCCAAAATTTGATGTTCTCCAAAGAACAAAAAAATTCTCGAGTTTTTCGATGTTCAGAATGTGTTCCGTCAGAAAAAGCATATTTGAAACCCCTAAAATTGATTTTGTAGTCTGTAATTTATCCATTCGTCTGTATAACCGAGGTTTCGAAGTAACGCGGAACCGAAAAGATAGGGTTCCATGGATCATCCTATATATATATATATATATATATATATATATATATATATATATATATATATATATATCTTTCTTAGTTTTATTGAGATTTTACTAATATTCAATCTTCATGACTGTTACCATGACAGTATAATGAACAAGATTATAATTTTTCGACGATCTGCAAAAATAAGTTCCAATACTTGTAATTTGCAGGAGTTCGAAAAGATCACTATCCCAAAGATGTGAAGCGAGTTCGAGTAACCGACTTCTTCGGATCTTCGCGAATCTTCCAACATCTCAGTGAGGAGATTGTTCTTGATGACGAGTTCTGGGCGTGATAACGAGTGCTGGACCCATTGTGATAGATGCTTTATTGCTCCTGACTTAATTTTATACTGGTTATTTATGTTTTATATGATTCCTTTGTTTTTTCATGTACGATTTTTAATAACCGTACCGGCACTGCTGCTTCTCTAATAAATAATGAAGGTTACAATAAATGAACTTTGGGAGTATGAGTTTAAGGAAGGATTATCCGCTTTAGTCGATGAAACCAGATTAACGAGACGAGTATGGGATGATTCTGTGAATAACGTTCCCGGTTCAAACTACTCGTACGCTCACTTCTTTTTCTAGTTACTTTGTCTTTAGTAAAAAAAAATTAGACCAACTTGAAGTATACATGCTATTCTGGTACAAAGAAATCGGAGCTGTGGAAGAGAAATGCCGCTGGTAAAGATCCCACAACAACAACTACAGTAACTTAAAAATAGTTCGATTTTCCAGATTTTTTTGATTTTCGTGCGTTTTCAGCCAATTTTTGCACTATGACAACTTTTATTGCCTACTTTTCTGGATGGAAAATGACAGAAAACTAGACGAGAATCAGAGAAAATCGAGAAAATAACACGAAAGATATACTTTTAGGCATACTTGTAAAATTCCGGGCTGGCCCGCCAAAGCCCGGACCCGGAAGGCCCGGTAGCAAAAGGTTTGTCATTTTGAACCGAATTTTGAGCTCTCAATTCAATTTTCTATATTTTTTTGTGCTTTTTGTCACATAAGGGTCCCCCCCCCCCCCTTATGTGTTTTTTGAAATTTTCAAAACTGGTGGAATGACAGGCCCGCCGGGTCAGGCCGGGCCTCAAATATTCGGGAAAAAGCCCGGCCCGTTACAAGTATGTTTTTAGGTTACGGTAGTTGTCGTTGCGGGACCTTCGGTCATGGCCACCGGCGTTTCTTCCACAGATCTGATTTTTGTGGCAGAATGATAGCCATGATTTAAGTCGAAAAATCTGCAATGGAATTAACAATTAAATAAAATTTCAAAATTTAAATTCATGATAATACATTAACACAGTTGAGTTTTAAATAAATAAAAAGATGCTTTGATGTTTGAGATCGTCATTTCTTTTCCTTTTTTTTTCCGTCCAACGCGTACCTGAAAAAGTTTCAAAAAATGATCGCAACCCTCCGCCTGCAGAGGATAATATAAAGATCAGTATCAGTATCAATGGATGTACGCATATCGAAACTACTACATATACAAACTCTCTGTTTCGTGTTCTATTTCACCTGAAAAGAAAAGTGAGCTACCGGTATAAAAGGAAGAATTGAATTCTCTGGAAATCATCATTCGACTCTTCTTCTCTTTTCTTCTTTGCTCCTTATCTTCTGATGTTGATATTGATTTCAGATGGCTCGTAACTTGATTTTCATCACCATTGCTTTGGTCGCCGTTGTTGTTGCTGGACCAGGAGAACGTGGAGGAGAGAAGGGAGAGCACAAAAGAGGTGGACCAGGAGGTCATGGAGGACACAATTTCGGACCATCATTCTTCGGAAATGTCTCCGAGGAAGGAAAGAAGGAAATTTTTGCCGTATTCAAGAACGAGGCATTAACTTTGGCCCAAGTTGATTCCCAAATTGCTGCTCTTGCTGAGAAGTATGGAGTTGCTGTGAGTTTTTCGTTTTTATTTATTGCAATGACTATAAAATTCAATTTCTTATAGGCTGCCTACAAGGAGCACAAAGCCAAAGAAGAGGCAAGACATGCTGAAATCAAGAAGAATACAACTTCCGTGATCAGCAGCCTTTCTGCAGTTGCCTCGAAACTTTCCGCAATCCATGAGAAGAAGGATCAGACTCGCAAGGCTCAACACGAAGCCATTGCTGCTCTTCGTAAGGAAAATGCAGTCGCCGTTGATACCGTCGAATTCATTGCCAAGAGACTTGGAGGATTCGGAGGAAGACGTCACGGAGGACCAGGAGGACCAGGAAGACACGGAAAGTTCGGAGGAAAGCATGGAGGATATCATAAGAAGGGACCACGTGGACAGGGAAAAGATGAGAAGAAGACCAAGGAAGCTGCTCCAGCTGCTTCAGCTGCCAACTAAGCTCTCTTGATTTTTATATTGGTTTTCTATTATAAAGTTTATTTATTTTTATGTTTTTTAATGATTTTAAAACTATTGAGCAATAAAACTTAATGGGAAAAACTTCCGACTTATACCGTAAACACTCTGATAGAAAGTCACCCTTAACTTTCAACTCGAACCAATTTATCTCTGTTCCTGTAAAAGATAGCAAAGAGTGGTCAACTGAGAAAATATTCATCATAATATCACCAATATTTTGTTAGTTATTATAGAATTCTTATCCAGTGTCAGTGCAGATGGACAATAGGAATTTGTGAATGTTTTCAGCAACTAAGAGGCTACAATTTCTGAAATTAATGCTCAATTCAGCCTTTCATGTCTTGCCCTCTAATGTTTTATTACACCTGATCAATAAACAAATTACAAATTACAATTCGAGGCACTTGCAGAGAAATACTCAGTTCGTCCCAATATTGTGAATTTTTTGAAACAGTTATTAATTTTGGGATGAATTCAAATCCTTCCACGAAAAAAGAACTGTTAGTTTATATCAAGCAAAGAAACAACGGAAACAGCTTATCAAGAATGTGTTTCTGATTTCCGATGAACTTGACGAAATACTTAAAAACAAGAAGCAATCCTACGCACAACAAGAGGACGCAGTCGCTGTTCTTCGAAAGAAAAAAAACAATAATTTATTCCGCCAATGGAGGCTGGAAGCACGAGCAAAGTCAAAATGCCCTTTATCAGTTGTACTATTGTTTTCTGATTCTTGTACATAAAATCGGCCAAATTTTTTCACCACTTAACAACAATGATATTGATGACGGCGATGTTATTTCATTCTGGTTTTGGAAATTTCCTTGAATGAATGGAACCTTGGCTTTAACAAATGAAAAAAAATAGTAAGTACTGTAATGGAAGCTCACCCTATACGTGCAACTTTGAGATCAATTATCTCGGTTCCTATGAGTAATGCCAAAAAACTTATCAACTAACAAAATATTGGGGTTATTATGGAAAATATTTTATCAGTTGTCAAATTTTTATATCTCTTAGCAGCTGGTTGAATCACGCCTTCGGTGCCTGAAAATGTTCAAAATGGCCGAAATTCAACTGAAAAATGTTTTTGTAATGACATCTTAATGACAAGTAATGTAGATCTCAATATTCTGGATAAAAACCCCTGTACAAAACAAATTCTGCTTCTTAGACTTAATTTGAACAACTCCATTATTCCATCTTAAATGCCCACGATCCCGAAGCATGGAGAGCCAAAATTTATCGATAAAATGGCCGGAAGCTTTTGAACCAACTTTATTTTTTTAATTCGAGTTTTCTGCTTTGGTGTTGATGTTGACCGTAGCTATAAATCTTGTGAATGAAAAACTTTTTGCCGATCAAAAAAGTATTTTTTTTTCTCAGGTTCTATTGTTAACTGTTACTAAGAGAACTATATTCCGAGAAAGATCAGTATCAAAATTCTCAGTTTCTAAACTTTTTGAACTCTCTCAGTTGATCAGCGTCAGTTTGAAAACTGATATAAAAAGAATGGGATGCTCAATAGAGTCATCATCTTCTCTTTTTTCAACTTTCAAACGTTCTTCTACTCTCAAAGGTTTCACATGTCGCTCAAAATCGTTTTCTCCGTTCTTGCGGTCTCTGCTGTTGTCTTGGCTCGTCCGGAAGGACCAAAGGGTGAACATGGTGGTAAACCAGAAGGTGCTAAAGAACCAGGTGGACCAAAAGGACCAGGAGGGCCAAAGGGACCATTTGGGCTGAAAGGACCAAAAGGACCAGGAGGACCACGCGGAGGACCAGGACTCCCACCATTCCTAGCTGACGTCAGTGCCGAAGGCAAGAAGGAATTCGAGAAGGTCTCCAAAAACGAGAACTTGACTATCACTGAGATTGACACCCAACTCGCTGCTCTCGCTGAAAAATATAAAGTTTCTGTAAGATTTTACAATCTATCCAGACTAAAATTATATGTATTTTTATTCAGGAAATCTTCAAGGAGTTCCAAGCCAACATGACTGCCCACCTCGCTGAAATCAAGAAAAATCAAACAACAGTGATTGAAAATTTGGCATCTGTCTCCGAAAAGCTCAGCGCCATTTTTGCCAACAAGGATCAAACCCGTGCTGAGCAGTTGGCTGCAATTGGAGCCATTGCTAAGGAGAACCCAGTGGAGGTCGCAGCTCTTCGTTTCATTCGTTCCCGTATTCAAGGTGGATCAAAGGGACCACGCGGTGGACCACGTAGAGGACCAAATAGAGGACCAAAGGGAGGTCCAAAAGGAGAGCCAAAGGAGGAGTCAACTACTCCAAAAAGTGAAGAGGAGAGTTCAGAAGAGGAAAATCAAGAATGAATTTGACTCATAATCGTTAATTATTTTTGGGATAAAAATTATCAATTTTTTTCAATTATTCGAGCATTCTCAATCAAGTCTAAAAGATCACGAACTCACATCAGATACTGTGAGATGGAAAAATATCCGCTATTAAACGTGAGAAATATCAGAGAGTTGTTGGGGGTAATAAAAATTCATAAATTACATTTTCCAGAAAAAAGTTGCGGTATCCAAAAAGTTTCCAGCCGAGCCTAGGATTTTAGTTTTTGTAAAAATGTTTATAATAATGAATTTTATAGATTCCCAGAATCGACTAGTTAGCGCCCTTTGGCTGTCATTGAGAATTCATTCCGCAACCTATTTTTTGCGGTGGTCCCATGTGAAAAAATTAGCTTCTATCATTATTCTATAATCTAGTGAATGCGTAAAATATTTTTCTAACTGATTTCCAATCAAAACCTTGAAGTCAAGCTTCCAAGGGGTTCCGATTATCCGTTAACGGTCCGCCGACGACCCGTCGCTTCTCCTTCGTCTGTCAACTAGCAGTTTTTCGGCAAAGCCTGTGATAAATAAAAGTTTTTAAACTGTGCATATGCTGAAACAAATGGTTTTTGTACTGAAACTTCGAGCCGTATTCCTTTAATCAAATCTTTTCTTATTATTCCATAATCGTTTTCCTACAGGGTGAGAAGGAAGTCTATCAACACCTAAAACTCGGTTTTTTTCCTTCGGGCACAAATCACATTGACGCTTGGAAGAGATCTTCGACCGCAAAATGATGTGCCGAAATGAAAGATGTATGTCCCCGCAACACAGTTCTATAATAAATGTTCGCTGCAACTCGAAGCAGGGGCCTCATAAAGTTTTTCTACCGTTTTCATATAAAAGAAACGAATCGAAACGGAAAGAAATTGTTGTGTAACCATCATGTCGTTCAACACTTCTCTTTTCTTTCTCATCGTTGCATTATCATCATTTGCATTATGCCAAAAAGATGCCGAAAAGAAAAATGGACCACCAAATGGTGGTGGACATTTCCTATTTGGGCCATCTTATTTGAAAAATTTGACTAAAGAGGAGAAACAGGAATACTATAAGATCTTCGGAAATCAACAACTGACCATCAAGCAACAAGAGGAACAGAGACTCGCTTTCGCCGAGAAGCATGGATTTGCGGTAAGTCCCAGTAGACCTAATTAGCTTTTTTCTAATACTATAGAAAAATCTGATAAGTGACTTTTAAAAGAATCTAAAAATACATACTTATTTTTGGATACCAGATATCAATCCCCAAATAAATTATTATTTGTTTCAGCAAGCCATCAAAGACGACATGAAACTGAAGGCTGACAACCAAGAAATCGTCAAAAAACAGAGACCAGAAGTTATCAAGAGTCTTCTTGAGGTCCACAATGAATTGATCAAGATTTTCGATAACAAAGATCAGACTGTTGCTCAACAGGAGGCTGCCGTTTCTGCCTTGAGAAAGAAATATCCAAATGTGAGTTTCTGAGTCTAATACTGAATTGTGACTGTTTCTCGGTATTCAGGGTCCGGCTGTTCTGTATTACATTTCCCGTCTGATCACTGGTCACGACCGTCATCAACATCCACGTCGCAGAAAGAACTAAATGATTGTGAACTGTTGTTTTTGATTGAAAGTATAATAAATAAATTGGTTATCATTTAAAAATAATTATAAAAGTGATTCAGAAAGCAGTTTCACAACGTTTCTGAGAATCTAATTACCGTAGTACCTGAAATAGAAGAGCCTGTAACTTTTAACTCTAAGCCAATTTTTCTCGATTCGTGTGAGAGATATAGAAAAATTGTCGACTTGTAGATTGTTATCATAATATCAGGCGTGTTTTGTCAGTTGACACATAATTGATATCTTGCATAGGAATTGAGATGATTAAGCTTAAAATTGACAGTGTGGGGCCTTTCTATTACAGCTTTTACAGTATTGTTGGTTGAAGAAATTACTAACTATCAATCACAATCCAGAAAATCTGAAGCTTGAAAAAAATTCGTTTGATCTTCATAACACTCCCTCAATTAGTAACCTATAATTATCAGAACAGCCGACTTGAGCACGTTTCTCGTACTTCTTCTTACTTTGTTTATCATGCTCATGTCTACACTTTTATCCGCCCGAGATTTCATTTCTCGTGATGGATATGAAAATATTTTTGAATTGAGATATAGCTATACTTCCTTCTCTTCTCTTCATTATACTTTTTCATTCTGAACAAACGGTTTTTATAAAGTTTCCTGATGAATTCCTCCTACACCCAACAATCGAAAGTGATTCAACAAGCTGTGCAACACGTGTCAGAATCAATATCAATTCTGATAAATTCTATACTAATTTATATTATCATCAAGAAATCTCCAAGCAAACTGGGACCATACAAATATCTTATGACCTTTATATCTGTTTTTGAAATTCTTTATTCTGTGACAGATTTTCTTGTTTCTCCGGTTTGAAAATTTTCCGTATATAGGGAAATAAGAGAGATTTTAGATTTTTTACTCATACGGACCTGCTTTAATCGTTATCGTCAATTTGAATGAGTCATTCTTTGGAAAAGCTGTTTCTTATATTTTTCTTTGTAAGTTTTGAAAACTGTGATGTTACGGGACAAGCTACATAAAGTATGGGACAATAATTATCATGTTTTGATGAATTTCTTTTGGAAATTGTTCAAAAAATCTCAGAATACCGTGAAACCTGTAATAGAAGAGGCTTTACACGGTCAATTTCGAGACTTGTAGGCGTTTACAGTGGCTTTTTCGGAACATCAATGGCCATATTTGGAATTCATTTCATTTATAGATTCTTGGTTGCCAGCGGGTAAAAACCAAATAAGCGTAAATCTTACGACAACTTTCCAGACATCCTCTTCTTGGAACTTTTTATACCTGGAAGATTGTATTATGGTTATCTTTTCCCATTTTCTATGGAATAATTTGGGGTCTTGGCAGCTACTTTCCATGTGCACCCACAGAATATACAAACGAATTTGTGAAGCAAGATGTAATGGATAATTATGGTCTTTCCCTTAACGAACTTGTCTATTTTGGATTACATTTTTATGGCAGAAACAAGAATGGAGAGTTTTTTATAGTTTACGAGCAAATTATTGGAGTTCTCGTCAACTGTTTTATAATTGTAGGCAGATCTATCAATTCCTGTTTTTCATCTACTCATTTCCAGAGTTCTTCTATTTTTACTGCCTTGTTTTTCGGAGTCAAAATATACCAAAAAATCAACGATTTGGCATCTCATATGTCTACCAGAAATAAATCCCTACAGACTGAACTGTTCTATGCTTTAGTTGTTCAAACTATGATTCCAATTGTTCTGATGCATATTCCTGTTACAATTATCTATTCTTTTGCATTTATGGGTCACGGAATGGGAACCATTTGTGGAATTGCTTCGATCACAATAAGCATGTATCCGGCATTTGATCCTCTTCCAACAATTGTTATAATCAAAAACTATCGGAATGCAGTTTTAAGTGAGATGAAATTTTATTGAAAAAAACCTGAAATAGAGTTTCAGATTCCTTTTGCTGTAGAGCAAAAGTTGTCCCAAGTGCTGCTGTTTCCCACCAATTGGAGAACCAGAATGACATCAACTCTCCTCAAAACTCTTAATTTGGGTAACACAAAATAGGGCAAATACCGTAAAACCTGCTTTAGAAGAGGTTGTCTTTCTAGAGGCGCCCTTCAATTAGAGGGTGGACTTGTACTTTTCGTGGGATCAGATGAGAAGAGCACTTCTAGTAGAGGGGCCCTTCTAATACAAGTTCACGGTAGTTCGAAGCTTACAAAGGAGTACAATGTGATTCAGGGGTACAAAATTCTAAAAATTTCTAATGTTTTTTCAAGAATTTCGTACCTTCCAATTGCGAATTTTGAACCCCTAAACTGCTTTGTACCCCCAATGACCCCAAAATTATGGCATGCTCCGAATATTTTGCCAGAAAATAGTTATCCGCATGTTTTTACAATCATAATTTTCATTTTTTCAACCATATTTTCTTCTTCTTTCTTTCGTTCTGCTCTTGACACTCTCTTGTCTCCTTGATTGATTGTTTGAACTTTTTGTACTCTTGAAGTGTCTCTTCACGTTTCTCTAAGTCTCGTCTGATAAAAGGTTTTTCTATTTTGTTTCATTGAGTCATGCAGGTATCTCGTCTGTTTATCACGTTCAGAAGAAAGTAAGTCATAGGAATTCTAGACCTAATTCTTAATAATACTCTTTCAGATTCAGTGTTTTGTTACCCACAACCACTGAAAAATATTACTTTGACACTGTTAAGAAATCAAATCGAGATGAAGTTTTTGAATTTCTGAACAATAATTTCCGAGTGGAAGAGCCATTGAACAAGGTAGGCGTCTAACAATACATTTCTTTGGAAAATCTGGATTTTATAATAGGCTGCTGGAATGACAGAGTCTGATATCAAAGCCTGTTTTGATGGAGTTCTCCAAAGAGTTTTGAAAAACGAAGTTTCCATTTTGGCAAGAGAGAAAAGAAATGATCAAGTTGTGGGATGCATGTTGAATTCAGTGTGGAGAAGAGGTGATGCTAAAAAGAATGAAGATATAGAAGAGGTGAGTGGGAAAGAAATAGGAAATAAAAACGTTTTGTTTTCAGGATTTTCAATTTGGTGGTGATAGGAAAGGTGTCGTGACAATTGGAGAAATATTGAATGAACTTCACGAGTCCTTCTGGAAATTGAGACATAATCACCATACAGTTTTACACTTTGAAATATCATCAGTTAATAAAAGCCATCAGCGACAGGGATTAGCTTCCATATTTATGAATTGGACTGAGAATCAAGCTCTGTTGAAGGTGAAATATTCACCTTATTTGGCCAACAAATTCTTATTTTCAGTCAGTGGATGCGAGTGGAATCGTAGCTGAAGCTTCATCTCTTGCAAATCAAATTCTGTTGAGTAAGAGAGGATATGAAACAGTGGCTGCCACGTTGCTTGCATCTCGATTGGATTCGAATAGAAATCAAATATTGGTTTGTGAGGATGGAACAGATCGAGTCAATTTGGTATTCAAAGAGTTCAATTAAATTGCTTCAATGAAGAAATATTAACAATCCTTGACTATTGTTTGGTGTTTTATGTAATTTCTTTTTTATTTGTTCTTCCTGAAAACCAATATGACATGTGTTTAAAGGTGGTGTACGGTGAAATTTTTTGCATCAAAATGTGCAGAAATGCATGTAGATTGACATAAAAATAAAGAAAAAACAATTTAAAAATAAAGAAAAAAAATGAAGAAAAAAAAATTAAAATTCAAAAAAAATCCTTCATCTAGAAAAACGCATCGAAAAATACTCTTAAAGCCCTTAGGGTCGAGGTTTTTTCTAGGCCGCCCGGTGAGTAAAAGCGCGCGAATTCAAACTTTTAAAATTTTTTCGCTCGTTTTCACTGTTTTTTTCAAATTTTCCGATGTATCTGGAAGAAAAATTGACAAAAACCTAGAAAACTCTTGAAAAAACCGAAAAAAAAGTGAAAACGAGCGAAAAAATTTTAAAAGTTTGAATTTGCGCGCTTTTACTCACCGGGCGGCCTAGAAAAAACCTCGTCCCTAAAGGCTTTCAGCGTTTTTCTCGATGAAGGAATTTTTTTGAATTTTTTCTTTATTTTTAAGTCAATCTACATGCATTTCTGCACATTTTGATGCAATAAAAATTTCACCGTACACCACCTTTAAACGAGAGAAAGAGAGTCAGAATGTCAGATGGAAATACAATTCTGAAAAGCGAGAAAAAATATTATATTTTCATTTGTTCAACAAAGAAAATTTGTCATCTGAACATAATATTCAATCATTTTTCAATTGATATCAAATTAGAGTTTATCAATTAGATAAGAAAAAAACTCCTCTATGAACAATAAAAAAATTCAGTTTCGTTGAATCGTTCGCTATATATTTCTTTGCTTTCAAAACTTGGGTATTAAAAAAAACTCCTAAATTTGTATATTCAGGAATCAATTTTGAAATTTGAAAGTTTTATAGTTTTCTAATTACGGAAATTTCGAAACTAAATATTTATTTTGAACTCAATTCCCCACTTTTTAGCATCTTTAATTCTAATTCTGCAAAATTCCGAAAATCGGAATTTCTGAACTCCAGAATTTGAGATACTTAGAATTTCAGAAATTCGAAAGTTAGATGACTCAAAAACTTAAAAATTTGGAAATTCAGGTATTCAAAAATTCAGAAAAAATTGATAGTTGGAACTCTGAGGTTTAAATTTTAAGAGTTTCCGAAATGCCGATTTTTTACAGTCTGTGAATTTCCAAATGTTTTCCTTTTCAGATTTCTCGATTTCCTTCTGTCTGACGTTCCGAATCCGAAATCACCAAATTTATGAGTTTCCGAATTAGTGTTTTCTGAGACTCTAAATTTCTAATTCTGAGATTTCCGAATATAAATACTGCAATAAATAACCTCTGTAAAAATGACGGAACCTCTTTATAAGCTACGGGTGCTGTAAACGGAGGCCAGAAGGTTCATCCCGGGAAGGGTGTAAACCAATTAGTATGTTTTTATTGATGAGTTTCAGAAAGATGCAGTAACCCTTTAAACGCAAAAGAAATATTCAAACTTTGAAAAGAAACTCAAGGCTTATATGTTCCAATAAAATTTAGTTCCTAACTATAGTTTTCTGGTTCATGGTCTCTTTACTTTTTTTTTATTTGAACCATCAAAAAACTAACACATGACAACATATATTTTATGAGCGATGTTCTTTTCATGAACAAAAGATCTTTAGACTTCTCTTCCTGTAGCTGTCATCTACTTCATTCTTCTCCATTTTCACTCATTTCCTCCACCAACTCCTTCTCAAATCCACCCTCACATCCTGTCATTATAATGATTAGAAACGGAAGTGCATGTATTCTGGAGATACGCAGACACTCGTGACACTGGAACTGGCAGCTTGATCCAGATCAAAACAAAAGAAGAGAGAGAGAGAGAGAGAGAGAGAGGAAGCTCTACACATAGATTTCTCATTTACATTTGTCCTCTTTTTCTTTTTTTTTTTTATTCACTCGTTCTGATTAGTTTAACTCAGACAAGATTAGGAGAATGCTTTTCTTTTCTTCTTCCAGCTGACTCGTCTCTTCTTCTTTTTTTCACATTCAACAACACAAAGAAATGTCACACAAACTGCCACCTCCCACTGACAGATACTACTTCGAAGTGCTCAAAAATGAGCAGAAGCCGGATATGCTCAAATTTCTACTGGATAATTTCAGAGTCGATGAACCTTTAAATCGAGTGAGTTAAAAACATGAAATTTATGAGTTTAATGATTTTTAGGCATCTAAAATTTCTTGTGAAGAGATTGAGAAATGTTTAAACGGAGCACTTGGCAGAGCACTCAAAACAGAATCGTCGATTCTAGCCAAAACTCAGGGTAAGAGGAGGAAATGTTTTCTTTCTACACCGAAATATTTTTTTCCTTCTACATTCAGACACACATGAAATCGTCGGATGCATGTTGAATTCCGTTTGGAGAAAAGATGAATCGTTGAATAATAGTCTTGAAAATGACGACGACAAAGATTTTGAGTTTTGTACTGTTCGAAAAGAAGTGGCAATGGTTGGAGAGATTCTGAACGAACTGCATGAAAGCTTCTGGAGCCTCAGACCGGACCAAGACGTTGTGTTGCATTTGTAAGTTCCTTTGAACTTCCGGTTTTAGATTACAAAACCGGGCAAAAATATATTGCATTGTTACCGTTCCGCTAGAAAATGGTCAATTTTGATTCCGTAAAAATATAATAGAAGGGCCCCTCACACTGTCCAGTGCAATTGTATTAATTCCAATGCAAGAAATATAAAAAGTTTCAACTGACAAAACAATTCTGATACTATGATAAGCAATTTATCAGTTGACAACTTTTTTTATATCTTTGGTTAGCACCGAGAAAAGGCCGGGGTTTTATCAAGTTGGTAGAGTTTTGTCGGCTTTCGTAGTTAAATAGTCCGGAATCTGTTGGCAACGCCCGAGAATCGGTTTTAGAGTAGCACCAATCTCATAAGATTCTTAATCTTGACATTGATTTCAAACAAAATATCTGATCGGATTGAAGTTTGGCGGAAAAGTTCAGAACTGCAAAGTTGACAATTTCGCATTTAAAATTTAAAAAAAGATATTTAGTCCAGTACTGATTATGTTCTTAATGTATCTAATTTTTAGTGAAATCTCTTCAGTGAGTGTGAATCACAGAAGAAAAGGATTAGCCTTCAATTTTCTGAACTGGTCCGAGAACAAGGAATTTCTGGAGAGCCTTGGAGCTACTGGAATCGCTACGGAAGCATCGTCTCTGGCAAATCAAACTCTTCTCAATAAACGAGGATATACGGTTCGGGCGCAATTGCATAAATATATTCTTTGTTTTTCTTTATCAGACCCTTGCCACTACTCTTCTCTTTACAAAAGTTGATCCGGAAACAGGAAAACCAATGTTGATCTGTGATGATGGAACGGATCGAGTCAATTTGATGTTCAAGGAAATCTGAATCTTTTATTTATTTTTTTATATTTTCCCCGGTGAATCTTATAAAACTGTTCTTCTTATTTTGCTTGTTCTCATGATGATTCAGATCATTAAAATCATGTCAAATGTAACGACTGATTTTTGAAGGAAATCCTCCACCCGAAACCGTTAAACACTCTGATTTATGACACCTTCTTGAAAAAGAGACAGAAGAGGTCATAGACTGTCTTCTCTACATCTCTTATCGTCTTATCACATCCCCACTTGATTTCTCGATGACACGGAACTGCAAAAAAAAGAGGCGATGATTGTTTTTGTTGAAGAAGTCAAAAGAATGAAAGATACCTAGAAGACGTCGTCGGTTGTCGATGAATCAGTTTTTTTGTATGTGACACACACTCTCTAACGACCACCCTCATCGGTCATCATCTTCTTCGTGATTATCATCAAATATTGATCGAGTTTTCATTTTTATTTTTTTACACAATTTTTCATCTGACATAAATATTGTTTTCTAGTTCCTATCACATCTTCAAAAATCACTATTCTTTGATTTTTATTCTTTTGTGTTTAGATAGTTTCTAGTGAAATGCTTCGGGAAGATACAGTAACCCAACTACCAGATGGGAGATTTGAACAGAAGATTCAAGTCGATCGACGGAAATTGGAGTCAATGATAACAGGTGATAAATTGTTGAAATTTTGATTTAACATTTATTTTTTTGATAGGTCGAATCGACAACTCATCTCAACAACTTCCAACTGCCGAATCCTTCTTTGCCAATGTGATGACCTATTCAAACGCAGAAGTTATTTGGCCATCTCAACTGAAAATTGGAGCTAAAACTAAAAAGGATCCATACGTCAAAGTGATTGGATCTATTGAACAAATTGAATCAGCACGAACTCTGATTCTGAACAGTTTGCAGATAAAAGTGAGTGGAATCGTTTTTATCAGGGATGTCCGGATTACCAGACCTCAAGAAAGTTATTTTATTCCGGATTCCGGATTCCGAGAAAAAAAATTAGTTTCGGATTCGTTTTCTCGAAAAAAAAAAGAACAATACAGGATTTGATTCAGAAGCAAAACTTTTATTGGAAGGCACAGTTTTAAAAGTTAGTAAAAGCACACAGATCTTTCGTATTCTCTTTCCATCCGTTTGTGAACTTTTTGTGGGGTTCTCATACGATTTTGAGGGAAATACGAATTCATGTGATACTGATGAGTTGGTGCATACTGGACAGTCATCCAATCAAGAAGTACAGATGACATTGAGTAGCCACGAAGACGAAGATCAGTGTCCTAAAAATTTAATGTTATCACTGATATAAAATTGTAACCTACAATTTCTCGACGCATATGCTCATAAGGAGGAACTTGGTAGAAATAGGATGGATCGAGTTGAGACATATTCAAATAGTTTTCGATGACATGCATACTATTTGGTCTAGCTGCTTCTGATCCGTACTTGAGGCGAGCCAGATCAGATACTACCTAAAAATAATAATTTTTTGGAATTAATTTTTATGTGATTCTCACCTTGGTCTCTTCCACTTTCTTTGTATCTCCCATCCGACGCCATGGCAAATACCCAACCATGTTTTCCGTGGCGATGTAGAATGCACTCCAAATGTCATCCCACCTGCTTGCATCCTGTCTACGATGAATATTAACAGAAACGTAGCGAAGTGTTCCTCGGAATGGAGCAGTGACTCGTCTTGGCTTCAAAGTCCCGTCCTTCTCCACATAAATTCTGCTCATTCCAAAATCCAACAAATACAGATGACGTGGTGAGTGCAATCCGATGCACACATTCGCTGGTTTTACGTCACGATGAAGCCATCCAATACTGTGCATCATTTGAAGAGCTTCAATGAATTTCGACAAGATGAACAGTGATGTTGGAACACTGAATTTGAACTATTTGATTTTTTTGGTTTCCCAGAATACCTGAATCGATTCAAAGGTGTCGCTTTTCTCAGATCACTCAAATTGTCTCCACATTTTTCCATTGCCAGCCATCGGAAACCATCAATGGTACCGTATCCATGAAATCGAAGAAACGGTGTTGACTCCAGATAGTTGTTGGGATTATAAGCAGCATTTAGACTCTTGAGGCACGCACACTCGTTGAATAGAAGTTGAAACTGAAAAGGGAAACATCATGGATCTGTGGAAAAACCTAAAGTTCTTACCATTGCCGATTGTGCTTCCACTTTCACCACACTTCTTTCTCTAGGATTCCCTTTGACGGTAGCTTCGAAAATCTGACCGAATCCGCCGACGCTCAACATGTTCTGGAGTACGAATGTATCGCATACTGTACCAGGTGGTAGCACAGCTTGTGCACCTGCTTGATGCTCCATGTACAGACGGTCCGTCTAAAGTTATGATATTTAGATATTCAAGGAGTTTTAAAAAACTAGCCATTTAGATTTTTGATGACGATTTGAAAAAGACCGAGAAAAATATCAATAGGAATAAGATTGAAGGAAGGTTTTTGATGATTCGATGGATTCGAAACGTATTCTGATTCAAATTGAAAATCAGAGCATTTGAGCAGGCACAAGTTCACGTATGACTTCACCAGTCGGTTTATGCTCCCTGCTTGGAACTCAACCTTCTGGCTTCCGCTTACTGACACACATTTCCAAGCAGTAGTCCATGTGATCGAAATTTAAATGACTCTCGAAAAAAAAAACAAATAATCCAAAGTTTTTTAGCTTTGAAATTTTCTACTCAATTCATCGTAGGCAGCACATGGATAGGTCTTAAAACTTTTCTACTGAATTTCATGAAGTTTTAGGGTGTTTGAGCATAAATTGGAAAATTTCAATTCTCAACCCTATATGGTCCTTACTAGGACACCGTGGAAATGAAGTGCTCGGTAGTCCATGACTACATTCCGTACACCACCAGCGGACTCCCGTGTCTTTTTGAGATATTTAAGTGAAAGTCTGGGACAGACAAATACAGACACAGAAAAGTTTCCATAGTAAGATTTTCAGAAAGAAAGAATCGGTCTGAAAATGGAACTTCATCACTCACTTCATTCACATATTATTGGAAAAGGTGGAAGAGGAATACAGAAGGTGATGAAGATCACATCGTGTCATATTCATTTTCCAGATTCTAACAAGTATTCGTGAGTTATTACAAATTTCTACTCACATTTAATTGTTATGTTCAGGGAATCCAATAAAAGCGATCAAGTATCAATATCTGGAACACCAATGAACGTTTATGAAGCATTGAAACACTTAAGAGTTTGAAGACTCTTCCGAATTATTGCATTCCAAAAGAAGTTTTTTCAGGCGATGTGTCCTTTAACAGTATACATGAAACTTCCTTGGTACAATCTTGGTCAACCGGATCTACGACCACTCATGTCTCAGATGGATTTGGAAGTTTCTGTTGAACAGAATATTTATAGTTTAGCCATTAAAATGAGTGGAAGTCAAGATTCTAGTGTTCTATTTGCAATTCGTTTAGTTTTACACCATTTCCTTTTGGTAAGCAGGCTAGATGCTTTATAGATACAGTAATCCTTTTTCAGACCGAAGAGTATGTGAACATTTCCACTAATGTGTTAGCTCGTGAAGAATTAAATTATCAATTAGAAAATTCGGATGAACATCGGCAGAGGTATAGGATAAGTCATATTATCGTCAAATTCGGAAACATTTTCAGAATTCGCGAAGTATGTAATAAGAACAATGTGACTATTCAAACATTCCCCGAGACGCATACTATATCAATAGTTGGATCACCTGCAGGAGTACTAAAAGTTCGAAAATTATTAGTTGTAGGCGATTTTTTGGTAAAATTTTCGTCTAAATTACGTTCACAGGGTCTGGCAAATGTGATAGTTCAATTTGATTGCAATGTGATGGATATCCACTATCCAATACAACAATTGGAACAAGAAAGAGGACTACAAATCGGATGTAAAAGAAAGAATGGAGATATTATGGTTTGATCCTTTTAAAATTCAATAATAAAAGCTCGTTTCCAGACGATTACTATGAAATCCACAGAATCGAAGATAGCAGAAGTTCTCCAATCTCGTGAACTGCTTCTTGCACTTCCACCAACAACCTATTCTTCTCCAGATGATTACGATCCAAGTCCAGTCATGAATGGTAAAATTAATATTGATATTCATCTATATTTCCTGAAATTCAGTTACGGGACCAGCCACACTGATACCACTTCAAACTGAATTGGCTTCTGGAGTACGCGTATTCTTAACGCCACCTATAGAATCTCCAAGATCACCAGATCCTGATGAATCTCCATTAGCTGCTTCTATTCTGAAAGGAGCGAAAGATATCAGCAAAAATAGGTAAGGAAAAAAGTTATTCTTTAAATCTGAAACGTTTTTTTTCAGTGATATTTGGAAAAAGAAACCAAAACCTGATCGAGGAGAAATGCTGATGAAAGCAACACAAGCAATTTTCGATGATACCGTTCTATCCAGCCCAAGATATCCAACTGACTTATGGTCTGGTTATGGGTTCAGTTCTTCCCTCCCAGCTGATTTGCTCAAAGGCATGATGGATTTATCAGCTAACGAGGTCCGTTTCGTTTTTAAACTGATGAAAGCTCTCATGCCATTTGTTTTCAGTCGTCTACAACGACCAACTCTTCTCTTCTTATGAATCACTCACAACGAGGACTTTGTAGTGTTCGCGAGGAAGATGAAGAGCTTTCAGATTTCTCAGCTTCATCAACCAATTATGGGATGTCGAGAGTTTTCGAGCAGCCATCGAGAAATGGTAAACTACTCAACATCAATTAAAAAATGTTTTTTTTTTCATTTTCAGTATTTTCTGCATCCACTTCGGTGTTTGACTCGAACTCGCTTCCATATGACCTCCAATGGGATATAAACTATTTCACTGATCCTTCAATGGTACTTGCTCAACTCGGGTGTAGTGAATACATGATTCAGTTAAGAGACCAGGAAGTAGGATCATTTTCTGATTTTTTGAGAAAGAGGTGAACTTTTTAGATCGACATGCACGCATTCTTGCTGCTCGATGAGCAGAACTTGAAGGACATTGGAGTGTCGACAATTGGTGCTCGCAAAAAGATTCATCACGCAATTCTGAGTTAGTTTTTCTGCTCTTTTGGCTCTCGTTGCCAGAGTGCTTAATCCGCGTTTTACATCACCATGACAACTTTCAGAGCTTCGAGACTCGGCACGGCTGAACGGATATGCGGTCTAATATTGGAGTTTTCCCGTTTCATTTTTTCTCTGGGTGACAATTCACCGGTTGTTTTTACCAAACCCATGATATGCCCTTTCTTGCTTCTTTTTTTCTGGAAATACAATAATTCTTAATAAAATGCTTCCTTCTCTCGGTCTTCAAAAAAGCAAGGGTCTCGAAACGACAAGCCATCGTAGTCACCGCGCCAATTTGAACGCGGCAATTTCTAGCCACGTAATTTTCCGAAAAGTCGGCGACTTCGCATTGGTCGCTGTTCTCTTCAACTCTCTGCGAACACAAAATGTTCTGTGCTGTTCTCCGTTTTTCTCAAATTCAGACAAATTTCGACATTTTCACACTCCTGTGTGTTTCAGCGTTTTTCTTTGAGTTTCACGACAATTTCTGGGCACTTTTGGGTTTTAATCTAGTTCTCATTCTATCGATTTCTAATCCACTTCGTTATATGTCATCTGCTAGCCAGTTTAACTAGTCTTCCGTCTCGGAATGAACGATAATGATGTAAAAGTTCCTATGTCCTATCGTTCCTTATTCTCAGTTCACATTTCAGACGGACCGCACTTTTCATGACGAAAGTGCGTGCCCTCGCGTACACAGAATTGAATCATTTGAATCACATGATTATCTGAATCTCCTTCCCTTTAGCTGTGTCATTAGGTGTCTACTATTCTGCGCTTCTCTTCAATGTTCTTATCTCTATTCACTTCCCTACCCTTCGTCCCTATAGGCCGTGCCAGTTCAGGGAGTGTGGCGGTCGTCTCAAGACCCTCGGCGCTGTGTATCGATCGCTGTCTGGCGCCTCCTCGTTTTGAAGTAGTACTTTTCATACTCGCGTCTCTGCGCCTATTCGCTCCATCGAAACGCTCACTTTCACTCATAGACAGCACACAGCCTCACTTGCGTCCTGTGGCCATTTCTTGCTTCCTCACCATCTCGTGAGGCGACAAGTCGCGTGGCTTTAGTCGATTTCAGAGCATTTATCTGAAATTCCGTGTCGTAATGGAATCTCTAGGTAGAGATAACAAGCTTCGAAGTCTCATAAGTATCGCTAAATCTTGAAAAATTACTGCTAACTTGTTTAAAAATCTAATTATCCGATAATTGAAGTATTATTAAAACACTCAAACTCGATATCTTTGCTAGACAAAATCATTAGCTTGAATGCAACGAAGTGCCAAAGAATAAAAAAAAATGTTCTAGAAAATTCTATTGATTTCGAAACTCTTCCCTTCGCGCTCTTTAGTGGAGAGATAGGAATATTTCTTATTTGCCTCTAAGTTTATGTGAAGAATTCTCTTTGAATTACTGTTTTTCGCATGAGAGTTTCGAAAAAGTTCGTATCCGTTTTTCTATGAGTACAAAACGAGTGCAATTCCACCGCCCATTCGAATCGATTTTCTCTCCGCGCGGGGCCAGCTGGTGTTTTCATCATCCTTCCCAATCGAATAGTTTTTTCTTCTCACTTCAATTGATAACCACTTTATAACTTTCGAAACCAAAGATCCTAATTTTTCATTCCTTATTAATTGCAGTGTACTCCGGGTGTAGCCGGGTCAATCAACAAATCAACACACCGATATGGCTCTCAAAAGAATCCAGAAGGTATTTTAGCGTTTTCTTCCTATATTTCCGTAAGGTCTGAAATTTCAGGAACTGCAAGATCTTGGTCGTGATCCACCCGCACAATGCTCCGCTGGTCCAGTCGGTGATGATTTGTTCCATTGGCAAGCTACAATCATGGGACCACCAGAGTCTCCATACCAGGGAGGCGTCTTCTTCCTCACTATCCACTTCCCAACAGACTATCCATTCAAGCCACCAAAGGTAAGATTTTGTCAGTTATCTCGCATATCATATTGAGTTTCTTAGGTTGCCTTCACTACTCGTATCTACCATCCAAACATTAACTCAAACGGAAGCATTTGTCTCGACATTCTCCGTTCACAGTGGTCTCCAGCTCTGACCATCTCGAAAGGTAAGAACTAATATCCAGATTGTGTTAGGTATAACTCATAATGTGTTTTGCAGTTCTGCTTTCGATCTGCTCTCTGCTCTGCGATCCAAATCCGGATGATCCGCTCGTGCCAGAGATTGCACGTATCTACAAGACAGACCGTGAAAGGTAAGATCAATTTTCACTAACTCTTTGATAATTCTAAACGTTTACAGGTACAACCAGTTGGCCAGAGAATGGACACAGAAGTACGCCATGTGAGAAGGCTGACGTGATTCACTCCAGATGAACGCAACCAATCAATACATGTTTTCTTTCTCCCTCTCTTCCCTGTCTCTCATCTCCAACCCATCCCATTTTTCATTCAATCAACACCTAAACCCGGCGATTGCTCTTTTGTACTATAAATTGTGTTTTTATTAATTGTGTCTGTCTCCACACATTACTCTCATTCAACAATACCCACTTTCATATTATTTTCTGTCGTCGTCTCGATGACGGTATAAAATATATGTTCGTCTTGATTTCCCTCCTTATAATTCAAAAGTAAATCGAACGGTGTAGATTGATCCCCTCCCATTTTCTCTTCTCATCCCCTTTAAACTATTTCTCTCCCATTGGTTCTCCTTTAAACTCTTCCTTTAATTCTTTTCGAGAAATTGAAAAAATTATGTTTTACAATCCACCATGCACGCATTCGTATTTCGTTTCTTTCTCGATTGGTGGTTTGTGAATCCTGAATAAATTACTGAAGAGTTCTGAAAAGTTTCAACATTTTGACTGTTTCGCTTTTTTCAGAATCCTTGAGAATGGCGACGTTTGTATCATTCAAAACGTATTTAGATACGCCATTCTGGAGAGAAGTTAACAAGAGAAAGCTCCATGAGTGGAAACTTGATGAGACTCCTAAACCAATATTCAGTCAATTGTCACTTTGTAAGAGTATTAGTTATGACGGAAAAAAAATTCTGACGAATTCAGGTGAACGGAACAGCGATCATTGCAGGCTCTCGCTGAGCCATGACAGTTTCAAACCATCAAACGGCAATCCGAATGAAGTGTCGATTTCCGGAAACCTCATTTTGTACAACACTCGGGAGAGTTTTAAAGCAGCTGCAACCACCAAAAGTCTTGAAGAACTCATGAAAACAGAAGCAACCAAGGTGAATACGGTTAAACAACGCAGTGTTTTCAATTTCCAGTTTTTCACAGATTTGGGACGTTATCACTACCAAAACCTGGCTTCAAACTCCTCATCTTCTCTCGTCATTCACGATCATCGCGTTTGCTGATCTGAAAAAGTTTCATTACATCTATAAGACTTTTATTCCATCGTTGAAGTATCCAAAAAATCCAGAGCAAGAGGCATGGCTCCGTTTTTTAATTGTTAATGTTATATTCTTGTTCCAGATTCCTTCGCTCTCTACAGATGAGTCCAGTCTTCTTACGTACTACAAACGAACCCTTGCTCCAGTTTTTTTGTTCTCCAAATCTTCACAAGAACCGCTCGAAATTGCACATCTCGAAAGTCAAGTTAATCCAGACGACGTTCTGATTGTAGTGGCTGATCCATCTCCTAACCCCTCCTCTGCTGGCCGTTTGGTTAAAAATGTGGTAGCAGCTGTGGCATATCTGCATTCCTCTTGGGACCATTGTAACGTAATCAGTTTGAGATCAAGCGGGAGTATCGAAATCAAGTACTCCTGGCCAGCAAATGCGGATGCAGTCGCTCAGAATGTCGTTCCACAGTGTTCTGGATGGGAACAACATTATTCGGCAGATCTCAGCAAGCAGTTCGATCCAAAGATCATGATGGAAGAAGCTGTGAACTTAAATTTGAGCCTGATCAAGTGGAGATTGAATCCAGATTTGAAACTGGAAAGATACTCGACGCTGAAAGTAAACATTTTTTGAAGTTATTTTACAAGTTCTTAACTTTACAGGTTCTCATTCTGGGTGCCGGTACTATTGGATGCAATCTAGCACGTGGAATTATGGCTTGGGGTGTCCGTCATATATCGTTTGTAGATAACTCATTTGTCAGCTACAGTAATCCAGTTCGGCAAAGTCTCTCAAAGTTCGAAGATGCTCGCAAACGACGGGGAAAAGCAGAAACAGCCGTGGACGCTCTTAAAGAAATCTTCCCATCTGTTCAAGCATTCGGATATCAGCTTACTGTACCGATGCCAGGACATACTATTGATGAGAAAGATGAAGAGCAATTGGAGAAAGATGTTCGCCAACTTGAAGATCTGATTAAAAATCATGATGTCGTATTCTTGGCTCTCGATTCCAGAGAAGCTCGGTGGCTTCCAACTGTCATGGCTTCCATTCATAGGAAAATCGCGATTAGTGTGGCTATTGGATTTGACACTTATGTCATAATTCGACACGGAATTGGCTTGAGAAAAGACAGTTTATCCGAAGATGTCAACTCGGAAGCTGTGCCATATTCTCAACTGTCGTGCTACTTCTGCAGCGATGTCACCGCTCCAGGAAACTCGACATCGGATAGAACATTGGATCAACAGTGCACCGTATGTTAAGAAAACTTTTACAGATAGATTCCTTATTCTAAATTGCAGGTTTCACGTTCTGGGTTATCCATGATCGCTTCTGGGTTCGCTGTGGAGTTGCTTGCTTCTATTCTCCAGCACCCCGATCCACTAGCAGCACCTGCAAGTCTCGATGACAACATAACTCTTCTTGGTGCGGTACCACATCAAATTCGTGGTTTCCTTCACAGATTCCAACAAGTAGGTGTTTTTTTCAACGGGAACTTTGACTCATAGTCAATTCAGATTCATCCAAGCGTCAAGCGATTCGAGAAGTGTGTTGCATGCGGAGACTTGATTGCTGATAGGTTCCAGAAGAATGGATGGAAGTTTGTACGTGATGTCATGAACTCACCAAAGCATCTTGAAGAAGTCACCGGACTAGATGAGCTTCAGGAGTCTGTTGAAGCTATTGACATTGACTTCGACGATGACGAGTCGGTTGTTTCAGTTTGATCATTTTATGTAAATCTGCCTGTATAATTGATTGCATGTTCCTTATTTTTACTTTGTATCTTCTTTCGGGCAATATAATTTTCTCACATTTATTTTTCCTACTGCGAACAAATCTGGTTCGAAGAAGATTCGAAAAATTGTCAGCCATCAGTTGGGCTGCCGATGCTTCACCAGTGTATGAACACGTGAATCTGAAGAGTAACCAAAATATACTCACCTCTTCCGTAACATTTCTTCTGGGACTTTTATTTTTGTATAATGAAACATTTATTGGGTTCCATGTCTTTTTTCTTGTTATTCTAAAGTTTGAAAGTACTGGTGATCCACTTTTCTTCCGAGACTAATCTTCGAGTCTGTACATATTGTTCAGTATACATGACGCGCCACAAATGTAAAGATTGCGGAAAAAGTTTCGATTTGAAACGGTAAGGACTTGCTATTCTACCGCGATCCATAGAGTAACTAGAAAGCTTCATTTTATTCAGGTACCTGACGAAGCATGAACTTCGGATGCATAACAATCCAAATAAGTCAGAAGAAACCGTACAATCAACAGAACCACTGAAATGTAGTATGTGTGAGAAGGTAGCTTTCAATCACTCTCGAAACCTAACAACTCAAGCTGAAGGTATTTCCACGTCTGTCTCATCTACAACGACATCAAATGACGCATCTCAATGTTCGAAACTATACTTGTGACTTCTGTGATGAGAAGTTTGTTCAAAAAGCACATCTTACTCGCCACCTGTCCAGAAAACATGCTAACGAAGAAGGAGTGGAAGTTGAATGGATTGCATGTAACAAATGCGGCAAACTTTTCAAAACGACTTATGAAATGAAATTTCACAGAAGGGTTAATATTATCTAGGTCGTCTTTTTTTAAATAACTTTCTCCAGAATGTTCACGAACTGCATCGATGCAAGCGATGCCAAGAAGTGATGGAGGGTGGAAATGATAGTCTAAGGCAGCACCATATAAGATGTAGGAGCAAACAAAAGGCAAGTTGACTTCGACTAATCTCCTCTGGAAACTAGAATTTTCAGATGTGTGATCACTGTGGAGCTTCTTTTACACGTCCAGCTGATCTTGTAGCTCATCAAACAGCTTGCCTCAAAAAAGTTGCATTGATTTGTGTTCCATGTGAAACATTTTTCAAGCAAAGAGTTGAAGTGAGAAAGTTATAAGGTTTCGTCTCTCATTTGTAATTCTTTGAGTTGGATCGACATGTCAAAAAACTACATTACCGATCGGCGAAATGCAAAAACTGTGACCACACGAGCCAATCACCTGTTGAGCATTCACGACATGCATTGGAATGTTTGAAAATAAAAATGTATGTTTCTATTATCAGTATTTTATTTGAAATAGTAGTTTTCAGATGTGGTTACTGTGATCTGGAAAATCCTAGTGATGATCATGTTTCTGAATTTCATTGGAGACGATTAAAAAGAACGATTCCTAGAAGAGTGGCTGAGAAGCTTATGAAAACCAAACACAAAGAAATTCCAAGCGCTTTAGAGGAGAAGCAAGTAGAAGAGGGCAATTTAGAAGTTGAGGAAATAGACGATTGTGAGACGGGTTTGAATTTGTTTGAGCAACCAATATTTAACGACCAAAGATCCAATAAGATTGAGGGAGAAGATTCTCTGTTTGACTTTTCTGGTAAAAAATGAAGATAGTATCATTTTTGATACTTCGTTTTTTCAGAGCCTTCCACTTCTCAACTGGGTTTCAATTCAACGATGTTTGACGAAGAAGACGATCGGCCAGAAGATTATCTCAGTTTTTCAATATGTCCAAAAGATACAGATGTACCATTTCACCTTCGTGGACGTCTGCCTCCGGAACTTGTATCTCTTTTTCCAGAACTCGAAGATACCTGTAAGATAAAAGTCTGCTAACATGAAAAGTTTGGGAAATTATAGCCATTGTTCTTCTGAATGCAACACCATTACCGATGTGTCGAATGACTATACGAGTTCCCGTAAGCATTCCACAATCTTGCGACAACGAACAAAAAATGCGGGCATGGCAAAAGTCTATAATCAAGTTAGAGGATGATGAACCTACTAATCTGATCTAAACATTCTTATAATGAACATTTCCCAGCTTTTTCATTATCTTTTTATCTATTGCACATTTTAGGAAATCAATTTCAGAATGATTTAGTTTTACAGGAAAATGGCATCTTTTCGTGGGGGAACAGGATTTCGAGTTCAAAAGATGTTTTCTCAGTCCCTAGAGTGGTGGTCCGTAGAGTCGGAATGAATTAATTTTTGACACAGTGACGCCTGAATTTTAGATCTTCAAGTTGGCGAAAATAGTTCTCATTAATAGTATAGCATCGGTACATTAAGCTGATATCCAAATGCTTGAAAGACGGAAAATTCTTTAAGAGCGTCTACGGCTGTTTCTGCTTTCCCCTGTCCTTCGCGAGCATCTTCGAACTTTGTCGAACTGGATTACTGTAGCTGACTGATGAGTTATCCACGAACGATATATGACGGACATCCCAAGTCATAATTCCACGTGAAAGATTGTATCCAATCGTACCGGCACCGGGAATGAGAACCTGTAAAGTTTAGAATTTGTACGATAAATTTAATGTGACTGGTTCTGGAATTCTAAAACTACGATGCTCGACAACTGAGATTTTGAAATTCAAGTTTGAGCTCAGGTTTTCCATGTGTATGTTTCGAGATCCGTATTGTTTGAGATTCCGAGGTTCTGAGATCTAATAAATATAGATTACTAATTGGTCTTGGGCGTCCCCCGACCTACTAGTATATCAACTTTCAACTCCCGACCAAAATCTATACCATGGCCCGCTGAACATCCGTTTTTGAGAGCAGGTACCAACCAGAACCTGCTCAAGATCCGTCTAAAAGTTACAAGCCGATAGCCGAGGTGGAAGAGTTTGGAAAAGAATCAACAAAAGTTGGTCAACCAGTCATCAAAGTTAAAAACATCCTGCAAAGATTTAGACAACCATCGATAGATGCTCGTGCCTCAATTTGAACCTTTTTCAGAAAAGTCTATATTACATATACCCATTCGGTTTATCTTCACATGAATAGTGTTCCATTACTATAAATCATCAAAGAATAACATTCCATAAATGCACCTAAAATGCCGAAGCCCGATAATTTAAAAGTTTAATCGTTTTCCCTCCAGTTAAAATGTATCTGAGTCTTCCGAGATCAACTGATCCTTCAACTTCAATCAGTTTCTATCACATGGGACCCTCATGTGACAGTTTTTCCGAAATGTTTATAAACACAACGAATACTTTCCCTAACAGTTGGTCCCACTTTCAATTGGATATTTTTAAAGTGTCATTACACATTTTAGAGATTATGGGAGCACGAGAAGCTCAGAGAGGTTGGATACCACGCAATCCTACAAAGATTTGATGGGTAATTAATGAGATCTGAGATCTTGTCGAAATCGGTCAAAAACTACGAAATGAGCAAAGTGCATGTATCAGTGTATTGAATCGAAAATCAAAAAAGTTCACCTGAATTTGTGGAAAATGAATTTGGTTCATTTGAAAATTGATGGGTTCCTAGAGAATAAATTGTGAGGTTCCATCTGAAGTCAAAAAAAATAAATAAAGTGGTCAGAATTCAAATTAAAAAAAATAAAAACGATCTTATCTTCCTGAATTACTGTTCAATCTGTCAATATTTGAATCAATAGTTCAACTGACCGTAAATAGGAGGCATCCCACCTTCGAGCACATATGTCTAACTTCCTGCAAAAGATGTCAAAGAGTTGTCAACTGAAATGTTTTTGATATTATGATAATCATTTTAGCAGTTGATAACTTTTTTATATATTTTACAGGGAAATATATGATTGGGTTCAAAGTTGACAGTTTGGGACACTATATTAGAGCGTTGACGATAGATAGGGCTGGCGAGAAAGCGTACAATGACGGTAATTGTTTTTTCATGCTACAATTAGAATCTTCGGGAACAAAAAACAAGCGTTTCAAAATTTTCACACATCTACCGTAAAACCTGTATTAGAAGGGCTCCCTAACGTATAACTTTGAGCCAATTTATCTCAGTGTCTGTAATAGATACCAAAAAGTTGTCAACTGACAAATTGTTTAAGTATCACAATATCGAACGCATTTTATCAGCTGATACATTTTTAATATCTTGCAAAGGAGCCATAAAAAATAAGCTCAAACTTGACAGTGTGAAGGGCCTTCTAATACTGGTTTTGCGGCATCTTTTTTATGTTCACCCATTTCTATAATATCATCTTCATTCTCCCTAGAGAAGTTCACAAATCGAAGTTTCCCTTCTTTTAATGAGTCATCTGCTCTCCGATCTATTTCTATATATTTACGATGGTCCTCCAGAAAACTTTTGCTCTTCGATTCCTTCTTTTTATCTTTTTTCGATTCCTCCCCCGTTTTTTCCTTCAATTTCTGTCACCTGTTTTAAATGAATGGATGTATTCGAGATTATTTATGAAAACGATCACATGCCTTCCGGTGGGACACGCCCATCGCTGATATAAGTGCATTGAAAGCGATTGAAACTTCCAGTCTCGAATTTTTAATAATTTTTTTCATCTAAAAGTTCAAAAACTTCCAGCTATGTCTCGTCTTGCATTCGTTTTGCTTTTATTTTTGGTTGCTTTCGAAGTTTCTGCCAAACTTCAAAATGTGACAGTCAAGGGAATTGCCGTTTGTAATAAGAGAAGAGTAGCCAATGCACATGTTATCCTGATTGATAAGGACACTTGTAAGCTCTAGATTTGAGTAAAGGATTAGATTAATTTTTCGAATTTCAGTGGACCCAAATGACGAGTTGACCCAGATCCATACTAACAAGGAAGGAGAATTCGAATTGTTCGGAGAGGAAGATGAGATTGGAAAAATCGAACCATACATCCGTATTCATCATAATTGCAACACTCAACCAGTAAGTTTTGATAGAAATACAAAGTTTTCGTAGTCTAGTTTAGTCTATTCTCTGTTTGAAAAAAACATCTTTAAGATTTAAAGAAGCGACTAAACTGTTATGTCTAACAATATTCAGAACCTGAAGACTCTTAAGAATAACTTATTCAGAATTATACACTTCCATGTTTGTATCCCAGATTCCAAAAACAAAAAAATCATATTTCAGGGATGTGAACGCGTTTCCGAGTACCAAATTCCACAAGAAAAAATCGGAGAGCTGTACGATATGACCTATGTGACTCTGGATATTATTGTTCATGGAGAGAAGACAAAGTGCAATTAAATATTCTGATACATTTTATCGTATTTTATATCTTTGTACATAAACCCGTATGAATCAATTATCCAGTATTGAAACAAAAACTGAGTCAGATGATTTCTGGTTTCTCGCTATAATTTCTTTGTTGGCCACTTTTTCAACCAACTGACGGGAGAAGAAGAAGAGAACCTTTGGAATGTTTTGAGGGGGGAATTGAAATGGCATTTGGTGAGACAAAATAACAGAAAAAGAATGAATCAGAGAAACTTCGAGAGATAGAGGATGCTACGTGAAGAATCGAGGGCGAAACCGGGAAGAAAATGATAGGTACGAAACAATGAAGATCCCGAAAAAAAACTTCCTGATTGATCTGAGGAAATGATGGGAATACAGAAATTAAGCCTCACTCCGAACTCAAAAAGTGATGATCTATTAGGTGTTATCGCTATGAAGAACATTGAAACAAAGATTTTTGGTCATCTGCTCTGAAAAAAATCAGTATCATCTTTAAATCGGGAAACACATTATACTGTATATCTGTGGTTACCGTAATCACTCCAACTGAATTTTCTCCTAACCATCAAATTTGTCTGATTTATCTCTTACGGGGACTGATTGTGAGATAAATTGGTTCAAAATGGGTTTTACGTTAAACGGTTTGTAAGATATCGTAAACACTTTAATATAAGGTCTTCCTATACTTGGACTTGATCTAATTTACCTCAATTTTTGGGAAATATGTACATCAAAAAGTAGTCAATTGATGAAATATTTATCGTAGTATCAATGATATTTTGTCAGTTGACCATTTTTTTTGATATCTCGTCCAGGAACAGAGATATATGGGACCAAAGTCCAAGTATAGGGTGGCTTTCTATTAGAGTGTTTACGGTTCTACAATGTCCTTCAGACTTATTTGCTTCCCTATCACAGAAGTTTGTTTTTGGTAATTTTTTGAGATAATATTGTTTGTTGGCATATTCCCTTTTCCTTTGAAAAATATTAACTTTTGTTTATTGCTATGCTTTTGACTCATCCCGATAAAAATAGGTTTTCAAAAATCTTATTGTACGTTGTCTGATTCCCTCCGCTCTTGCCAATAGATCTCAATGAGCACATCGTCTTTGTTTTCGATCCGTTCATTTCGAATTACACAAACAACTCAATCAACAGAATCTGATCACTATCATCAGTGAACAACACAAGAAATGTAGCTATCAGTTGAATCAACCAATTTTGAAATTCACTATTAGAATAACGTATTTCATCTAATGGAAGCCCAGCCAAACCATCAACTTTGAGCTCAATTATCACAATTCCTACAAAAGATATCAAAAACTTGTCAACTGATAAATTGTTTATCATGATATCATCAACATTTTATTAGTTAACCGTTTTTTGGTATCTCTGATAGGAGCCGAGATAGTTGAGCTCAAAGTTCGTGTATAAGGAAGGCTTCCATTAGAGAAAAAACTGTAATTGAAATTTGATATATTTCGAAGCTGGTCTATTTGAGTAGGAAATTCTAACTAGGAATCATAGAATAATAATAGTTTTTCAAACGTTTCCGTTTCAGAAAAATTAGGAAGATCCCATTGCCGGAAAATTTTCGAATACATGAAGTATACATATACCAAGTGGAGTTGTACGTTCCAAAAAGTATCCTAATTGTATTTATAATTATCTAAATGATAAAGATTCAATTAGTTAGTACTAATAGATCAACTAAAATCCTGAGAAAAACATGCCATCGTACTTCCACTCCAATGACTCATTTACCTTTTTTTTTGTCACATTTGTTGATTGTTTTCTAGTCTTGAATAGACTTCTCCTCCACATTTTTTCCTTTACTCAAAACATTTCTTGTTGTTGTATTGGCTCTCAATTTCCATGGTTCATCGAGCTAAATGCCAATTGGCACTTCTCTTTTCCCCCTCTCTCTCTTTCGTTTCTTTAATTCTATCATCCCAACAACTGACGTTAATCCCAGAATCTCAATATAAAAAGGCTCGCGTCCAGTTCATTTCTTCCAACTTCCATCGTTCAAAATGCGCTCGCTCGTCGTGTGTCTCTTGCTCGCTGCCTGTGTCCTTGAATGCACCGCCCGTCTCCAAAACATCACTGTTAAGGGAGTCGCCGTGTGCAATAAGAAGCGTCTTGCCAATGTTCAAATCCAACTCTACGAGAAGGATACCCGTGAGTCAGAGATACTAGACCTAAATTAATCAGATTTTTTTCAGTTGACCCGGATGATCTTTTGACCACCAAGAACACCGATGCCGAAGGAGAATTCTCGGTTTACGGAGAGGAAGACGAAACCCACACCATTGTTCCATACCTTCTAGTCACCCACAACTGCAATCCATCCAAGCCAGTAAGTTGGAATAGAAATAGGTTACTGTAGGCATTCCTAAACGACATCATTTCAGAACTGCGTCCGCATCGGAAAGTACTTGGTTCCAGAGGACAAAATCGGAGGAACCTACGACATGACCTATGTGACTCTTGACATCAAGGTCCATGGAGAGAAGGAAAAGTGCACTTGATTATGCTGCCCACCTGGATATTACTGAATTTTTCTATATAATTTTTCAATTTTCTTGTAAACTTTTTTCTGTCATAAGGATTCAATCCAACAATAAACAATGAATGCAAATGGATCTTTAGTTATTTCAACGAGCAGTTATCAGAACCTGAGCAGAAAAACGACAAGTAATATAAAAGAAGAGAATGAGGAAAACATGCCGTCGTACTTCCACTCCAATTGTCTTCTAATCTTGAATATGCTCCTCCTCCACATTGGGTCACATGGATCTAGATGCCAATTAGCACTTCTCTTTTCCCCCTCTCTCTCATTTCTTTGATTTTATCATCCCAACAACTGACGTTGATCTCAGATTCTCAATATAAAAAAACTCAAACAGTTAATTTCTTCCAACTTCCATCGTTCAAAATGCGCTCGCTCGTCGTGTGTCTCTTGCTCGCTGCCTGTGTCCTTGAATGCACCGCTCGTCTCCAAAATATTACCGTTGAGGGAATCACTGTGTGCAACAAAAAGCGTTTTGGCATGGCTAAAGTCCAACTCTACGAGAAGGATACTTGTGAGTTACTGTGTCGCGGTTTTTTTCGGAACATTGGGTAAATGCTCTCAGACGCGAATGACAGTAATACTACGCCAAAATTAGGGTTCGTCTCGATGCGGGTGAATAATCATTTGCTGTCAGATCGTTTGCTACCGGTTCAATTGCTACAGGTGATTGGCAACTGGTAACATTAATGTTTTTTTTTCAGTTGACCCGGATGATCTTTTGGCCACCAAGAACCCCGATGCCGAAGGAGAATTCTGGGTTTACGGAGAGGAAGATGAAACTCACGCCATTGTTCCGTACCTCTTGATCACCCACAAATGCAATCCATCCAAGCCAGTAAGTTGGAATAGAAATAGGTTACTGTAGGCATTCCTAAACGACCTCATTTCAGAACTGCGTCCGCATCGGAAAGTACTTGGTTCCAGAGGACAAAATCGGAGGAACCTACGACATGACCTATGTGACTCTTGACATCAAGGTCCATGGAGAGAAGGAAAAGTGCACTTGATCAGGCTGCCCACCTGGATATTACTGAATTTTTTAAATTTTCTTATAAACTTTTTTCTGTCATAATGATTCAATCCAACAATAAGAAATGTATGCAAATGAATCTTTAGTTATTTCAACGATCAGTTATCAGAACCTGAGCAGAAAAACGACTAGTAATATACAGGGGAGAAATCGAAAATCGAATTGCGTGCACAAAATGAATTTGGTCGGGGAACCCGTGAGAAGATATGGGAGACGAACTGGCAAAAATATACACATTGTCACAGGAAATGAGCAAGGGAATAACAATATAGTTTGAACGGACGGATTTGATGAGGGTGCAAATAAAGAACAATCTATAAAAAAACGGTATGGTGTCAAGAACGATATGGAATAAGAGAAAGCGAAAAGAAAATGGGGGAGAGAGACCAAACAAATGGGTAGATCACAATTATAGCACAGAAAAGAAGTAGAAGGAAAAATGAGCAATTAAAAATTAAAGATGCATATGAGGAATCATTGGTTCACAGGTTGTTGGTGATCCTGGTTCTCCGGAACTCCGAGAGGGAGATCGAAAGTTCTGGAAAGTGATTTGATTTAAAAGTTTAATTAATTGGAACATACTGTATCCGCTGAATCTTGTTCTATATCAATAACACAATGTGTAGGTGGTGGACATGTTTTTGATGCTTTCGAAACTTCTGAATCTGTCTGAAAACAGAAGTTTCATTGAATTTGAAAGAAAAGAAAAATCGTACCGACTGAAAAGATATAGTGGAGAAATCAATGTGTCCCGAATAGTTTATGGCTGAAACTTCGACACGTGGCACCGATTTGTAGTGCTTCGGAGTATCGTCGTCGTTAAGATTTCTGAAAATTTGAACCTTTTGGAAAACTGAATCAAAGAAATTAAATACCTCGATGGAATAGTTCCCTGACTTCTGAGAATGCTGAAAAAGTTGTTTCTAGCTTGATCGGCATTGTTTCGAATCGCCTGTTGTCTCATTGGTATTCTCGATCCTCCAGAAGCTGAAGATGGATGAGGAGTTGGTGGTAATGCCGTAGAAGCAGAAGCAGGGCACGAAGTCATCTGGTGAACTGGAATGTGACGACCATTGGGAGTTTTCAAAACGGTAAATGCTTCTGGTGGGCACATATGACTCATTGTATAGGTCATGTCGTCTGCTCGCTTGGACATACTGAAAACTTTTACTGAGAGATTAAATTCAGAGGATTCTGGATTACCGTCTGTAGGCGTAAATAACAATAGCAATGAACATGACCAGCATGACGATAAGAAAGGCGAAAGCGGGAATGGCCGAGGATGAAGACTGCTGAAAAATAGTTACCGGAAGGTAGATAGTCGTCCCGTTGGATCAAATTTTAAGTCACTAAGTTTTTTGCCATTCTTACCACAATTCTATCATAAATACCACTGAGAATAGATGGAATATCAGAATCTTTGTTTGATGGCGGCGTTGTAGTAACCGTTTGATTTCGAGCAAGAAAAACTTTTGGTTTTTTCACTGGTCCCTAGAAAATTTCACAAAATAATTCCACTGTTTTGAGTTAAAACAACCAGCACCGCAAACCAATCTAAAATAAGGCTAAACCAAATGAACCATGCTACATGCAAATATATCTCAGTGGGTGAGTAATAAGTAAGTCAGAGTGTTAGTTTTCGATTCGTTTTAATTATTAGAGAGGATAATTACTTGAACGAAGAGTTGCGCCGTGCTGCTCATCGTGATCAAACGTACATTATATCTGCCATTGATAGGGGCGTAAAACGCCTGTACGTAGTGACGATCACACCGAGTCCCTTCCCAACCGTGGGGACAACTGAAGTTTTGAAAAAATAAACGATGCTTTAAACTAGTTCGCTTACTGGCAAGAAGGAACCACTGCTGAAACTCGGTCGTCTCGGAATATCACTTCTACATGACACGTGGCGTTATGGTGACAGTAATCCTTGCATTTTGCCTCTTTCAGCTTTTCTATCTCTTTTCGTACCGCAGGTTTTAATGTTGAAGTTGCATCTCGTGTGACATCTTCATTGTATTTTAGAGCTTCTTCTGCTTCTTCTTCCTCTTTCTCTTCTTCGTATTCATCTTCGTATTCTGCTTCTTTTTCGGCTGGAAATCATTCGATTATTAAAAAAATTTCTAATTTCGCGAAAAAACTCACTTAAATTTTTGACAACTTCTTGCAACTGCTCTTCTTCTCCTTCAACTACATCAGAAGATACTGTAGTCGCACCAGGCACATTCGAATTTGTAGAGGGTGCTTCTCCAATCTCGTTTGTATCCAGTGCATTCCTAGGGGAATCCGATGGAGGAGATCCACTATTCTCGGAAGCGAATTCAGCATTTTCAGAAGATTGAAATTTTTCTGGAGCACTACGTTCTTGGCGGAACCACGACGGAAGACACGATTCTGAAACTTTTGATAATTCAAGGATGTACCAAAGGTTCGATTCTTAATTTCCGTTTTATTATACTCTAGTCTACCTACCAAATGCAATCAAAAGTCGTTCTGGAACCGAATAACGAGACATTCTTCATGAAAGTAGTTAAAAGAAATATAAGAAGCCTTGGCAATTGTACAGTACTTTCTTTGGTAATTTTCAATGTCTTGCGGGAAATTTCTAACGAGAACACCTGTGATCAGGGTCACACAAATCCTGTATGGCAGCATAAATTGCAGGTGTTCCAACTATTAGATGTAAAAGTGCATCACTAGGTACTTTTCTTCAAAATACCGTACAGTTTTTTCTATTGTATTCCAACTTAACAACTGTCCTATTCTATCAATGCGTATTCCAAAATTTCAACTTTTCTCAATTTTGTTCCCCGTCCTGGGTTACTGTAGATTTCTTACCCCGTAAAGGTTCGTCCAAACTTGCATAAGAAACCACCGGAATGTACATGGATCAAGGTGGTAAAGTTGTAGAATCGATAAAAGTTCAAAGTGAAAGTAATACCGATATATGCGGTATAAAGGTGACAATGTTTATGAGTGGTGCATACATTTTGGCGGTGTTCCTACCGGGTACTTGAATATTTACGACTACCACCCACTGGCCGTTCGAAAGGTTGACAATTTGCAATCGGGGGAGTTTGTTGGTGTGAGATATCCTAAAGTCCCTAGTTCTCAGAGTCGTTTGGGAGGAAAAGTAAGTTGAATGGGCATATGACACTGGTTAATGCACATGTATGACGACATGTAGAACACATAGGCACACATCTGGTGGTAGTGTTAGTGGTTGTGTCAAATATCATCAACCGATCCGTTCAATATGTTTTAGAAAGATCTGGTGAACTCTCTTCTCTAGGCTCATCAGCGGAACGGAATTAGGAATCCCGAAAATTCCGGAAATTCCGATATGAACTCTTCTGATTTTTTTTGGGGTAAAGGCGCACGCGAAAAGTTATCGTGCGGGTCTAGAGCGGAATTACTTTAACTTTTTTTGCGTTTTCGAAATATTTTTCGTAAATTTTTCATAAATTTTCGATTTTTTGTGATGGGAAAATGGGATTTCTACTTTAAAATTTGAAAGTTGAAAAATTCCGAACATTTTGAAATTTTGAAAATTGGATGATTTCGAAAATTGCGAACATCCTTAGGGGTGAATTTTAATATGCGTTGACTTTATTATTTACCTGAAAACTGAGGCATGAGTAGGAGGATGATGCAGAATAGGAGTAGATTCCGCATTTTGAAAATTTGTAGGTAATGGTAACTGAAAAATATAGATTATGAATAAGCAGTAAAGATAACCTACCTCATGGAACAAGAAAAATTGATGCATATGGTGTGGGATGACAACCGAAGAGAATAGAGTGCGTAATTCTGAAAATATATATTATTTAAAAAAAAAGAGAAAAAACACAGACAACGTTTTCAGAAGACCAGAGAAGTGCGTTTTTAAATGTTTACACCTCCTGCTGGATCCTGTGATTCATTAAGACATTGTGAGTTACCGCACTCTCTTTTGGTATTAATATCACAGAGAGAAAGAGCACTCGAGAACAGTAAGTTGAGGCCAAAAAAACATAAGACAAGAGAAAATCGTACAGTCTCCGAACTAACAGTAAGACAAAGAGAAAGAACAGGCATTTCGCTGGATTGATGATCGGAAGAGTAATTATTGCGAAACCAAACAGTTATTTATGAAAAGAATCGAGAAGCTGCGTTTTTTGACCCTGGGAAAGTCAGTAGTGGCTTCTCTCCTACTTTTCGGAACTTTTCAGTGGCATGAGTCAACCAAGGATGGGCGGTTCGGGGAAGAGCAAATAAAGGAAAATAAGAGGATGCGCAGGCTTTTATTCTCGAGAAACAACTAATTTTATAACTTAAAATTTCAGACAGAACAATACTTTCGAGAAACATAACGTTGAGAATTTAACGTGAGAGACGATGATGGATTTGAGCAAACAAATTGTCGGTATCTTTAGATTAGAACACCGTTACGGATGACTAGAAAAAAGGAATCTATATGTAAATGAGAGGCAGAGATTACTCAAATAAGCTATTCGAGAAATTCAGAAAGATTTATAATAAGAATAATTCAAACATGGAGTTCCAGTAAAAATAGGCTCTGAAGTCCCAAGAAAAACAACTCGATGAGTAATCAGTATTTACTTTCGACTATCAGAGACACGAATGAAAACGATACAATTTTCCATAGGAGTGAAATAGGATCCTCTTAAACTTTGACACTTCCTCAGAAGAAGTCATTCCAGTTTTTGATCTAAAACTTTTTCATGAATTGGACGATCCATCGGAGACAAATAGAAACAGTGAGAACAAGCTATGGGGCTCACGCTAGGAATTTGGAAACAATAGAAACAGGGAGAGGAGATGGTAAAAAGAGAGGCGCGCAGTTGAGAAGATCGGAAAAAAGTAGGAATAGAACAAATAATAGTCGCGAGATGAAGAAGTGAGATCGACCTTCGAGAAACTTGTGGGAATGTCGAAAAGAGATCATCTAAAACTCTGAATCTGACGAGGATTCTCAGAAGAGCTCGGAAGAAATAATGGAAATCATGTATTGAATCAAGAATGACGAAATACAGTTTCGAATCTGATCATCGCAGGAAAGATGTGAACCACAACCCGATGTTTTTCGAAACATTATTGAAAAAAAAACCCCCCGAATTTCACCCGAGTCTTAGTACTACTTTGAATATAAAGACATTCGAACCATATAATTTTGCAAGACTCCGAAAAAATAAAGGGTTGGAAAAGCGAGGAAGAGTTTTACGATTCCCGAAAACAGAAATGATTGTTACCGAGAAGTCGAGAGAGCAAAAATATGAAAAGGTTTTTGCTAAATTCATATGGAGGTTGAGGTGAGGAGCCGGCTCCGACACTTCAAAAACAACTAATTCTGGTGACAACGGTTTGATTTATGAGAACCAATTTGGCAGGCCGCGAAGGAATTCCAAGCCAGCAACAGATTGAGATGATAAAAGGGTTCTCATAGTCAGCAGGTCATAAAGTAAAGCTTTTCGTGTGATCTGAATCCAACTAGACAAGAAACATGAGACAAGCTGATGTGCATTCCGGAGGAGACATTCAGAAGAGCGAACACATTGGAAACGAACGAAAAAAAGAAAAAAGGCTGGTGGTGTGAAGATCTGGCTCGTTTGACTGGGAGAGGTGGCAATAAATAAGCAAATGTGCAGAAGCAGGTGTTCAGTCTCTTAAGTTTCACGATGATGATGATGATGGGAGAGCAAATTGGAAGAAAATGATCGAAAAAAAAACTTTTCTATGAAAAAAAACAGTTGATTTCGAAGTGATAAATGACTTTATGATAGGAATAACGGCTGTTGTGAATGAAGACTCTTAGAAAATAGCGAGAACATGAAAATTCTGTAGATTGCATGATGCATTTTCACACAAAAAATGACGAACCGAATGCAGCCGATCACATTTTCCTATGAAGACCCTAAATGACAATGGTGATGAAGACGTCGCGGACCATTGCCGATTCGTTCATTTACCTACATTTTTGATGTTTTTTTCTTCTTCAACATGGGGTTTTTCGAAAACTGGAGACGGAGGGTTCTCCGAAGAAAAAAAGTTTTAAAAAACTTACAATTTAAAACATTTTATACCCGTAGAGTGGCGGAACAGCGCCGAGTGCTTTGTACAATCTGAAAATAATACAAAAAGTCGTTTAAATAATGAGCAAAATAAAAATGTAAAAATATAGATTTTGTCGGAGCTATCAAACTGACACCTCGTGTTTGCAGACCGAAAAGAAGAATTACGGTATTTTGCATCGAGTCTGCAAACACGCAGGTGATATTTTTTATCCCGACAAAAACATACAAGGAATAAATATCCGAAATTGGTTAATTAAATCTTATGACGATATCCGGTTCAAAGCTCGCGGCTGAAACTTACCGAGAGAATGTGCTGGTCGAAGAGACGCAGTAATTTCAGTAGAGTGCATTTGCTTTCTCATTAATTTTGACTGTGACCAAAAATCGCTACCCGAAAATGAAAAAATGACAATAGAAGAACGACACAGAACTAATTAAAAAATCAAGAAATAACAAAAAATACCAAATAGAAAACTAGTTATTCAGTCAAGTGCCTCGAAATTATTATAAAAGAGCCTGGTATGACACTTGACTTTGGTCAGTTTTGAACATCATGTTTTTAAAGTTGACAATTTTATTGGTTATTCTTCATATTTCTTTTCTTCATTGCGCTTCGACTGCTGTTCAGAAGTACACGAGCAAGTTTCACCCACAAATTAAACGAGAAAGAGATCATGTGTGAGATATTCGCGATCCAGGACTACTGTAGTTAGAAGTTTATTATAGGAGTCGTAAGTATCCTAAACACCTGATGGAAGTGACACTGTCCTCTGGGATGAACGAAGAAACCATTCTATTCATAGAAGCTGTCATCGAAGAGAATTTCACTGGCCGCTTCGATACTGATTCGCTGAATAAAATTCAGGAGGTAACTGGAGAGAGAGAATGTCTTCTATTCTGGTACATGAAACCGGAATTGTGGAAGAAAAACGCGTCTGGCCGTGGCCGAAGGTTTCACAACGACAACTACCGTAACCTCAAAATATTTTCATTTCCGGATTTATTTTCTCGGTTTTCGTGCGGTTTCAGTCAACTTTTATTTGTTGATTTGTTAGAGGAAAAATAACAGAAAAGTCGCTGTTGACGAAAAGCAGTGTAAAACGAGAAAATAAATAAAACACTTTCCAGGTTACGGTAGTTGTCGTTCTGGAAACTTCGGCCACGACCACCGGCGTTTCACTTTCAGATCTCTGATTTTTTCTACCAGAATAATAATTTATGGATTTATTCTTTAGACCGTGCAAGAATATCTCGGAGGAAACTGGGGGATTCAGTACTATGAAGATCCCTATATGTTTGCCTCCACTTCTTTCAGAAGAAGTCCCAGTTTCGTGGTTCTTGATGTCAGTGGAAATGGAGTAGCTGTGGTTAAAGAATCTATAAAAAGTTCTGTTTAACATTATATTAATAGCATTTATTCAAATAAGATAATTAATTGATTGAAAAAAAAAACTAATTTTATAAAGTGTGAATGAATTTAAACTCCAAACTGTTGTTCTCTTTGAGCTCTTTCCTTTGCATATTGTCTATCCAAATAGGCTCTCGCGATCTTCATACCTTCCAATTGGAAGAATGGATCTAGAACGTTTTAAATAATTCGTCGATTTTATGGTATAGCTTACGCTCTTGTTCGATTCCGGAACTTTTTGAAATCACCTCTCCTTCTGCTGCTACTCGGAATGAACCACTGATATGCACATTCTCAGCAGAATCATCACAACAAAATGTGGATACTAAACATAATGTTTCATTGATACCTCAAAACTTGGAAACTTACAAAGTAGAGCGAATATCAAGAAAGTTGACGTCTTCATGGTGAAATTGTGTCTAAAATGAAATTGGAGTTAGAGTGAATCCAAAGAGGGGCTGAAGAAGAAGAAAAAGATTTGAACAGATGGCCAGCAAATTAATGCAATGGGTGGAAGAGAAATTTAGTCAAAATTAGAAACAGACTTTGTGTGGGAACTAGAACTTTATAAGGTTTTGTATTTGGTTCTCAAAGTATTACGGTAGGTTTGTTGTAACCTTATTCTAGTGCAAAATATCTGCGGTGGAAGAGAAACGCCGGTGGCCGAAGGTGACACAACGACAAATACAGTAACTTAAAAACGTTTTGAGAAAATGAATACGGAAAATAAACATTTTTGGTTACTGTAGCTGTCGTTCTGAGACCCTCGGCCGCGGCCACTGGCATTTCTCTTCCACGGTTTTTTTTGTACCAGAGTAATAGGAAAAATAGTGAAGTAGAGTGTTTGAGAAACGAAATGAAGCATCCGAATGAATCGGTAGAGATTTGAATTTGCATAACAACAACCTAAGCCCCGCCTCCTTCGGAATCTAGTTTCTATACGAAATGTTGCAAAGTTGTGGAGTATAGAAAAGAGAAAGTACCAGCGGTTTTTGGATTAATGCTTTATTTTTTCGCAATCGTGATTTGATTTACTGTTTTTCGTTTTGAGAGATTGCATAAGCGTTTGAAATATAATGAACGATACTATAGAAACCTAGATCCAGTAATAAGTAGTAAAGTTCCCATAGTTTCCCTTTCCATTCCAACTTTTCCTCTCGATTGACATCATAATAAGGGTTGAGGCAGACCGGATTTCCCATGATTTCACTGAGTACGTATTGCATAATTCACCCCCATATTAAATACCTAGGAATACCTACTTTTTAAAAGGCTATACATATTTATTGCTTGAAAACGAAACCGGAAAATCCTAATAAATGGGGTCATGTTTTTGTCTGTTTGGGTTGACTTAGAATTGATTTCAAAAAAAAATTGTAAAATTAAAATGATAAAGCTGAATAACAAAAAGTAAAAACAACTGAAAATTGAGAAGAATCAAAACTCGTGGGGGAAACGGGGGAAAGTGAAACGGAAGGAAGCATGGTATAAATCTTAGTATATAAATTTTGAAATAAACCCTTAATTCAGATTATCACAGAAATCAGATTGACAGAAAGAAGATTGGATAAATTATAACTACATCTATAGAAACATTTATGCATCAGATTGTCGGTGGAACAGTTGCTCAAGTTGGATACGTTCAAAATCATCGCCACCACGTCGTTGTACAGTTTGTTGATTCTGAAAATATGTATTAAGATTACGGTTTCGAGTATTCCAAATTACCAAATCTTCATCTGATGCCATCAAACTTGATGAGCTCGGTGCAGCACCGGTTCCCTGATCGAGACTGCTTCGAATCGTGTCGTTCTGATGCATTCCTCTCATCAGATCGCCTCTGGAAATGATAGTATTCGTATCAGAAAATGTTTTAGGAGAAGGCTGAAAACCACACTTCACAGCAAGACTTATTAAAAAAAGTTTTGAACCAAAGTGCATTTAAACAAAAGTGCAAAAAAGAAGAAAAACCACATTCGTGATGATAAATTTTGCATTTTTCGAGAGAAAGCATTAAATTACCGGCTCATTCTACGATATTTTGAAGAGGTACGGTAACTGGACCGTACGAAATCACTGCTGAAATTGGATTTTTGTGAAAAACAGAAACAACTGAGAAGGGGATACAATTATAAAATAAGCCATTCAGAGAACAAATTCTCTTATTTTTCTCTTCAATACCTGGTGTTTCCACTGTCGAATCTCATCAAGTCCACATGAGCTGGTGGAGAGTGACTTCGTTCCTCTTCAAGGAGATTTTCTTTTGAATCGTATCGAGATTGTGTGCTGTCTGCATCAGAAGCATCTCGCTCCAAATCGTTGATGTTGTCTTCGAACCTGAAACTATTCATGCGATTATTTTGATTAGTTTTTTTTCTAGAAAATCTTAAATTTCTGAAGAAACGTTGTCAGTGAATTTCAAGGCTCTTAAAGACAATTTGGGGTCTGTGAGATGACGTGGCAATTGATTACGGTGTTACAAGATCAAACCATGCGAATATGTAGGAGGAGGAATATGAAACTGCCACGTCACCACTACAAACTAGAGAAGTGTCAACTAGGCAACTAACCAAATTTGTGTAGTACTATAACAAATAATGGGGGTCTAGTAGAACCAAGGAGATCTGAAATTCGATTGAATGCAGTTCTACTCAACTTAAAAGTAACATTTGAAAGTTAAACTGTTCAAGCTTATCAATATCTTTCACGTACCTAACCGAAGGAGCGGCTGAAACTGAAGCTGGAATAAAGCCATCGGCCATTGGAGATGGACCATCAGTAGATGACGAAAAGTGAGAGAAGTGTAATTCATTGACATCGCCTTCCGTTTCAGCTGCAAAAAAGCTTGCCAAAATTGATCACTAAAACGCCTATCTTACTCAAATCCATTCCTGATAGCTTCTCCATCAAACATTTGTGATCAATGCTCAACTCTGTCGCATTCTGCACAATTGTAGACCTCCGCCTCTGTTCTGCTCTAACCGATCCTAGCAATGGCGCTCGTTCTCGTTCAGAGTTCAATGCAGCTTCAGCAGCCTCCTCGATCTCATCTTCTTCGTCTTCTTCTCGAAGTGTCAATGCCTTTCTCTTATCCACTCGCAGTCCAGGAGGCGAAGATCCGAACACTTTGAGTGTTTCAACCAACAAACGAATTAGTGTCCAGTCTCCAAGTGGTAGAAGCATGCTCTCTTTGAGTTCCGGAAGTGGACACGTGGCGAGAACGAGACCACACAGATTCAGTTTGTAGAAGCGATCGAGAATTGAGTCGAGACGGTTCGATGGAACGTCCAATTTGCGAATGAGATTGACAACAGAATCCAGTTTCATCTCCACAAGAGGTGTATCGATAGACATCCACGTTAGTTCATCCTGCAAAAATCTTTCATAGTAATCTAGATAGTTTCCAGTAACTCACATTGAAAAGAAGACGTGCATTCGGTGGAATAGCCATTCCAGCACTTCCAACTTGTGCCTCAATATCCACCAATCCTTTGCTCCTCTCTCTTATCAATTTTCTCAAATATGGATCCAAACTACTTGTACATGGAACGAACTTCTTCACATGTCCAACAGTCAATCTCTCCGCAATCGGAATTCCTTTAGAATCTAAAAATCCTTCAAAGTTCTCCAGATTTCTGTCCAATTGCATCAGATCATCTTGAGCTGGAATGTGGTCCTTCAGCTGATGATACACTTCCGAAAGGAGCAATTGATTGTTGTGCACTTCAAGAGCTCTGTCGATCAGCCAACACATGCGAGACGGCCACTGCTCCAGAAGTGATACCCAATGACCTAGCGACATCCACGAGAAATCGATTTCAAATGCTCTCATCAAACGTCCAGTGAGAGTTAGAGCGTTCATAATTCTTCTCATTGCACGTGGATTCATGTTGGAGAAGTAGTCTTCACCGAGGATTCCGTCATTCAGATTTCGTCCAACTACACTCGTAGAATTCATGTTTGGCACTGTTGATTTCTGAAAACTTCTTTTTGTTTCAGCATCTTTGGACTTTTACTCACCTTCCGACTAGTCCGACCATCAGCTTCTCTCAGTGAAAGGTGTGATCCATAGAATGTGTCCTGTCGTTTGAATCGTTCTTTCCATTCGGCCATAGATTCTCTCTTCTCTCGAAGTTTCGATTGAAGTTGTCTAAGAGCAGAATTGTGCAAATAGAATGGCATACTGATGATATTCTTCAAGTAGTCATGTCCAGTCAATTCTGTCCCCGATAGTGCGGAATGCATGTTGTGATTGATCGCTGAGACGATAACATGAGGATCAACAGCAATGATAGTGATGAATGGACGGTGTTTACGAGCAGAGAAAAGAAGTTCGAGAGCATCCAACGTCTGTACCATTCTTTCTTGCTCACAATTATCCAATCCGTCCACAACTACAACAAGACGAGTGTGACTGCGAGTGAAGGCGTCGAGAGAACGGATCATATCGGCTAGAAGATCCACTTCTGTCTGTAGTTTTTGCATCAAACCTTCGAATCTCAACTTGTGGGCGTTTCGAGCTGCAGCATTAACTCTTCGTCTTGGGACATTCGTCCATGAATACCTGAAATGTTTTTTTCATAAACACAGCTCATCATTTGGATCATTTCGACACTTACATGATAACGAGTCCAATGGGATATATGGCAATCATAACAAATCCACATAAAAATGCAACAGCTATGAACAGATTGAGGCTGTTTGGATCGCGATTGGAGAGAAGCCAAATCGTTCCAAAAACTTGGGCCATTATGAGAAGAAAAATGCAAACAATGAGAAGGATGACATGAGGAACACCACAGTGACGACGGAGCGATCCATGGGTTCCAGCTGAAAATGAAAATAAAAATATTGCGGAAATCTGTAAAACTAAGTACGACACCAACAAATAAAAACTCAAAGACCCCACTGTCTCCAAAACTCATGCAGATTTCTTCAGAAAACTTTTTAGTTGCCTGATTCAATTTTTCATTTCATAACAGTCACAATAACGATGAAACCACACAAAAATGTTCAATGCAACATATATATTCAAAACCTTGCTGTTGAGCATTTTGTTGCTGTAAACTACGGTAAGTAGTACGCGAAAATGGAGAAGTGTATCCAAATCCAGTGTCTATGTAATCTGAATTTCTAGATTTAATCAAGCTAGCTAACTTGAGTAAATTCTGGTATTAGAAAAGAAAGAAGAATTGGATTCTTGATTCCAGAAACTATGTAAACTCACGATATGGTGGCTTCATGGAGCAGAACAACCGAACAGGAAGTACTCCAAAATGAGTTTCGGCTGCTTCGAAAAGAGTTGCTACGATTTTGGCGAGAGCTTGTTCACCTCCAATTGAAGAGAGACGATGATAATCCGCGAACAGAAAGCTGCAATTATGTTCAATCATTATTCGATAAGTAGCTGTTTTTAAACATACCTGACAGGCATACTTGCACTATCCTCACTATTCATTGGAGCATGAAGTGTCAAAATATTGTAAACTAGTCTGACTCGACTGAATACGCGGGCGAAGAAATTTGCGATCTGGAACATTTTTCTGATAAAACGCAGGCTGAAAAAAAAACGAAGAACTAACATCCATTGATGTGTACCAATTCTTTCGATCTCCATAGTAAACCACAATGAGGAGGGCACAGAAAACGATAAATATGAAGAGAAAAATAGCCCATGAAACGAGATATGCGTGATTGAATTGGAAATTGCGATCATCATTGTGAAGGTGAGTGAGAACATTCCGATGATTGTGAAGATTGCAAAGAACAGTGCAAAAGAGAGACTGAAAATGAACTAAATACTTCTTTTGAAGACTGGAATAAAACATACGAAAGTGAAACTCCATCGAGCCAATCTCTCGAAAAACTATGCATTGCTTCTTTTAGTTTAGCCAGAAGTGCAGACTTTCCCGATCCCCATTTTGCATAGAGACCAATCGTAAGTGGAAGAGACAAGGATGGCTCACATACTGAAAACTTCTTTTTAACCGAAATGTCCATTTAGTAATTAGAATGGTTACCAATATCAGCTAGCACATTTGAATACACATCGTATCCCATAGCTGTGTCCATCTTGTCTTCTGCATCAATCGGTCCGAAAATAAGTGGAAGAATTGGCTGCGGATTCGACAAATCGATTGAATACGGTGTTTGACCCAACTTGTTTGGGCGGTACAGTAATCGAGAGTCTGATGGGTTGGCTAAAAAAAGATGAACCCAAATTTTATCAAAAAGTTGATCTTACATAGTAAAGCTTGTGTCAATCGTCGACTGCGAGCACGAAGAGCCAAATGGAGGGCATTGTCTCCGCAATTATCAACTGCAGCAAGTTTCGCGCCGAAACTCATAAGGTAGGTACAAAGATGAACATGTCTACATTTGGCAGCGCGAAGGAGAGGAGTTTCTCCGTCCTGAAAATAGGAATTAGGTACATGAACCTAGATAATTGATATTACCTTATTCTTCAATTCCAGATTTGGTTTCTTCTCTAACAAAATGTAAGCGATGTCGTTGAAAGACTTATCAATTGCCAAATGAAGAGGTGTTCGTTTTTCCTGAAACACAATTCTTGAAATTTATGCTGAATAGCTGATATTCAGTTACCGAATCCTGACAATTAATATCTGCAAATTTGTCAAGAACCATTCGAACTATCGCAGCATTTCCACTCCTCACAGCTGACGTAAGAATCCAGTTACCGAATCTGAAAAGAAAATACAGTAAAAGCGCAAATAATTCAATTAAATACCGATCACATTGGTTGACAAAAGCACCAGAATTGATAAGCGATTCGCAGATATCAGCATATCCATCTCGAGCAGCCATTCCCAACGCAGTCAATCCATTCTGATCAGCAACATTGACATTTGGTTCTCTTGTTAAAAGTAAGTCAACCACTTGGAGGAAGTTTCCACGTGTGGCAAGCATCAAGGCGGTGGATGAGTACTGAAATTATTCAATCTAGAAATAGATATTCTATAAATGTAACAAAACTACCATTCCAACAGCATCCACTTCTGCTCCTGAATTTAAAAGCAGTTGTACCACTGGAAGATGTCCTTTTCGAGCCGCCCAAATTAAAGCAGTACTTCCAAATTTGTCACAAGCGTTCACCTGTAAATGATATAGTTTTTCCTTGTTACAACAGTGGTAATTTGATGTTTGTGTTCGGAATATCAACAGTTTTCAGCAAGAAAATATGTTCTCAAAAACATACCTGGCAATCTGATTCGATTAAGCGCTCGACAATTTGAGAGAATCCTCGACCAGATGCGACAATTAAAGGAGTTAAGCCATCTTCCTCGTCAATAAGATTTACATGAGCCTTGAAGTCACAACTTAATTGAAATTTCCTCCTTCAAAAAACTCACTCTTGAATTGATAAGTAGATCTACAACATCTAAATGATTCTTGTAAACTGCCCACATTAGAGGACTCCATCCCATTAAATCGGGTTGATCAACAGCTGCCCCTGCTTCTATTAATAATCGAACAATATCCACATGGCCACCATGGGCAGCATTGAGAAGAGCACTCCAGCCTTCCTGAAATCGGATTCTTTTGAAGTTTTTTTACAATTTGAGCCACTGACATTATCTGTTTCATCAACCGATTCTGGATCCAAGTGAGCCAATTGTTTTGCTACTGGTGTATTTCCAACTCTAACTGCAACGATGAGCAGAGATTCTCCGTTCTGAAAGTCAATAACTCCTCGTGACCTGTTTTTCTTGTTAAACTAAATACTCACAGCGTTCCTGAGAGTTGAAAATTCTGCTGTTAAGGCACATCGCAGTTCTGATTCACCGCGCTCAACCTGAAAAAACATTTCAATACTTTATCGATCAGGTAGAGTTGTGAAACGTTATTATGTTTCTTTTTTTAATACAGATAATCTGTTTTAAGACCTTCGGGAATTCCGAATTTTTCTTCTGATAAGTGTGCCTTTATTAAAATTACCTGTTCGAAGAGCTCGGCAATCTGCTGACTATTCATAGTCACCGGAAGAGCACTGGCGACGGCAAAAGCACTGCTTGCCGCTTCTTGCCACGGTCTTCGCAGTGTTTGAACCATGGCTCCTCGCTGCTTCTTCTCGTATTCTTGCCCTTTTCTTCCTGCGTCTCCACTAGGCTTCCCACTCTTTATCCGGTTCCCTCTCTTATTTCTCCAGCTTTCGTTGAACTTCTCGGTTCCTTCAAGTCAGGGTCATATGAATAATATCACTATTTCACTCCGGCGAGTTTCTTCGAAATTTGACGAAGAATTACAGTAATCTAGGTTATTGTTGTTTGTGAGAATTCCTGAAAAAAATTAAATTACTAGGAAATTTCGAGAAAGGTGAATTTTCTGTCAACAAGTATACTCCAAATGTTCAAATTATTTTAAGCCTTGAAAAGATATTTAAAATTGTCAGAAATCTATTGGAACATTGAATGAAACTTTCGAAATATTTCTTTTTTGTTTTATTTTGAGAATTCGTGAAAGAAATGAGTGAGACATCAACAAAACAGGATTACTGTAGCATTAAAGGCGCACACATGAATTTTTGAATTTGGTTCCAGAGTAGAAGAACTACGGTTTTGTAAAATAGTATTCTGAGTCAGAATTTCTGTTTCGAACATGGAATGCGATTTTAAAATTTCGAATTTAGAAAAATTATCCTACTTGGCTTAAAGGATAAATTTTTGCTATTTAAATTCGAATTCAAAATAACAAAAATCAATTCTATAGGAAGGCAAAAATTGCAATGAGGGTTCGAAAGTGACACATCTGTCAGTGGCTGCAGTAGCAGACACCGAAAAATGATGGGATGGGAGCCTGTCAATAGAAACACAAAAATCGAAAGCATTGGCAAACAGAAATAGTTCTAATCATGTGGAACCGCAGATAAAATGTGAATATTTTTAAACCAAAAATGCTGAATTTCGAAAGATGAAGAGTGTGGCTACCTATCAGATTTCTCACACTCTGTTGCTTTCAAGGGGTAGAATTATGCAAATTCTATTCCGAAACCACGTTGAAAATTTCAGTGTGAAATGTCAGAGTGGTATTAAATACTGCTGTAATACTTTGATCACGAAAAACTAAAAAAGGCAGAAAAGGGGAGAGATGAGAGTCACGAATACTCTCACAGGAGATTCTCTGAGGAAGGAATACTCAATTTACTCTTGTGTTGTGAGAAGCAACAAGACAACGAAGAGCAAAAATCGACCTCAATTTATATCTATTGTTAGGATGGAGCAAGAGAAAGAAAGGGAAGAGAAGCATTCGGGTTCTCTGAGCAATAATTCATGGACGCTCGTTTTAATTGAGTTTTCTGAAAGAGAAAACAAGAAATGAAAAATGACATTTTTAGACGGTACATTTCCAATTGGTATTTGTTGGGATAGTGGTTTATACAAATGCAATGCGACCAATGATTCTATGAATCATACATCACAAAACTGGTACAAAATTATCAATGTAAACAAAATGTTATCTTCAATGTTAAACCTAGTTGTTTTCTTGCTTCTGGATTTCAGGGAAGTGAAAAAGCAAAGTCTTAGTACGTAATAGGAAATGGAAAGAAAGGTGTATGAAAATTGATAAATGTCATTTCCACACTATCATTTTCGCTGACAGAGTGCATTGAAAGGCAATAAGTGATAAAGAGAAGCGAGACGCAGTTATGATCAATGGCCGCAGACAGTCCAAGAAAGAAGACAAAAACTTTATTTGGAAAGCAAAAATAGCTGAAAAACATTTGAGAAACGAAAAATAAGTTAAGAATAAGGCACGATCTGATGAATCCGTTTGTTGTTTACAATTCTTCTCCATCTCTGTCGATCTTCATAAGTTCAACGTCGAACTTGAGGACAGCGTTGGCTGGAATCTTTGGTGGAGCTCCACGCTCCCCGTAACCGAGGTGTGGTGGGATTGTGAGAATACGGCGCTCTCCGACGCACATGTTGAGAAGACCTTGGTCCCATCCCTTGATCACCTGGAAAGAAAACGTTGAAAAACTGGAGATACCGTTCTGAAGAGTTCTTACCATTCCTTGTCCAAGAGTGAAAGTGAATTCTTGGTTGCGGGTGCGGCTGGAATCGAATTCAGTTCCATCGAGAAGTGTTCCGGTGTAGTGCATGTGAAGTTGATCTCCCTTTCTGAAATAACCGTTTCTGAGCGAATAAAGTTATTTTTCAAATCTCACCTAGATTTCTGAACACAGTCCTTAACCCGTGTCTTTACACCGATCTGAAGTTTGTTGATTTTCAGCTCATCATCTGCGTAGGCAACGGCCATCAGGCAGAGGAGTCCAACGAGAACGGCGGTTTTCATATTACTGAAAATAAAAGGATAAGACTAACATGGTGAAAAACAAAACAAATTTGAAATGAGAAGATTGAAATAAGGTGAGACAGAAATATCTAGAGAGCAATCGGAGTTGTGCAAATATAAGTCGACGTGGTTTTGATACGCAGAGAACACAAATGGGGTCAGTAAATAGTGGTTGACGCAGACGAAAAGGTGAGTTTATGTTTGAAAGAGGGCCCATCATAACAAGATGGGATATCGCAGGATGACCTTGTTGAGAGAGATTGAAAAAATAACGAATTTATGAACCGAAAAAAGGTATTGGATTAGCCAAAATTCAACCAAAATGTGTTCCCTGTGTTCTATGATTCGTAAAAAATAGAGGCCAGCAAAAATGAAAACGCGATCTTATCAACATCTGAAATCTCCAAAGTTTCACATAAATCTCCTGTTTATAACATTAACCTTTGCCAATTTACAAAAATCGAAGAAGTCGACTACTGTATCCTGTGAATTTATTTCAAAGAGCCGTATGAAGAAGCGAGAAACTCAGCGACAGAGAAAAGATGGGAAGTTTTCAATTGAAACAAGTTCATTTCAGAGAATTGGGATGAAATGCTCAATAAATAATATTCTTTTGCAAGTTTTTGTTACATGTTTAAATTTTCGGTTTTCTGTCATTTGTTATCAAAGATATCACAAACTGTCAGAATACGTTTCCCAAACTACTTCGAATTGTCAAGCAACGAAGGACACAACCGGAAGGACCGACACGAAAACTAGAACAACGAAGACAACCGAGAAAACGAGGAACGACGAATATTACGAAAGGAATAACGGAAATCGAATGGCGAAGAAGAATAGCGCGCAAAGAAAGCAAAGTAATCATCAGAAAGAGAGTTCTCCAAGTTCTGACATCATGACCCCAACTCAGTCTTCCCACGTCGAAATCTGAAATTGAACTATTGTTACATCCTTGAATTTGCATGAAGGTTCCAAAAAAAACATCCTCCCTGTACGCGGCGTTCTTTTTGACGGAGTTCTGAAACTGAAAGTAATAATTTCGCAATGCTTTAAAGATTTATTTTTGGAACATTATCTCCATCCCTTCATGACAGTTTCAAAGCGTATAGCTGCCGAAACGGGGCAGCCGTCTTTCAGCCGCCACGCCACCGTTAATTTTCCCATCCCTGTTCTGTGTCCAATTTTGTTGAGCTAGGCATGTTAAAGTTTTTGCAGCTCCATGACTTCTTTTCAAAATCACAAGTACTCATTTCTTCACCTCTCATTATTCCGCTGCACATGTTGTCCGTCCTAATACCATCCCTGCAAACTGTCCTCATACTTGGTCCTGGAGTCCAAGCATCCCCTGCAACTTTGATTTTTTTGAAACTTCTTGTTTTGAAAGTTTGTTTGATTGTTTTGAACATATTGAAACTTCACCAATTTCCTCACCTTTCATTCTGTTCAGCTGCACGCATGTGGTCCTGTGGTTCTGATTCGAATAGTGCCAATCTTTGGAAACTATCCTCGAAGATCGTCAAATTGGTCTCGTAGTCCACGCTTTACCAATTTTTTTTCTCACATTTTACCCTGCCTTTTCTGTCATCTCAAATCAAATCCTGCCAATCCTGGAATGTGCGTTGAAAACCGTCCTCGTAGTCCTCTAGGAGTTTGATTGGAATCCGTCGTCGAGTTCCTACGAGGTAAGGGGGAGCGGGCATCCTGGAAACCAGGAAGATCCTGCAAAATCCTGGAACTTGAACGTTTGAAACTAATACAGATTTCTTCTTATTTTTCAGAACACTGGGCATCGCCCCCATTTTATTAGGCTTTCACGGAGGGTCACACCGATTTGGCTTCCAAAAAAGGAGTTCACGGTTAAAATGAAACTCGATGCACTGTGTCAAGATTAACCATCAGTATCCTTCAACGACTTCCAGATATCTTCTATATTCGATCTAATTTTTCATTTCATGAACTCAATACAAAAAATTCTATTTCTAAACCCAGTTTTTAAAATCTAATTTTTCGAAAATCACTGGATACGTTTTTTTTTTGATAATGTTTAGTCCATGTGTTGTTGATAGTTGGAAACTGTTTGAATTGTTCAAGTTCTAACTTTTTAAAAGAAGTCTGAAAAAAAAGGAGAGGTACAAGTTTTTGAAAAGACAATTTTGTTATCTTCCTTAGCCATATTTTTAGACATAATACTGACATACACTTTTTGAACGTTGACTACATCTATTGACTTCCGTATTACAGCAGTTGACATGACATAAGTAATGTACTTCATTTCAGTTACCCATAATAAAAAATAACACCAAAAAAAAAACAAAAAATCTAATATTTCCAAGTAGATGGATCTTCTGGTTCTTCCGGTTGAATGATCGACTTTTTCAGCTTCTTTGAAAACAATCTCGCAATGAATGCATTCTGCCATGTCCACTTCAACATCACCAAAAACCAAGTAGCAGTGGACCACCAATTCAAACCATGTTGCTCTGAAAATCATTCATAACTGACAGCTTCAATTATTAGGTTGTTCGGAAAGTCCTTTCCACTTTTGATATGTTGTTTTCGAACTTCGTTTTCTTGAAGGGGGTAAAAGCGAGAAAGTTGTCGTTTTATCCGTATGCTGGTGAGGTCTAATAGTGTCTACACCCCAACGGAGATCATTCTCCTCTTTTCGTTCAGTGAGATATGCCCACCGTTTTCGCCTCTAATAATTTCCATTTTTGGACTACCATTTTATTTGTATTTCTATCTGACCTCAGATCAACTGAAATCAATCACCAATTTGTGGAAGTTAACAACGAAGATGCACCCTTTCGAACAAACTTCACAACCTGGATTCATTAAAAAAAATGCAAATTCTCGTTGGACGAAAATCCCCCTCCAAAAAAGCGTACGGGCTCAGATTTGGACGCATTAAACACCGGGATTGAAAGGGGCCCGTCTCAAAATGTGCAGGATATATCAAGTACATCAGTGGCAAGCCTTTCATCAAAAAGCCATAAATTGGGAACTCTCGGCAAAGTAAAAAAAGTGGGAAGATATGGATCACACCTTTTCGCTCAAAGCAACTTTGTTTCATGTGGGCACCTGTTTGAATCTTCTCATCCTGCGTTGCACACATGAATGTTGAAGTTGAATCATTACTAGTGGCGATAAAAGGGTAATGTATGATTACTATAAACAACAATCCAAATGGGTTGACGAAGGCACTCAACCACCAGACGTCTCGAAACGTGAAATTCATGTTAAAAATGGGATGTTTTCGGCATGGATGTCTACCAAGGAGTGTAGTATTGGGAGCTGCCAGATAATGGTGTCACTTTTATGACCGATACCTATTTTTGTCAGGTGACATAACTCACATTCAGACTCCATGTAGATCTCCATTGGAGAGAAACACAAAGGCTTATTTTCAGAATCGAAATTCGCAACCTCATGCGGGAAGGAGAACGGAAACCGATCTCACTGGATACGGCTAAACGGTTCTGTCTTATCTACAGTATAGTCCAAACCTTGTACTGTCTGACTACCCCCTATCCAGCCATTTCTACCGACATCTTGATTGAAAAAAATTGATTTCAAAGCATGATGTCAAAAATGGGTTGACTTGATTTTCAATGCGCTGTGACCGGAATTTTGGAAGGAAGGCAACCACAATTTGGTGGGACGTTGGCAGATAGTCACTGATAACAATGGTCATTATCTTCAATTTATCTGGCATCGTTTTGACCTTTTTTATATCGAATGAATCTGACGCTAAAAATGGAAAGGACTTTCCGAACAACCTAATAGAATCATTTACGTTGATTGGAAATTCCTTGATGTTTTGTAGCTGCAAGAACAATAGCTGCAATCATTCCTCCAATTGATAAGAAACCAACAAAAAGATCTGGAATAGAATAGTTTACGAAATTAAATAGTGAAATAGAAACTCACTAATCCAAAATAGAATCTGGAAAGTTATTGGTCTCCATTTTAGAATCTTGTCTCGTTTTATGGAAAGATAGAACCAAAAGGTCTCGAACGCAAAGGATGTGGCAAAAAGGCATGTTCCAAGAGCTACCCAGTTCTAAAAAATTAAAAGTGATTATAGTGGATGGAATTATAGGTTAACCTTCCATGCAAATATGTAGACGCACGCCCAAAACAGTCCGATCAGAATACCACAAATTGTGTATGCTATTCTGACATTAATGTGGCAGCACAACGACCATTGCATGTTTCTGGAAGGGATATACATTTTTTTTAACAGAGCGATTCAACCGAAAAAGGTATGAGAAATATTTTCAGAATGATACAGTGTACGAAATTACAGTTTTTCTCTGCTTTCTCATTTTTTACAGGAAACCGAAAATAATACAACATCCTGTTATGTTATACTTTTGAGCACTTCTTATTTGATTTTAAAAAGTTCAATATGATCTGTTGACTATATCAGACCAGTAGTCCTCTATCTTCACATTGATTGCGATTACCATTAAACCTGTAATAGAAGGGCTCCCTAACTTTTAGAGTTTTTTTTGGGGGCTCTTACGCAAGCTATTAAATAAGTGCCAACTGACAGAACATCTCTGATATTATGATGAAAACTTATCAGTTTACCACTTGTTATATATTTGACAGGAACCGAAAATAATTGACCTCAAGTATAAAGTTAGGTCTTTCTATTGCAGGGTTTACGATATCTAACTTGCAAGAAAAATTATCTCCGTTCCAGAAAAAATTTCCCTATATCTTTTTCAGACGCCGATATAATTGGGATCAAAGGGACAATAGAGCAGGACTGATCCATCAAAATAGACAAGATCGTTTAATTTTCTAATTTCCTTCTCGTTCCAATAAATAACTCCACATGATAAAGTACACACAAATCATACATTGATAAATATGAAAAACTTCAGCACAGATGGACGGAAAAATCAGATCAAGTTATATGATGTAACCCCAGAAACTAGGCAGAAATAGAGAAAATGTCAACGATAACGAACTGAAAAATTATCAAAGAGAAGCTGGAAAATCTGTGGTTAAATTGAAGAAAAGAGGTGAGTTCACACTGGTATAAAACCCAAATTATTCTCGCTTGCGAACTTTTACGATTTTTTCTTTGGCTTTCTGATTTTTCAATTGATTTTTGCTCGTTTATTTTGTCCGATGCACCCTTTTTACATACCTATCGTTTTGCTTATCAAACTGTGGCTGTTGAAAAATGTAAAACTTTGATTGGAGAGTTGAACAAATATTGAACTGGAATTTAGGTCACGAATACTACTGTTATTAGCAAAAACCCGAAAAATTCAGTAGAGGAAGTTCTCAAGTACTGTAGACGAGACACAACGGGAAATTCTCATAAAAATTTATCGAAGGATTTAGATCTATTAGGTTTTTTATTCCATTCTTAACCCAGACTTTTTTTTTATTAGACAGTTTACTCAAAAATCTACAAAATAAATAAAGTTGAACGTTTTGTGAGGAATATAGGAGGCAACAACTGAAAATCAAACAGGAATGAGTCACGACCCACGCTCTCCTTATGATTATGTAGATGTTTTTTTGAAAACTCAAAGAATAGGGCAAACTTCTTAAGACATTCAACAAAAAATAATTTCAGAATGACTGCTGAAAAACAGAGTTTCTGCCGATTGATCTGTCACATAAATGTGAGAATCGCTTGGACAATTTTCGGAATAGTATTTGGAATTTCTGCCGTTTTAACATATGCAATCAAGTTCCAAAATTGGTCAGCTACTGCAACATGTGCAATTGCAACGCTTTTTGCATGTGAAACTCTGTATCTGTACTGGGCATTAAAAAAGAATACGATTGTCAATTGGAAGACAAGCACGTTTCAGTTGATGATCTGGCCAAGTAAGTTTAGGAAAAGTTCTGAAAATGTGTGTTCAGTGTGCTTCTCGAAGACATATCTTGCTTCAACAATCTTCCAGTATTTTCTAAATTTTCAGAGAATGAAAATAATCTGGAAGAGTTCATATCCCGTAAAATCTGTAATAGTAGGTCTCCTTTGATTGATGAGCCCTCCGAGAAGGGTTTGGAACAATAGACGGGTACATTGTTAAATAGACGGGTACATTGTTGCTGAAATAGACGGGTACATTGTTGCTGAAACTAATTACCGTAAATGTTCTCATAGAATCCGACCCTATACGTACACTTGGAGCTCAATATCGCCGTTCCTTCTAAATATTAAAAAAAAATTTGTCAACTGATAAAATGTTGGTGATATTATGAAAAATTTTATCAATTGACGTATATTTGAATATCTTTTGAAGGAACCAAGATAACTAAGCTCAAAGTGAACGTATAGGGTTGGTTTCTGTTAAAATATTTTTTGGTATCTGGAACTGTCGTACGAAAAATTTTCCAGAAGTTTCGAAAAACATTAATTACCTGAAAAGTCTTGAAAATTTTGATATTTTTCAATTTTAACAAACATGTAGCAAAGTTTTTCATTGAAATCAATTTTATTTAAAAATGTAATGAAAAAATTAGAAGGGTCCTTTGAATAGATGGGCCCATCGGAAAGATCTTGGAGAAATAGAAATACATTTCTTTAATAATAATTTTACGGTGTCTCTATTTTCAGATATTTTCATTGGTCTTCTTGGTCTCATTGGATGTCTAGTTTGCTATATTATTGCCGGGATCACGCACCAAGGAGCAGGATCAATCCAAGGTTTTTTAAATACCGACTTCTTGTTTTAAACTTCAAAAAAATTATTCCAGCAATGTATGGTGAAAATCTGTGGTTCACTGGTTCATGGAGTCTCGTGATTACAAAATGGACCTGGCAAAATGCTTTCTTTGCTAGGAAATACATCAATAAAGTAGGTGGAGGAGCATCAGAGGATGGCGAAGATGATGATGACGATGATCAAGTGGAGGAAATAAAATATTAATCATTACCAGCTTCTTAATTTGTACAGTGATCTCATTAATAAATATTATTTTTTTGGTTTCTTTGAAAGCAAGACTGATCAATTCTAGAAGAAGTTGTTTATTTTTTAAAAGATATACAACTCCAGACTTTCTGAAACTATGTCAATGTAGTAATGTTCAAAAAGAACTTATTGTGTATTAGATAAAACCTACGAAGCCGACGAAATCTGGGGTCAAAGGAACTACTAACACTCCTTGCCCCATACCCTCTAATTGGCTCGATTTTTATGTTCAGAATACCGTAAGACAGAACCAGACACTGTAAGAGGCAATAGAAGGAACCCCAAACGTTTAACTTTAAGCCAATTCCGGTTCTTGTGAAAGGTTTTTGAAAGTTGTCAACTGATTATTTGTTCATCATAGTATAAGAAGTGTCTTGGCAGTTGACACATTTTTGATATCTTGCAACAGAATTAAGACAATTGATCTCAAACTTGACAGTGTGGGGACCTTTCTATTACAGGTTTTACGGTGGATACCGTAAGAATTGTAACACATAGAAGGACCTTCATCTTTGACCGGATTCATATATTTTAATGTAAGAAGCATATGACATTTCTGTTGAATGTTTTACTGTATGTACCAGAGATGTCCGGAATGAAGTTTTCGAGACAGGAATCCAACATAAAAGCTCGGAATTCGGAATTCGGATCCCAAACAAGTAAAATTTCACTGAATCAGGAATCCGGACATCTCTGGTATGCACCCAAAAAAATCTAGACCATTTCTGTTATAGTCTTCATGAATATATTGCAACTGATAAATATTCTTATCAACGATTTGTATCTGATCAATGAACCAAATTCTATAATTTCAATGATCAGCACACAGTCTTCTAATATTTGATTTCTTTGGTTTCTGAACTGAAATTCTCCATCCGTTACCTGTATCTTTATGTGGAGCACACGTGTCGTCGTCTTGATGCTTTCCGGGTTCATCAAAATCAAAATGATGTGTCGTTGAAAGCTGTCTGGTATATAAACCAAAAAACCATTTGAATCAAAATGAACTTTCCGGGTACTTCTTCTATTTTATTCTGCTTTTTTCTTCTTTCAATTCGATAGTGTAGACATGTAAGTGACCTAACGATCATTAAGATTTTTGGTAAACATATTTGACCTCTAATAATGTTATCTATGAACAGTGCAGATTTTACGTTTTCGATATTGACACAAAGATCAGCTGGGAACGTAGAGAATTCAAAGACAAACATGACTTGAAAAGGACCGAAAACTTGCAAAACACATTTCGAAGATACAAAAGAACAATCAGAGGCTATCGAAAAATACTTTCATAATCTATATGAAGGGCAATATCAAATATGATAGAGCATAAGAAATACCGTACTTCCCCTGTTCAGAGCCTACTCAAACCATCTACTTTGAGCTCAATTATCTCGATTCCAGTGAAAGATGTCAAAATTTTGTCTACTGAGAAAGTATTGGTGATTTTATAATAAATACTTTATCAGTTGACAAAACTTTGATATCTTTCACAAGAATCAAGATAATTGAGCACAAAATTAACGGTTTGAGTGGGCTTCTAGAGGGAATACGGTAAAATCAATATGATTAAATAGTGAAATGGAAAATTTACATATTATCTGAATTCATGCCTTCTAATTCTTCCTCTGCCAAATGTTGTACACTTCTCTGCCATATAAACACCAGGATTGCTCTTACAATAGTGGATATTTTGATTGGAATCTCGAATATTCTTTCATATGCAATACAATTTCACAATTGGTCAGCACTAATTCTAACCTCTATGGTGACATTAGTAGCATGTCACACATTACAAATGTTCTTAGCAGAGAAGAAATGCAAAATTACCAATTGGGAGTATGGGACTTTCCAATGTATTTTGATTATCGGTACGGAGGAATTTTCCCAGGTTCAAATCACCATAATTCATTCTTCAGATGTAATTCTTGGATTTCTTGCTCTATTATGTTTTGTAGCATGCTTCGTTATTGCAGGTATCCAGCAAATTCAATTCACAAGTCAGCTATCATCTGATGAAGATTTTTCCTAATTTAAAGATTTTCAGATCTTTATGGAGAAAATCTATGGTTCACCGGTCTCTGGGCAACTGCTATAACGAAATATACGTGGCAGAATGCGTTTCTTGCTAGGAATTATGGGAATATGAAGAGGAAATTGGAGTCACGAACAACAGATCATGAGTCTGAAATTGCTGAAAAAGAACCGTAACATGATCTCGATATGTCTCCCGTGACACAGTTTCATCTAATTACATACAATTTGGGTTTCAAATATATAAAAACTTTTTTAAAATTTTACCAGGATGGCGCACCAGACTGAAATAAGGGTATAACTTCAGACATAAGAATCTTGGAAGCACAAAAATTGAAAAAAGTATATTTTTACGTTTGATTCAAAGCTACTGGAATTTTCAAAGAGGTTCCTTAAGTCCAGCCGTTGTGATAATACAAACTTTACTCCGGGTGATTATGCGCCACCCTGTATGGAGTTTCAAATATATAAAATAATTTCATTTTTATTTATAGAATATTTCGTTTCCGGTTGAAACTTTTTGTATGACTTCTTAGAATACATTCTTCTGATCATATGAAAATCCGTGTGATAGGGCTTCATGATAACTCATCACTGATAAGTTTAGCTGCTGTGGAAACCCTACCCCCCTAAAACTGGAAACCCTAAAACACATTAACGAATCGTATTGTGAATTTTATAATCCCGAAATCCTCAATCTGAAAAGAGCTTCCTAAGAAGCCATAATCCGTTTTATGCATCAAAACAGTCCTCGAACTGCAGGTCAAACAGACACAGTCCCACATGAATCCCATGTACAGTTCTATCCGCTTATCCCCCTAGAATGGCCTCCACTTCATTTGCCTAAGCTCTCTCTATTCTATTCGATTCGTTGGAGTATACTAAAACGTATTAACGTTCTTTAGGCCCATTTGAAATTCAATTTCCTTCGTCGTCAGCCACCCGTTCGATTCCCATTTCCGTTCTCTCCCATTTTCAAATCTTCTCATTTGAAATTCGAATGCTTGATTGATGAATGAATGGAAATTGGCCACCCCGTACGACGACGTATACGACGTCTACTCGTTCCCCCCCCCCCCCCCCCCGCTTCCAAACAAAGACGCATTTAATTCCATGTCTCCCCGCCGCCGCCGGCCCGTCACTCGTCGAAATACACATTCATCTTCTCTTCTTCTTTCCCCTTTTTCCCATCGTAAACGTCGGCGTCAGTGTGTGCCCTTGAATTTCATTTGAATTCCGTACAGACGACGGAAGAGCGAGGGCAGACGAATGAGAAGAAGGAGAAGGAAGATCTCCAGGGTTTGCACACTATTTCTTCCGGTGTCTAGAAGGACGTTGCGTTTGGACGCGGTTGGCATGCGGTTGAAGAAGAAGAAGGAGAAGGTGGATAAGGAGAAGCAGGACTCTCTGCTCAAGTCACACATGTCTATGTCTTTCCAGGTCAACAGAAGAGAAGGGAGCTATTTCGTAACACAGAAACTGTCTGGGTCTATAGCACAATCGAAATGGTTTCTCCAAAATACACAGTCTCTAGTCAGTTTGCTGACTGTCTGCGCACTAAACCTTGGAAGCTGCGTCTCTTATTAGAACCCCTGATGTCTCACTGATGACTAAGATCTCTAGATATCTCTCTTTAGATGGTGTCGGTCAACGGTAGACGAAGAATAGTAAGAGATGATGTCTGTCACCTCGTGATGTCTTGCACGGCTTCTGCTGTTAGTGTCTCTCAAGAGACGGGGACTTTCTTATCCGACACTTTATGTCTGGGTTTCCTAAAGCATCTATAGAGGGATTCAACGAAGGTCTTGTGATTCTCAAGATCTCTCAAGATGTGTATACACTCATCTCCAGCCCTCGCGATTCCCGCTTTTATTTCTTTCAGAAATAATTTCTCTACATCTCCAGAGTCCACAATGATCTCTAATTGACGGTCAACGGCATAATCTTGGCGTATCCATCCCTTGTATAGTCTTTTATAATTCGAAAAGACTTGTGTGGCTGTCTGGGTCACGTCCGTTTGTCTTCGCCATCTCGGCCGGAGGTGTCTTCATTCTCTCTCGGGTCACAGTGCTCTCTTCCATCACTAGTGCCGTCAAAACTCTCCATCTACTCATATGTTCCTAAAGGATCTCTAGTTCGTCTTCCTCTCGCTCGGTTGCAGCGCACACCACATCACACCACACGCGGCCCTCGGGGTAAAAGTACAACGTATAGTGGCCTTTCTCTGAATCTCCTTCTTCTACGCAGTCTCTCATCTTCCTCTTTTCCGTCGCGTCCCGACTAGTACGAGAGCCTTCCTCCAAACCGACCGCTCTTCTTGGCATTACGAGGCGACGTAATTGCTATCTTCGCACGCGATCTCTCCCATCTCTACACTCTTTCCCCCGTCCGCGTTGTTTATCGCGGCTGACCGCTCTCTGTCCGTCGCGCGTCTCATCTCCGGTGCCTGGCAGAGACAGGCCCCGCCTCCTATGTCCACCTGCAGTGCTCTGGCCACGCCTACTCGATGACGGGGTCGGTATAAAAGCGGCGCGGAGGGGGCGAATCGGCATATACACAGCATTCGTCTCCCTCTCCCCTTCCCTTCCCTTCCCCTTCTCCTGCCTCTGCCTTCCCCTTCTTTCCCCCTCTACTTGCCCCCTCTCTACTACTCTTATTCTTCTTTCCCGCTCTGACAGTCCACCCGTACATATGTTTCCGTGCTTGACATAGAGCTCAATCACGATACAATGAGCGGGTAGCCGGTCATCGAGTCGGAACATTGGTTCCCATTTATCTATTATACTTTTCAGAAGTGGTATTAAATGGAATGGATAAGGGAATATGGGAAGGAGAAACAAAATGGAAATGACATGAAAAAGGGGAAAAGAAAGAAAAGAGAAATGGGAAAGAGAAGACTTTTTCAGGATTTTGCAGGGAATCAGGTTCGACTTGCCAAAGAACATCAACTGGAGAATTTATGCAAATTTCAACTACTGCATCGCCGACTAGACTTTTAATCAAAAATCCAGAAACTCATTAATGACCCTTCAGGTTGCTGGATTATCATTCTAAAGATAACCTAATTATGAAGGACCAAGAAACCTCGAAAACGAACACTGACTGATTGATTTCAGGCATATTACGAAACACTGTTTTCCGAAAGTAGTCGATGACTCAGCAAATTAATTTGCACTTTTTTGAGCTGTTTTATTTATTTATTTCATCATGAAAAACATTCAAAAACAAATTGCTACATTCCAAAATTGTTTTCTTTGTTCCAATGAACTACCAAATAGTGCGATATCATCTCTTTCTGAGATGGTTATTCACTTCTTTCAACTTGATTTTCTCCGACGATGAGCGAACGAATTTCAGACGTCTTGATATTTAAAGAAACCTAGAATTATTTTCTTCAGAATGAACCTAAATTTACAATAAAATCCGTTTCGGAACGCATGGTGTTATCGATTTCTCAAGAGGCGTTCGGTTGGGGGGAAGAGTGCATGTGTTCCTCGCGCGATTCCCTCTAGAAAACTCTTTTCAGTGAATCTCAAACAGAAATAAAATTCTCATATTTTATTTTACTGAAAAGAAAATAAATCAAGCTTTATTTTGATATAAAGTTTTACATATGTTCCTCATCTACTTTTCGAATAATCTGAGTTCAAACTCAAAAGTCACCATTCATGAAGAAGAGTGTTTTTGAGAATCACGTGGTACTTTTGTCAGAGTCTTGATTATATGCTTTTTGTACATGTAGGAGAGACGGATGGTTTTCTGAAAAACAGTGAAACAGATAATGCATCTTTAAACCGGAAATTCCAAAACTTCAAAAGTATGAAAGTTTATTAAACAATACAAAGCTTATTACAACTATCGCTGAAGGGGAAATAGGACAATTAAGAGACCAGTAAGAGATCGAATGCTTCTCTGAGAGCATATTTCTCATCGATTCCATCGAATTTGTATACCTAACCCAGAAATGGATTCTTTCTTCCAATCAGTTTCTCAATCTTAGCACGTCTTTTCAATGAAGAGTTGTCGGCTGGGATCATTTCAATTGACGACAGATGAGAGACTGAAAATTGGTACTTTTGGATTTTGGAATCTTCAAAAATTATAATTACTTGGAAGTGGGCATTCACTGGATCGTTTCATGTACATGTTCACATATGTTGTGTAGACTGGAGCACTTTTCGTGTTGAATCTTTCGTAGAATTCACAAGTGAACACACTTCGTCCGCCAACCATTCCATATACAGCTGCTCGGCATCTCTGAAAACAGAGAATTTAGAAGTTTGAACTAATACTGAAATATTTCCTACCTTATCTCTCTGGCATGTCGCAAGGCATCTGTCTTCAGTGGTATCATATCCATCAATTGCCATGGCATACGGTCTCAATGGCACTGCCACGTCTCTATCAGTATAAACGGTGAAACATGAGCAAAGGTAGCAAGGATTGCCGAAATGATCTGAAAAGACGAATACCTATACTCTATATTCTTTTCAGATACTTGTTCTGGACTGAAGTGATTAGAACCATTCAGAATGTGAAAGATAAGTCTAGTCATTTAAAAATAGTTAAGATACTCACTTTGCCGATTCCAAGCTGCCACCGTAGTAAAAAGTGTTAGGAAAAGTGCGAATTTAAGCATCTCCTTTTTTGACTTTTCAAATGAGGATTGATGAAAAATATTCCCGGATATCAACGGTTTTTATTCTGCTTGATCCACACAGGGGCGTGGTATTTAGGTCATTGTGCGATTCTTTTTCTCGAGATCAGCTTTTTCTTTTTTCTCTTTTCTTCAGCTTTTCTTTTCTTTTTCTCTTATCAACTGTATTTCTTTGATTAGCTTAATCTCACATTCTTTCTCATCATAATTCTCAAGACGCAACAACTCGTTCTCCGGAATCTCTTTTCTCGACACCTTTAAACCAGAATTAAATTCAAATAAAAATCCTGGAATTATCTCAGAGTGATAAGGAAAATAATAATAATAATATTATGTGAACAATAAGCTAATGTAGCCATGATTTATTTTACATTGTCATCCGATGATTTAGCCGCCCCGCAATCACTTTTATCGGAGATAGATCCTGATAGAGGTGCCTTCTCGATCATCTTGATTAGAATCATCTGATTACGAGACTCTCTGCGGGAAGATAACAAAAAAGAGAAAGGTGATCGGTAATCCGGTTTTCTTCAAGAAAAGGGATTTTGATGCTAATGAACATCTTGAGGATGAAGCTCTTCAAAATTCCATATTTCACAGAACTCGTAATGAAAAAGGAATATGGGTCCCATAAAAAGAGAGAAGACATATTCTTTTTGGAATTCTGAGTAACTTTTTGAAAATCTTCTGTCGTTTTCAAACTTTGAGATTTGCTTTGTATGATGTTCATAGTATACGATGATTTTTCCGGAACGCTTTTCAAAATAAATTTTTTCCCACGTCTTTTTCGATGGAACACAGGTACAAAACCGTAAGGCAGTTAAATTTGAAGCTTTTTTGTCGAGACCAACACTTGTTTACTACTGTATTTGAATGTTCCGCATGCCTTTAGAAGCCGTTCCGAAAAACCCAGTGGATTTTCTGATTTTCTTGTTAAAATATTCAGTATGTGGATAAACCCTCCCCCTTTTTCTGTGAATAACTTTGGTGATTGTGATTTGCTGAAAAATAAAACTTTCGACCAGTTTTTTAAATTCTCATAATTTCAGAATCAGAATAATCTGTCAGACAGGCGTAACATTCTCGATCAGTTGTCTGCGTCTCTCAGCTCACAAGCTCCTTTAACTCTATGCTAATTTTCTCCAATTCTCTGATTCTCCTCGATTTCCGTTTCTCTTCTTCATTTCACTCTGATTCCGCTGCCCAGCACTGACTAGTGAGTCGACTTGTACACCACAACCGCTTTCCGCTGCCCGCCCGTTATCTCAGAGACCGGAGGATATCTGCGTCTCTGAGTCTACCTGCACCCTCTTCTCACTTGGCACACGGCCAAGCCATCTCCTAACACTCAGGGCAACCAAATAGCCACCACCATACGAATTACTACGAGCGGGCTGCCTTCTCCGAAACTAATGGGGGAATAAGGGGGAGGAACGGAGGAAAACGAACGGCCCTTTGTACTTATGCACCATGTGTCCTATGTATGTTGGTGACGCTCGTGGTGTATCGGGGTAAGCACTAGACACACGTTCTAATGGCGTGGGTTCATTGCTCCTGTAGTGCGCTTTTGTGTCCTTCGCTCGTCATCGAATCTCAACGTCAAACGGATCCGAAGACGTCCATCTACCCGTAGCTCCTTGCCATGTTACTGGTAAAAGTGAACATGGAAGTTGGTCCGGGTACATGGCCAGTAGGAGTTATGAAGACGTGTTGAGGTTTCAAGATTCAGTGAAAGAGCTGTCACCAAAAAATTTGCTGGATTTGAAATTAGAATAGAATTTCAGATGCTCTCCTCGATTTTCAGATTTCTAGAGATTCCAATGGATGCATGCATATATACCTGGTTGATTATATTTAGAAACATTTTAATTAATAGATTATGAAAGGTGCGACAGGACATGCAATAAAAAGAATCACAAACTGGAAAAGAAAGGAAACCCTCAAAAAAAGTTATAATCGACAACTACAAACATTAGAAATTCACAGCATATTAATTATTTTAGTACTCAATGGTAATGGTCTTGGTGACCAAATACTCATTCAAAGCCTCTTCTCCCATGTCTTTTCCGAATCCAGATTGTTTGAATCCACCGAAAGGAGCAGCAACGTCGGTCTTCTGGTAGGTATTCACGAATACAGTACCAGCATGAAGAGCTTCAGCGACACGAAGAGATTTGGATGCATCACGAGTAAAGACTCCAGCGGCAAGACCGAATTCAGTGTCGTTGGCGCGACGGAGAACGTCTTCAACATCACTGAAATCATATAATTAAACTTTAAAAAGTTTTTCATATGGGAACTTACTCATCATCGAAGCTAGAAATGCACATGATAGGTCCAAAGGATTCCTCACTTGCAGCAAAGTTTTCGTCATCAATATTGGAAAGAATAGTTGGTGGGAAGAACAATCCCTCTCTTTCTAATCGTTTTCCTCCGACTTCAACCTTGGCTCCGTCGCGAACAGCATTCTCAACATATTCAACAAGCTTGTTCAGATGAGCCAAATGGTTTTGTGGTCCATGAGCAGTGGATCTATCGAGAGGATCTCCAATTTTATACTGCTTGGCTTCCTCGACAAGCTTTTTCACAAAACTATCGTGGATCGATTTAGCAATAAACACACGGCCAGCAGCAATGCAATTCTCTCCCTTGTTAAAGAAAACTGCTCCACAGGCTTGTTTCACAGCTTTTTCAAGATCAGCATCTGCGAAAATGATGAGAGGCGACTTTCCTCCAAGTTCCAAAGAGACTTTCTTGATGTTCGACTTGGCACAAGATTCCATCACAGTTGCTCCGATTTCCGTAGATCCAGTGAATCCAATCTTACGTACATCTGGGTGAGCAGTAAGACGGTTACCAACAAGAGAGCCGGAACCAGTAACAATGTTGATTACACCTGAATTTTATTAATCTTTAGGGACTTTAACTAAAGGAATCTTGCCTGGTGGAATTCCAGCAAGAACAGAAAGCTCAGCAAACTTCAAAGCAGTCAGTGGAGTAACTTGAGCTGGCTTGTGAACGACAGTGTTTCCAGCAGCTAGACAAGCAGCCATTTTCCAGGACAACATCATCAATGGATAGTTCCATGGAGTGATAAGTCCGACGACTCCAATTGGTTCACGGACAGTCAGACAGAGATTTTTGTTAGGACGAGCATTTGAGATTGGGATGGTTTTTCCTTGAATCTTGTCACACCATCCGGCAAAATACCTCCATACATCAATGGACATTCCAACATGAGTTTTGAGAGCCAGGGTATAAACTGCTCCAGCATCCAAAGATTCCAGCGTAGCCAGCTCTTCTTTATGCTCTTCCATAAGCTCCGCAAGACGGTACAGACGCTTTCCTCGTTCACGAGCGGACATCTGACGCCATTCTCCACGTTCAAAAGCTTTCTTGGCAGCACGAACAGCTCGATCGACGTCAGCTACAGTAGCTAGAGGAAGGGAGCAAATCGGCTTCTCGGTTGCTGGATTGATGGTTTGGAATGTGCGTCCATCAGAAGATCCAACGAATTTTCCATCGATAAATTGCTCATGTGGAAACTTCAATTCCATGTTATTGACATTTAAAACAATTGGATCATAGGTAACGCTGAGTCCACCTTCTCCTCGGAGATTACGGACCACGATGTCAATGTTCTCCCCAAGAGTTGGTCCAGAATAGATCTGCAAAATAACAAAGGTCATATATTGAGGTTATAATTAAACATACATGTCCTGATTCAAGTTCAGCTCCCGTGTTGAATTTTATCTCCTCAACAAGACGAGTAACATCAGCAGAGCTGGCTCCACTTTCAAAGAAATCAGTATCACTAGAAACTTGTGTTTTCAGAATTCCAGCCCAGATTTTCTTGAGTTTAGTAACAACGTTCTTCTCATCGTCAGTCAGAACCAATTCTTCCACTTGATCGGCACCTTGACCATACTTTGAAGCAGGAATAGTCTTTGTTCCAATCTTCACAGTGTCCACGATAACCCACTTTCCATCTGAGCCTGGAAGCAAAAGCCCACGATCTTCAACAAGAACTTTTCCTCCTGGAACTTCAGCCACCGCAACTTCAACAGCGTCCTCTGGGAGCTTCTTTGGCTTCCACAACTTCGATCCGAAGAATGAAACTCTTTCTCCATTAAAAATGGACCATGCTCCAGGAACTTTGTCATTTCCGCGAATGAAGTTATGCAGTTGTCGTTGGGTTTTGGACCAATCGATTTGAGCAAGTTCTGGTTTCGTGGTAATGTATGGTTCATAAGAAGCTCCTTCTTCTGGTTGAACAATACGTGGGGCATTTCCAGAGGCAATCAGCTCGACAGACTCGGCCTAAAACTGTGAGGTCTCTTTATAAGATTTATGGATCATAGACTTACCACAGCTGCGACTCCTGCAGGATACAAGAATCTCTTATACAGCGTGTTCAGAGTATCATTTTCCTCAACTTTGCATTTCTTCTGCAACAAAATTGGTCCAGTATCAAGTCCATCATCAGCCCAGAAGATCGAAAGACCAGCTTCTTCATCTCCTTCAATCAGAGTCCAATTGATAGCAGAAGCTCCTCTGAAAACTCAAAAAGTTATACATGATCCTATCAAATTATTATAAATACCTGTGCTTTGGCAAGATACTCGGATGATAAATGATACTCTTTTTTGGTGGTGCCTCGGTGATTTCCAGTGGAATGAATTGAGTACAGAATGGAAGTACATTGAGCTCGGCACCGAATGATTTGTAGAGTTCAAGCATCTCGGGAAGTGTTTCAAACTTTCCAGTTTCAGGGTTCTTCTTGCGCCAACGAGCTGGCTTTTGGACTGGAACTCCATCCTTTGCAGCTTCAACAGCTGAAAAAACCCATAGTAACCCCAAAAGAAGTATCAGCTCAATACCTAAAAGATCCTCTCTTCCATTTTTATCTGGGATAGTGAAGACTACCACGATTTCATGACCATTTTTACGGAGCTCTTTGTACACATCGACTCCGAAGGCCGATTGGCCGATAATAGCAATTTTCATGGCTGCAAATAGAAGAAAAAAGATTTATATGGAAAAGAGGAGGAATTTCTGAATCAACACGGAAATGGAGTGGATCGGGACGACAACAGAACACTGATCCGTCGGTTTATGGAAAAACAATGTACGCAGGGAATAGATATGAAGAAGGCAGAATGATGTTTCATAGATCGAAGAGATTTGAATCTACATATATCAAGGATATCTCGTTACCCAAAATTTGAAAAATGTTCTCAGTACTGTACATATTTACCATAAATAAAAATTAGGATTTCGGAATAAACTGAATAGTTGAATGAGAATTGAGGTGAATCCTATTTCTGTGTCGACCGCCTAGAAAGAGATGGCCGATAAACATTGTGTTCTCTTTCTGTTATCTTTCACTTCTCCTCGCCACTCAACCCAAATGATGTTATCACGTGGCAGAGGAAATTCTGCGAGATGGGATTCTGACCACATCCGAACTGTTTACGACATCATCAGTCGGTTTTTCGTTGAGATTAGATGCACAGAGAACATGTAAATCGAGATACGAACTTTGAAAAATCTCGTTTTTAACGGTTGGGTTGATTAATTCGCCAGTTTCCACCCAAATGCAACTTGTAATTTTTGATTCAATTTTCTTATCGAAAAAAAAAACTAATTTAGAAATTAAAAGAGTTCAAAAACCCAGTTTTACCAAACTGGTTTTTGAATGAGAAAATACAAAAGTTTAGAAAAAAGATTCAAGAGAATTGTTCGTAATTACCGTATCACTTTTGTACAAAAAATTGAAGCTGTGGCCGAAGGTCTCATAACGTCAAGTACAGTAACCTAAAAATATCCTTCCGGATTTATAATCTAATTTTTACTGATGTTGGCGATTTTTCTATTACGGAAATTGAAAAAAAGTCTTCTCCAGCTCCGCTTTTTTGTACCAGTATACTATTAAATGCTTGATTAAAGGTGGGGGGACAGGAGATTTTACGGGGGACTTTTGGGGCCAGAGTATGCATTCTACCGTGACGGTGTACAACGCTTAATGTCAGTCTGCGTACAGCTGTCGTCCTCGCCTTTATCTATGCAATCGGGCGACCGCTTTTTTTTGCCCGTGTAACTCAGTCGGTAGCGGCGCCGCACCCTCAATCATCGCCCCAACAAGTTCAACTCCTCGAGGGGAATATTTAAACGAAATTTCGAGAGCATTATTTTTTCATGTCCCCCCACCTTTAAAAGAGCTGACCTTGCTTCATATTTCTGGGAAAACCTTATATTTGATGGTAGGGCTCTTTTATTTTTTCAAAAAATCTTATCAAACCTTCAAGACCATTTTTGCAAGCCTAAATTCACAATTTTTCTACAAGTTCTTAAGTATTCGTTTTAGCGAACTCCTGTTTATCCAAAAAAGCAGTTCAACAAATTCAGATTTGCATTACTGTAATCGATAGAGCTGTGAATCAACCTAAATATTAATTTCCATCGTAATAGAAAAAATATCGGTGAAGCATTGCGAGTACACTACAACAATGTAAATTCTATTTTGATAACGCAACAATGTGACGTTGAATGTTTGATCGGAGGAAATCGATAAATAGTATTATTAGTTTCATTTAGAACTGGAGGCAAGACGATATATACATGAAAACCGCGTTTGCATGCACTTTAAAGTGGTCAGGCGAAAACAGAAAAAAAAGAAATTGGAATCATTCACGAATGGGGTTAACATGGAAACAGAAAAAAAGCGAGGGGGACAAAATACTTAGACGACAAAGTATGTGATTAGAGCAGTGAAGGCAGTGAGAGCAAAAATGATAATCCAGTTGAAAAGACGTTGCTCCCAAGGTTCCAGCATGTAGATTCCAGAGACCAAGAGATATTGAAGATATATGTGCTCACCGAGTGTTTGCTGAAATGAACTTCTTTAAAGAGCATTATTTAGAATGAGTTTTGGATTCCTGGAACCCAGATCTAGTTTAAAAAATCTTCGTTTCCATGTTAAGTTAAATATCACAAAATGGCTGCTGGCTGGATATATCAATTTTAAACAGAATCTATTATGCTTGTCTGAGAAAAAAAAAGTTAAAGAGTATTTTTTGCAGTCTGAGTACGGTAGCGATATCGAAGCGGAGAGCCTGAATAGCACACAAACGGTGGAGACGCAGACACTTTTTCTCTGCGTCTCAACCTTTTTTTTCTCAGACAAGCATAATATCCAAAAAACCGTTGACCGAAAATCAGAATGGTTCACGGTAGCTCCCATTTGAAAAGAAAAAATCATCGTGATTAAAGTTCAGGGAAACACCAAACCCTCTAGATGCTCTGATACTGCAAACCCTATAGATTCTTTGACATTTTACTATTCAGATAATATTAACTGGGAGATTTTTCTATTTATTTGAGGGTAGGCGTACGCGTAGGATTCAATTACAGAAAGGTACTCAATTGGTAGGGTTATTCGGGGATGTTCGGAATGGCCTTTTCGGAATGTCAAAAGTTCGGAGGTTAAAATTTTGAAACTTCCCATCAAAAAAATTCGAAAATTGGTGAAAATTTGAGAAACAAAATTCAAAAACGCAAGAAAAAACTGAAAGCATTTAGATCCGCTCGAGACCCACGAGAAAACTGTTCTGTGTGCGCCTTTGGCATACTGTAGTGCCAAAAAAAGCTGTATTTCCGAAAACAAATATCGGAAACATTCACAACTCACTTTTGCTGGTTTTCCTTTTTTGAACTGACTAAAATCTCCATAATCATTTTCGAACGCCTTCGCTGTTGTTGTTGTCGCGGTGGTTGTCGACGATCCCGACATTTTTACCTGAAAATCTAGGATTTGTGAATTCAATAGTGCACAACTTTGATAAAAAAACGCCGCGCAGACATTTTGAGAAATCGATGATGATAGCATATTGATAGTAGATGACACACTCTCGAATGGTGCCATCTATCAGGTGAAATGTGATAAGAGAATAAAGAAAAGGAAACTTCAGTTGCATCGAGTGCAGTTAAAAAAATTAATTTTCCGGAAAAGTGCAAAGTACGATTAAAATCTAGGATCAAAAAATAATTTTCGATCTGATTACTCGAAGTTTGAGCAAATACGAACCCAAAAAGTGCCGAAAACAAACAGAACGTGGAAGAAAAGAGGTGCGAAAAATAAACATTTTGTCAGCTAGCATGTGCGCTCCACCGAAAATTGAAAAAAAATTTTAAAGCCGGGAGGAAAAACATGTTTGTCGTTTTTTTCAGCTAAAAATCAGTCGAAAACAGTGAATATCGATTTATACAATTTCTAGTTGCACTGTGTTGTTCTTCAAAAGCAGTTTATAATTACCTGTGCTCTGTTAACAGAGCCATGTCGCCTTCTTTCTGGTCGTTCTTCAGTGTGTTCCAACACAACTGGTCTTATAAACTAATTTCATATGCAATAGACTGGGCATTAACTTTCGCACTTTTGAACATCCACTGATAGTAAACAAAAATAAATTAAAAGTCTGCTCTGTCGAGAGATTAATACAATTCCGCCGTTTCTCATTATTGTTCTTTAACTTACAATGCACTGTATCTCAAAATTCGCAATTGAAAGTTGATTTGATGTTCATAATTTTCAGCACTTCATGGCTCCCAGACATCGACGACCACCTCGAGAAATCGAAACGCCTTCAGCCACAATAAGATATGAACCGGTCGTCGAAAAAGGTTCATGGCTCCAATCATGTTGCTCCTGGGACCTGCTTGTTTTCCTTCTATTAGTATCGGGTGCTTGTGGATTCATTGTCCTTCATCTCTATCTTTATCCGACGTTAGACAAAATGAGTCAACTTCCAAACATCGACCCGGATAATGTAAGATTATTTTTTGTTTACAAAATTCCATTTTTCATTTCTAGGCTCCATTCACTTGGGGTACGTATCGCCCACATATGTACTTTGGATTGCGAACAAGGTCACCATTTTCTCCACTTTTCGGTATGATGTGGTACGAACAACCAGACACAATTCAGAGACCGCATATAAGACACTGGTGTCATCAAGGTAATTTTGGGTTTTTTACACAATGACCTAGAACACATTTTTTAGATGATCATCTGCCTGGGTACTATTGGTATGAAGCAGATGGGCGAACTTTTGGAAGGCAAAACATTTCGGATGCTCACAAAGGGGTAATTCAAACTGACTGGATCAATGAAGCCAACGGATTTGCTGCTCGAGTGAAACTCAATATGGCAAAAGGAAGAAGATACAATGTAATTTTGTACTTTTCGGCACAAGAACTTGCTACACGATTCCGGCTTGGAAAACACCTGAAAGACATATTTTACGGGACCAATGAATTGCTTGGAGCATTCACTTTTAGCGTTCACTTAAAAAATGGAACAAAACTCAATTCGTCTCACTCAACAATGTTAACAGATGAGAGAATCCCAATCGAAAAGTATCAGGATTATATTATGGAGAATACGGTAGGCCTTGAAAACTGCTGTTCTAGTAATATTCCTTCCATTTCAGCAAGCATACAATGCACCAAACCAGCCTCTTCACTATTTGTTAAACGAGAAGAAAAACTCTGAAGAAGGAAAATTCATAGCGGTTCAATTGAATTTAGGAAACGATGCGGAGTTTGATATTGTTCTTCAGTAAGTCTTAAGCTAAATTTCGACATTCTCATTGTTTTGCCAGTTCTTCCAGAACCGAAAAACTCAAAGCCATGAAGTCCGAAGAGTTTTCAAATACTCTACGTTCAAGAACATACAATTTCAACAAGAAGTATGAGAACGCTTTCCAGCTTGGTGGCAAAAATTACACTAAAAATCAATTGAAAATGGCGAAAGTTGCGATTTCCAATATGCTTGGATCTATGGGATACTGGTATGGACACAATCGAGTTGTATTTAACAATCTTATCCATCCATACGGACCACATGCCTTCTTTTCGGCTGTACCGTCTCGTCCGTTTTTCCCACGTGGTTTCTTGTGGGATGAAGGGTTCCACCAAATGTTGATTCGTAAAATGGATCCTAAAATGACACTGGAAGTGATAGTATCGTGGATGAATGTTATGGATACATCAGGATGGATTCCAAGAGAGATGATTGTTGGAAGTGAGGCAGAAGCAAAAGTTCCAGCCGAGTTCATTCCTCAAAGGCCAGATGTCGCGAATCCACCAACTCTGTTCTATGTGATGGATAAACTGATTCATGACGAAAGGGTATTTTTTTCGGTTTACAAAAAATGCAATTCAAATTTTGTTTCAGACCATCAGTCGTTATTCTGGAATCTTGAAGCTCTTATATCCACGATTGGAAAAATGGTTCACTTGGCTTCGAATCACACAGGCGGGCCCATCAAGAACAACGTTTAGATGGAGAGGTCGCAACTCTACAATTCTTTCCGAGCTCAATCCGAAAACGCTCTCGTCTGGTCTGGATGATTTCCCTCGTGCATCACATCCAACCGACAATGAATATCATCTCGACTTGAAATGCTGGTTAGCATTGGCATCGCGCGTATTGGCGAGGTTAGCCAGAAGCTATGGAACTGAGCAGGAATACCAAAAAGCGTCAAAGGCAATGGAAGAACTTAACAACTTTGAAACACTTCAAAAAGATCATTGGAGCGAAGAAGCTCAGGGATTTTTCGACTATGGAAAGCATAGCAAAGATGTGGCGTTGGCACCGGTCCCAGCTTCTGGTAGTCCTAGACAATTTGAGTATCAACGTGTCGCATCGCTTGCTCCTACTTACCAGCTGGTTACTGACGCTTTTGGATACAATAATCTGTTCCCTCTGATGCTAAAAATGATCCCAGCGAGGTCTCCAGCCCTAAAAGCAACACTTGATAAAATTCGTGACCCAGAAGTGTTATGGACAAATTATGGACTCCGCTCGATTTCCAAGAAATCTCCATACTACTTGGCAAAGAACACAGAGCATGATCCACCATACTGGCGTGGATACATTTGGATCAATATCAATTATATGGTTCTCAGTTCTCTACATCATTACTCGGAGCAAAACGGCCCACATAAAGATTTGGCTAAAAAAATCTTCCACGAGCTGAGGACCAATTTGGTAACCAATATGGCTAATGTAAACACTGTGTTTCAAAATATCTGAATCATAATTTTTTTTGTTTTTCAGCAATTCCAAAAAACTGGGTTCTTGTGGGAGAACTATGATGATCGGACTGGACAAGGACGTGGATGTCATCCATTCACCGGATGGTCTTCTCTGATTCTTCTTATTATGAGTGACAATTTGGACACCTAGTTTTTCAGTGTCTAGATGTATTTTTCAATTCCAATACTTTCTTGCTTGAATTTCATGCCATGTGACTAGTCTTTTTGCTTTTTGTTCCCGCTGTTTCATATGTTTTATGGGTATCTATTTATTTATGTATTTATTCAGGTTTGCTAATTTATTTCGAAGATTATTTATCAAAGTTTTCATCACGGTGTATCATCGGTTACTCATGAAAACATGAAGGGTTTTTCAACGACTGTTTTTAATTTAATGGTTTTTTCATGAACTTTGTATGGGTTCTTTCCTGGAAATGTATTTTTGTTGCGAAACAGAATTTGACCCGGCGCTCTATTCAAAGTTGACTAATTTATCATTTTTCGTCACCTTTATCACTCCAAGTCAACGCATATTCTCTTATCAAGTTAGAGTATTAAGAGGGCATGCTGGGGCACGAGACAACCTCACAGCTCTCAATTATTTGATTCCATTTTTCGGTTTCCTCAAAAAATACAATTCGAACTGTAGAGACAACAAAGAAAAAGAGTAGACCATGTGCTCCGAATAATTTGAGGTTGGGTGTTTGATTGCCTTTCGAAAAAAAAGTCTGAAACCTTACCAAGAGTTTACACCGATAACCACTTCTCTCTAGATGCCCCCATTTCTTGCTGAATTCACCGAAAACGTACGTGTAAGACACCAAACCAATCGCTTATCAACAATGTCAGGATTTTTTCGCTGATTACTACAATTTACTTATAGTTCCCCTATTCGAACTGTTTGCAGGTTTTTCGACGCTTTCTACGGCACGAAACAGACGAAAAGTCGTCGATTGCTAGTGAGAAGATGTCGTCTTACGGCGCAATTGGAGTAGATGATAATGAGTGAGTTCAGTTTTACAGAAATGCATTTTTAGCATCTCCAAAAATTTCAGCACAGACCCTCTTCTTGATGATGAACCGCCACGTCGTCTTCCACCAGCTGGAGGCGTTCCGATTGGTCGTCGTCGTGCAATTTCTGCTTCACAAATCGGCTCAGTTCCCAATCAATCAGTCTCTCGTCAACCGTATCTATTCACTGGAGGTCTTGGATTAAGAGACGAAAGCTTGCTTTCTTTACATTCCGAAGATGATTTGCATCGAGAACATAACAATGCTCTCCGTTATCGTCTTTACAATAGACTGGATCCCGGAGGAGAACATTTGGTAAATACCAAAGCAACTGTTCGAAAAAATATAAAAAGTTAGCTTCAGACTATGCCAGACCATGTGCTCCCTCCGAACCTATTTTCCATACTGCCCTTTGAAGAGCTCAAAGATGTCTCTGGAAAGCAGGGTAGTATAGTAACAATGTAATAATGGACAGTTCATTGTATTAGTTTTCAATTTTTTAATAATTCAGTTTTTCGATTTGGAACACGATGATGGGTACATCTCTTCTAGCTATGCCATGGGCTCTTCAACAAGCTGGATTGGTTCTTGGTATTTTCATCATGTTGGCAATGGCTGGAATTTGTTTCTACACAGCTTATATTGTAATCGAGAGTCCCAAAAGATTACGTAAGACTGGCTCCCTTCATGATTTCATCGAGTCCTTCAGAAGACTTATCCGTCGATCCACTTCTCGCAGAATTCTCAGATGTCTGCAAATCTTTGTTCGGGCGCGTCGGAGAATACTGTGCCGTTGTGTTCAGTGTCTGTGTGCTAATCGGAGGAGTTATTGTATATTGGGTTCTTATGTCCAACTTTTTGTACTACACAGGAGCAGTTGTCTATGAGGCTATGCAGCCGAATAGTACTACGATTCCAGTGATGGAAAACAAGACTTTCACTTGTGATGGTATTTGAAAACATTCATATAAGCATAAATATGTTCCTAATTTTTCAGTGTACTGCCCGGAACAAACTTCTCAATGGACGATTCCTCAGTGGGAAAAGCAAATCTATGATGCTGTATCCGAGTTTGAGGGTGGAGAGGCTGGAGAAGATTCATGGAGCTTCGATAAGTTTTGGACACTTCGTGGTACTGTACCAATATATTTGGCTGTCGCTTTGTTTCCTTTGATGAATTTCAAATCTCCAACATTCTTCACGAAGTTCAATGTTCTTGGAACTAGTAAGCCTTTTATATTGAACATTTAAAGAACAGTACGGTTTTCAGTTTCTGTCATGTATCTGCTGATGTTCGTGTTTTCGAAGCTTCTAGAATGTGGCGTGAATATGGATTTCTCAAACCCAAAGTCTATGCACTACGTCCAATGTGGGTTTTCTCTTTGTTCAATGTTCACTTTCAAAGTATATTTCAGTGGCCAACATGCATTTCCCAGCTTTGAGTGGCACACTGACGTTGTCCTATTTCATCCACAACGCGGTTCTTACTATTCTCCGTAATCAGAAGCATCCCGAAAACAATGCGAGAGATTTATCTATAGGATACTGTTTGGTTGCCTTCTGCTACGTTTTTATCGGTTTCACATTTTTCGCTGCTTTCCCGGTTCAGAGAAGTTGTATCAGTGATGTAGGAAAATCTGGATTCATTCTAACAATCAAACATTCTAATTTCAGAATTTCCTCAATAACTTTGGAGCTGGCGACGTTCTTTCATCTACAGCGCGTCTCTTTTTGTTATTCCAAATGATCACCGTATTACCATTGCTCATGTTCCTGGTTCGCTCTCAACTCTTCTATGCTATTTTTGGTAACACATGGCCTGGAGTAGTCAAAGTTATAGTTCTTAATCTAATGCTAATCGGAATTGCTGTTGGGTTTGCTACATTCTACCCAAATGTCGGAAGCATTCTGAGGTGATCTCATACATTATTTATTTTAAACCTAGATATGTTTATGTATTTTCAGATATGTTGGATCGATTTCCGGGCTCGTCTACGTATTCGCTTTGCCTTCTATGGTTTATTTGAAACAAAGCAACGCTGCGGGCACATTAACACCGCTCAAAAAGTATGCCCATTATGGAATCGTTGCGGTTGGTGTTCTGAATCTTATTGCTCAATTTGTCATTTAGATTATTCTAATAATTTATTCATGCCAATAGTTGATCTTGTCTTATTTCATACCAATCACCTCTTCTATTCAATATATCATCTTATCACCTGTAGTGTCTTATCATTCCTGTCTTATCCCTAGTTTTTTTTCTCGTCAATCTGACTAACACCTGATCTATCCATTTTTCGAATTACCGCCAAATCGAATTTCTGTTTCCCATCAACCTGTCTGTGTATTTTTGTCATGTACGGTCATCAGTTTTCTATTCGAGTTTTTTGTACAAAATTTTGCTAAAATTTTGAATTATCACCCCCATATTCCCACATGATTCCTTGAAGTACGGTTTTGTTCAATTTTATATTTTAAAGTTCAGTTTAGTTGTCTAACTAAATATTTGGTTCTATTATGTTCTAATGAATGCGTTTCATATTTTCCTATGTTTTTTTGTTGAAGTTACTGTAGATTTCAGAAAGATTTATTGGAATCTCCTTCGAAAAGGTTTCTACAAAACAAAGTAAAAGTTTGAAAAAAAAACATTTATGTCAGGGTAGAAAAACTTGGAATGCCGTCAATACGAAGCAACATTGTAGTGTTCAATTTGATAACCAAGAGGCCAGTTTCTTATCATTTATTTCCTCAGTTCATCTCTTCTAATACCTATCCCAAATAGTATATTTTACAGGTCATTCTCCACTTCGCATGTTAAAAAGATGGGCTTTGTAGAAAAAGTACGATTATTGGATTATTGGAAAGTCCAGGATTCTGCATTGCAATCGTAATAACAAGAAGTTTCCAAACCAAGAGAGACGATATTTTGAATTTCAGAGAATTCCCGAGGTCTCGATTGGTTCTCATGGTGGATCGGCGTCTTCTCGTTACCAAAGATGCTCCAGAAGTTAGGATGGTGGAGCACTCGTATGGCGATTTGAAACAACTTCTTGGAGAATACGGATTACAGTTTGATTTAAGCAATTCGTGTCTATTGGATGCACTCGAAGCAGAAACCGACATGGTATAGTAAATCGAAGATTCGTGTTTTCCCTGAATCCTAAATTTCAGATTCCTCTCTTCGGGACTTCCATCGAGGCAGCAGATCCTCCAGAAGACTCTCCAATTTCGAAAAAAGAGGTCTTGCGACAACTAGGTAACAGTTTGGGTGGAAGTTTCACTGATATCAGAATGGCGATGTTGACAATGAAAGAAGAGAGACAACGGAATCTTCTAGCCAAATTCCAATCCCTTACCAAGTGGGCAGCCACGTATCGAAGATGCCCGAAGTGTGCAGCTGCTCTGAAAATGAGAACAAGCAAGAGCGGAGCTGAATGCGTGACGTGTCAGAGAGTGTACTACCCTACCGTAAGCCATTCGTACATTGAATATCGAAATAGTATATTTTCAGTTCTCACCCGTTTCCATTACCCTTATAACTGACCCAACCAACGAACATGCACTTCTGGTCCGACATCGTGGATCAGCTGGAGGAGTATTCACTGCAGTTGCTGGATTTGCTCATGTAAAAATTGTTATCTATAAAAAGTGAACATAATTCTATTTTCAGACTGGAGAAAGCATGACTGAATGTGCACGACGTGAAATCGCAGAAGAAGTTGGTATTGAAGTAGATTCGATTCGTTCTCTAGATATGTCACAGCCATGGCCAATGCCTGATTCATCACTGATGATTGCTCACGTAGCGGTTGCCAATATGGACCAAAAGGTTTGTTTTTTAAAGCAGTAGTTCCTAATATATAAATTATTTAGATTTCCGTATGCCCTGATGAGCTAGAAACTGCTCAATGGTTCTCTCGTCATCAAGTCCGTCAAGCTCTGGAAACAACACTTTCGGACCCATTCCTGAAGAATCTCCCACGTACATTGGATGATCGTCAAACTCTTCATTATATTCCACCTGCTGGTGCTATTGCTCATCAAATGATTCGACAATGGGTGGACGGGAAAATAAACTGCCATAATTCAAGGATGTAGACAAATTGTTTTATTATTTTTCATATCAGTTTTCATGTCAATTTCGTACAATGTCGGGATTAAATGGAAAATTTAGAAGCAGGTGAAGGTTGTGTACATTTTTTTTCGAATGTTGGTTAGAAAATTATCGGGGTTAGGGAAGAAACTTCATGATTTGGTAGTAGAGAGGGAGAGGATTCTGAAGAAGGGAAAGTAAGAATTTGAAATAGATCAGAACTAACAACAGTCACAGCAGTCGGCGATACAGCATCCGGCGCAACAAGCTAGGAGAGCCACGAGACAGCAGTTGTCACTTCCTCCACTTCTTCCTCCTCCATGTCGACGCTCTTCCACGACACTGAAAATCATTGAAATCATATTTTAATATTCTGGAATCTAAATAAAACTTACACAACTTGTGGTTGTTGTGGATAATAGGCGCCTGGTTGTCCTTGTGGATAATATCCTCCCTGTTGTGGCATGTATCCAGCAGATCCTGGTGGTGGATATCCTGGTTGTTGAGTATATGGTGGTGGTTGGTTATATGGCTGGTACGACATGTTTAGACACTTACTGAAGTTTAGAAAATTATAGAAAACGAATTATTAGGTGACGGTTTGAAAAGTATTCGACACATGTGATAAACAAGCTTGTTGATTGTGGAAAATGGAAGAAAAAACAAAACTGAAGACTGATAAAATGATAAAAACTAATGGGCACCTCGGTAAACAAGAAGTAGAATATTGCTTAAAATTCAGTTAACTAGCTGACAAATAATATGTGTTCATGATATACTTCCGGATGCACTCTGTGGAGAATACAACGACTACAGTACTCCTAATCGTATAATATTAAAAAAAAAGTTGGTGATATTATGTAAAACATTTTAGGATTATTGATAATTACTAATGGAACCCAGATACGGTGAACACTCTAATAGAAGGCCACCCTATATTTGCACTTTGATCTCAGTTATCTCAATTTCTGTAAAAGATATGAAAAATATGTCAAAATCAACAATATTTTACTTGTTGACACATCTTTTATATCTCTTATAAAAATTGAGATAACTGAGCTCAGAGTGCACGCAGAGGGTGGGCTCTTATTAGAGCAAATACGGTAATTGAGAAAAAGAATGTGTAGGGATTGTATGAGAGAAAATACGTTACTTCCATCCAAAAATTTAGCTCAGCCGTTAAATTACAGTACCTTATAGTTAGGTCAACGTTTGATTTGAAAATCGGGTATAACAACTACAGTGCGTGTATTAAGGATAGGACCCCCCTTGATTTTGACTTTTCAGAAAAAAGTAAGAGAGATATCAAAATTCTGTGAATGTCATTCGATTCAAAATAAAAAACAACCCCCAGAAGCCAAATTTTCTAAACTCTAGCACTTTCCGTACCGGTCCACCGTCCAAAAGTCATTTTTTAGGCCGTGTAATAAGGATAGGACCACCTAGCATTTTTGAAGCGATACCCATTTTTTCGACTATTTTTCTTTTTGTATCACATTTATTTGTGCTGGTTTTATTGTTTTTCATAGTTTTATTTCTCAATCCACCTTATTTATCAAAAGTTCGGTCATTTTTTTGGATAAAGAAGAACGAAAAAATTTTTGTGAGATGGACAACATGAGTCTGAAGCTTTGGCACGGTTCCAGCTACAGTTCTTAGGTTCGTGGTAAAAGTAAGATGCTCAAGATTGATGTGCAGGTACCGTACATCTGAAAATAGAATGTTGATCCTAAAAGTCAAGACCCGAATCAGTCAGTCAATCTCATTATTACCATGGGCCGCGCTCCTCTTCTCACCCACGTTCAGCAAGCTCAAGTGGATGTTGCTCTTCAACTGGGATGTTCGCTTCATGCCATTGCTCGTCTTGTCAAGAAAAGCCGCTCTGCCATTCGCCGGTACATCAACAATCCACTGGAATACGGTAAGAAGGTCCAAGAAGGAAAAGGAAGGCCAAGAAAGCTGACTGTCCGCGAGGAACGAAACGTTGCCAGGATTGCGTCTAACTCTCCGAAGAGTCTCAACGAAATCAAAGGAGAGTTGAAGCTCGGAGTCTGCAAGAAGACTGTCCACAACATCATCAAACGCAGCGGAGTCATCGTCTCCCAAAAGATGAAGAAGGCTGTAAAGATGACGGCAGACCACAAGGCCAGAAGACTCGAGTTCGTGAAACAAAACATGACTCGGAAATGGGAGAACGTAAGCTCATTCTTTTACATGCATTTTCAAATAAATGAGTTTCAGGTTCTCTTCTCGGACGAGAAAAAGTAGAACTTAGACGGCCCGGACGGCAATAGAAGTTACTGGAGAGACCTTCGAAAGGACCCTCTACTCTTCTCTCGAAGGAATCAAAAAAAAAAAAAAAAAAAAAAACCTCGAATTTGGCTTCTGGGGTTGTTTTTTATTTTGAATCGAATGGCATTCACAGAATTTTGATACCTCTCTTACTTTTTTCTGAAAAGTCAAAATCAAGGGGGGTCCTATCTTTATTACACGCACTGTATGTTATGCAAATCCTAACGTCCGAGATTAAAAACTAGGTTCAAATGTGACGTATCGTCTGAAAAAGAATCGAACTATGAAGTTGTGGGTATGGAAGTTGAGTGTTTCGGTGAGGAGGTAGTAAACGAGAGATCGAATTGGGAGAAAGAGATTGAGAGAATTGAAGAGAAAACAGGCAGCCGACACAATGAAAAGTTGCGCTTATTTACTTTGGTCATATGAATTCAGAGAGAAGAGGAAGGGATGAAATGACACGGAATCGCGAGGTGAGTCATTCGTGGAGAACGGTAGAAAAAATGACGAATTATGAGAAAGACACAAAAATAATTTTGGTTTTTCTTCTCTATCAGTGCAAAACGGAATGAAGAAGGATAAAAAAGAGCACTTGAGAATTGGTATCGTACAAGATCTTCTTACTGTAAAATCTTTTAAAAAACGGATTCCAATCTATCAATTTTCAAAAATGAGTGAATTGAGTTGGTTGAACAGGCTAGAGTAATAAGACCTCATTTTAAAACCATCTTTATAAATAGAAGGCCAAAACATCAACTTTGAGCTTAATTATCTCTTCCTGTCAAAGCTATCAAAAAATTGTCAACTGATAAAATGTTGGTGAAATTATGATTAATAATTTATCAGTTGACAAGTTTTTGATATCTTTCACAAGAATCGAGATAACTGTTAGTGAGCTCAAAACTGACAGTTTGGGCAAGCTTCTATTTGAGGAAATACGGTTTCTGGATGATCTACCGTAACACTTGAGAAGAATCTCAACTACAAGAACCATCACAATAGAATTCATCTTCTGATATGAATAAGTCAAGAGCCGGGAACCATATATTTCAAAACCTAACAACAAATTTCGTAATCCACATTTGGCTCTGTTGCCGAGCAACGGGAAAATAATTTGTCGTTGTTGTTAATCAAGTGGAAAATATGAAAAATATGTAGGCCAGAAAAACAAGGAATGTACCCGGTAACCGACAAAACTGAACATATTTCGATGTAACGAACGAGGAAAAATAGAGAAACAGATGGAAACGCCTTTTTTCCATCTCTGTGTCGTCTTGTTTTTTAAACTGTGTTTTTTCTGTATCAAAGAGAAAAAAGAAAACAGGTTGAGAAGAAGAAGAAGGATGAGTCAGAGAGTGAAAACCATAGCAATGACTTCGCCACGTCATCATAGATTGGGAAATTTTTCAAGGAAAGCATTCTGATACAAACGGGAACTAGAGCTAATTTCCGGAAAACGGACGAAGAACAAAAATCCGAATTTTCTATTTTTTTTGAAGAATTCGAGTTTTCTAATTGATATGATATCTGAAACATAAATATCGAACATCTTAGCTCTCTCCCTTGAATCAAAAGAAAACTAGGTTTTTTTGAAAATAAAAATGAAGAGTGGGGCAGGCAGGTGACGAAGGAAAGCGCACAACTATGAGATGGAAAAATATGGGCTGTATAGAAGGAAATTGGGTATTTCGCAATATTCTATTCTCAGGTATTGGATTTCATTATTCCTACTTATGAGTCACGGGTTAAAGACTCGGAGAGAGTTCAATGAAAAAAAATTGGGAGAGTGGGTAGAGCTGAGAATCAGCTGATCTTATTTGAAAATTTATGAATACAAAATAGGGTGTTCTGGAAGAATATGTAGAGTTTTGGAGAAGGCTGAGAAACGAACCTTCTTAAGAATAACTTCAAGGTTAGATGAAACAAAGAAAGTTACCGTAAAACCTGTGAAAGAAGGGCACTCTCATGTTTGAGTTATTTTATCTTGGCTCCTAAGGTATCAGAAATGTGTTAACTAATAGTGTTTATGATATTATGATAAACAATTTGTCAGTTGACCATTTATTCAGATCTTTGACAGGAAGCGAGATTAATTGGCTCAAAATTGAAAGTTGGGCGGCCCTTCTATTACAACTTTACGGTATGTAGATTTATGGTTCAAAATATAGAAAGGGCGAATATAAGAATTATATTATTTTAGGTGTTCGGACCCAAGGAAAGCTGTGAAAAAATCAATAAATTTCTAGGACTTTTGAATTCCACAAAATCAAGCTTTGTCTGAAAGGAAAAACACAGATCTATCTATGAAACCATGTTTCTTCACTCTAACAAATTTTTAAAAAGGTTCCCATAGACTCTGAGCCATAGCGAAAGAAAATGTTCGAGAAATCAAACAGATGAAGAATTATTTGTAAGGAATCTTTGAAACCTCTTGAGAAGTGTCAAATCTACAAAGTTTCTTCCCGCTCGTCGAAGTCTCGAAAATGGGGGGGGGATTGTGGTAAACAGCGGTAAAACGGCCAATGAGAAAAAGAGTCAACTGCGGTAGACTTTGATGCTCAGTGTGCAAATAAAAATTTCAGAGAAGAGTACAAATAGTGGACGCAGACATTTGGGATCATGGAAACAGGTCTGAATTTTTTTGTCTCAAAAATAGATATGAGTTATAAATAATATTTCTCAAATAGTAATCATCGATTATAAAGTGAAAGTTTAGATTAGTGGCTTGAATTCTTCCAACACCTCACAACATACACAATGTTGGATCGCCACGTGTTCAGACTAATTTCCATCCTGAAATCCGAAAAATGGGCTGATATCAATTTAATCTTAAAATTTGGTTGTGGCTGAAGAAGATCGAGCTTCATTACCATAAGAAGGAACTATGAGAGCCTTGGTCTTCCTATCAACCCTTCTCGGGCTCTCCTATTCTGTGATTTCGAATAGAAACTCCCGGAGACTTTGTTTTTATGGATGGACTCAATTCGAACAGGATTGCTATAAAGTGAGTTTGAACTTTATTGGGAGTAGATGTTTTATGTTAAATATCAATTAATGTAAATTGAATATTCCAGGCCTACAAAATGAGAGCTCAATTCATGGAGGCTGAAAATAAATGCAATGAAGTAGGGGCTCATCTGACATCAATACATTCTGTAGAAGAAAATGATTTTTTGAGAGGTAAGGTAGATAAAATGGCTTGAACATCGAAAATCAACAATCAACCTATTAGTAACTTTTATTTTTTAGAATTTACTAGAACTGGGAACGTTCAAGAGAACAAGTGGGATAACAATGTTTGTTTTGTTCTCTGAAAAGAGGGATTTCTAATTTTTTTATATAGGTGTGGATTGGATTTTTCTTTGAGAAGCAATCTGGAACTTGGAAATGGCTCGACGGTTCTCCTACCGACTATACGAATTGGGCAACTGGAGAACCAAATTTCATGGAATATGATAGCGAAGGCCAGGCATCGGTAGAATTATGACATTTCAATTGGTTCCAGATCTAACGAGTTTCAGATGATGCCAGATTCTTCGTTCAACGAAAAAAATAATTGGTATAACCCGGATGGTGGAGAGTGGAACAACCTTCATGATATGCCTCTCCGTGGATTTATTTGCAAGCAAAAGAAGTCCAGCATACATATTTTAATTTAATAATAAATGTATTAATGATTTATTATTTAAGTTATTGTTTGTTTTTTCCCAATAATTTTAGGATTACCGAAATTTTGAACTTTTTGGGTTCCGAAAGTTCCGCATTTTATAAAATTTCAAACATTCAAATTTCAGGATTTCTGAAATTCCGAATTTCTTGAAAAGAAGAGACACGAGTTAAACTTTTACGAATTCCTAATGTTTCGAATTTGCTAAATTTGCTAATTTTGAATGTTCGAACTTCAGTATCTCCGCATTTCCGGAGCACACCAAATCTTCCAAGTTTACCGAATGTCTGATTTTCATGCTGACAAAATTGTTTAAATTGAAATCCAGAATACTTGAATTTAGAAATACAAAAACCAGATTAGGCCAAAATTAGCAGTATGCAAGGTCGTGGTCCACAACATGTTGCCAATAGGGTTGTTGCTGGCCGCCAAGCTATGGGCCTTTCAATTTCACGTGATTTACATTAAAAGCCAGCGAAATATTTAAGCAGTCAATATTTGCCTGTTTAAAGTTTAAACCGGCGTCAAACGCCGCTTTCTTTTTGAGAATAGAATTTACCTTTTGATTCACTAATAGCCCCTCAATGTAGCTTCAATCTTAAATATCCCAGTTCTTATGAAAGATAGCAGAAAACGGTCAACTAATAAAATGCTCCAAATGTCAAAAAAACATTTTGGCAGTTGACAGTTTTGTCATATGTTTCACAAAGAAATCAGATAACTGAGGTTAAAGGGAAAGAATGGGAATTATAAAATGTTGGAACGAATTTGGTATTTGAGAAGTTACCACTAGTCTTCCATTAATATGTGATTGTGATTATGTCTGGATCGAGGTTTAGTTCAAAAGTATTTTTTTAGGCTTTTAGAATTTAAAGTTGTAAACATCGATTTTCGGGACTTCAGAATTCAGGTTTCAAAAAACTCCGAAATTTAGTGATCTTGACATTTTAAATTTCAAAAATTTAGGAATCAAAACATTTTTGATCGGTCGAAAATGTAAAGCATGACAGTACAGAAACTCCAACAATAGTTTTTGAAAAACGAGGAATATACTGAAATTTCAGGAAACTCAAAAATTCTTGAATACTGAAAATTCGAAGTTCGGAAATTTTCAGGAAAGTGTAGTTTCATGAAATCGATAAATTTTCAAAATCACACAAACCATAGACTTTTTAAAATTCAGACTTTCTGAAATTTCGGAAAACATTTTTCAAAAGCTGCAGACACCAGATTTTCAGAATTTCAAACAGAATTCCAGAAGTAATAAAATATTTCGAAGGACTAAAAATATCAATTTCATTCCATTCGACTGTTTCGGGTCGATCATCTGTTTTTTTTCTTTTTGAATCTTTTCTCTATGAAGTATTTTCTATTGAAAAGTACATCTTTTAAAAACCCGGCGTTTAATGCCTGTGAAAAATCTTGCTGGCGATTCACGCTGCTTTAAAAACTGGCACTGGCGGTCAGTGCAAAAATTAAAAGCGGCGTGTGGCGCCAGAAAACGTCGTTTTTTCCAAAAACAACTAGCTTTTTTGCCTAAAAAACAAAGCTGGCGCCAACTGACCGGGCCTTCCGGGCCAGAACGGGCAGGGCCTTGACAAATTTTTTGAAGGCCAGGCCCGGCCCGGCCCGCTGTAAGTATTTTTTGGGCAAGCCTACATTTAGATAACTTGTGGATACCATACCTCCAAAATCTAGCTAGCGGCGAATCAGAATATCCATTTTCCAGTTTTTTTTTCCCATAAATGGTGCAAAATTCGTCACCATCCGTCACCATTCGTCAGATGGCGTCGTACATCTTCGAATAACCAATAATCTGATAGAGCCAAGTTGGGACTATAAGTAGGTGAGGGAGAACCGTCCCGTTGAAGCGGCTCAAGTCTGACTTGACTTCTGTAAAAAAAAAAGCAAAACCTCATGTTGCACGGAAAGTCACGCCGTACCTGCGCCGCTTTGGCTGGGCCCCTTTCTCCTTTACCCCCGTGAAAGTCCTGATTTTGTTCTATCAGATTATTGGTTATTTAGAGATAGAAAACGCCATCTGGAGCGTTCGGACTTTGACAAAATCGATGAGAAAAAAAATGTACCAAAGTAATAGTTTGATTCACAGCCGGCTGGCGTTTGGAGGGATGGTATCCACAAGTTACCAAAATGTTGACAACATGTTGTGGACCACGACGGTACATACTGTCAATCTTGGTTTAATCTTATTTTTGTTTTATTTACTAATTAAAAAATGGACAGTTACTTTCCTTCCAACCTAATAGAATTATCAAATTTGCACAGACTTCAGTCTTTAATCACATTGGAAATATAATGTCAAAGACCTAAAAACGCCGAAAAAAACCAGAAAAAATGAAATAAGTTGAAGTTTCTGAAAATCCGGATAAGAATACGTAGTAACAAATAGAGTGGATGGTCCAAAAACTCTCCGGAGGAACGACAGACATGATGGTTTTTGAAAAACCGTTTATAAAAAGTTTGATTTTGTGAACTATTTATTTCCGGTCAAACTGATGATTCTGTTGGTTTTGAAATTAAAAGAAGTTCATCGAGAGCTGGTTTCAAGAAAATAGCCAAGGAATCTGCAATCAAGCATTCTGCCTTTGACCATTCATCCAATTGAGACATTTTGTAGAATCGAAACTGCTGAATATTTCAATTGAAAAGTTTTATAATAAATTTTCAGTAAAACCTCTTTCTTAGCTTCTGGATTCATAAATCTGTGTAACCGGATAAAATATTCCCACTGTTTTTCTGCTTCTTCCGCTGAAACAATACATTTTAGACCAAGAAAAAACACTAAAATAACTTACGAGAAATGTCAAAAGTGTGTCCAAAATGTGCCCAAATTTCGTTAAGATGTGTCCGTGGGATCTCGAATTCCCGATTTTTCCAGATGGCAGGAGTCAAACGAATCTGTTCAATAAACTCTTCCATCCTTTGTGGATCCAACATTTTATCTCTCGAAAATTCTGGAAAATCTGAAAATATTGATTCGTTTATAACAAAAATACAAAGAAAACGGAAAAATAGTTATCAAAAGTGTGGGAAAGTGTAGTGTCTCTCTTATGGAATTCTTCAAGAGTTTTTCGTCTATTCGTTTTGGATGAAGGAGTGGAAAAAGGAGTGTCCTAACCCTTCTTCCAAACACATGCATGCGCAAAAAAAGTAAAAAGTTTCAGGCCCTAAAAAAGCAAACACTAGAAAAAGCTTGAACTTGTCTCGGCAGCTGGAGACCCATGTTTGTTTGTATTATATTTGTTCTCACATCATATCGCGTTTCGTTTTTGCGCACAAGTTGTCTTCTAAATTGTATAATGCTTGAATAGAATAGGGTACCAGCAACTGATACGGATTTAGGTGGAATTTAGTATATGTTCTCGGAAGAAATGTTCAGTTCTCGGAGGAATTGAAAGTATGAGACCGTAAAACCTGTAATGCAAGAAACACCTAACTCTTAACTTCAGCAAATTTTTCTTGACCAAAAGTGGTCAATTGTTTATTATTGTATCAAGTGCTTTGTCCGCTGACGGTGGGTTTGAAGAAGTTCATAGAACCCTAAATTCGTCGAATCGGGAACTACTGTTCGTTATGAAGGTTTTCGAAATTATCTCATTTTGCTCTGTCAACAAGCTGTCAAAAAAATATAACCTGGACCAAGCAGCTCTCAAAAAACGTCCTGTGCTTGTCGACGAGAACCATTGAAAGCTGATGCCTTTTTGTGAACTTGGTTGTTTATTCTTAAAAGTGGGGAAATATTGGCTACCATATTTTCACTGATATTAGGTTGGCGGGAAAGTCTTTGTCACTCTGTTTGTTTAATCACTGTTCTCGTATATGGAGGCTGTGTATGATATCGACTCTAGTGAATAACAAGGTGATAAGAACCTTCCATATAAACAAGTCCCCATTTCCTTCCCTGCTCCTCATCTGTAATTGAAACGATATGTTTGTTCCCACTGCTATTCACATCAGACATGTTTTGATTTACCTCTTCCTAGCTCACACCACGATGAAGGATTCGGAAACTTTCTTGAAGAATGTGTACAACACACATGCCCCTCACTACAATACTATTCGCAATTGGTTCCATCGTTTCGAAAAAGATGACTTCTCGCTCGATGAAAAGGGTCGCTCTGGGAGACCCCGTGAGTTGGATTTGGACAAGCTGAAGCACGCATTGCAATCGGATCCATTTCAATCTAGCCGTGAACTAGCTGTCACATTCGGAGTTCACCATAGCACAGTCCTTGAAGGTTTGAAGTCTCTTGGAATGAGAAAACTTTTTGGTCGATTCATACCTCATCACCTGACTCAAGCCAACCTTGACCGCCGAGTCGACGATTCGATTACTCTTCTCACTCTCCACGCGGGCGATCGATGGCTGGACCGGCTAATAACCGGAGATGAGAAGTGGGTCTTCTACGATAATCACCACAGGAAATCCCAGTGGGTTGGAGAAGGAGAGAGCCCACAGGATGTCCCCAAACCCGACCTTCATCCGAAAAAAGTTATGCTCTCTGTGTGGTGGGGAGTGGACGGCCCCATCTACTGGGAACTTCTGCCCGAGGGCAAAACAATAACTGGAGACCTCTACACTACTCAACTACGAAACCTCAAGAAAGCAGTCGACCGTTCGGCCCTGAAAGACAAGAAAGTGTACTATCAACATGATAACGCTCGCCCACATGTTTCGAAACAAGTGAAGCAGGAGCTGAGGGGATATGGATGGAATGTTCTCCCTCACCCCCCGTATTCTCCTGATCTTGCTCCTTCCGACTATTGGTTATTTGGCGATATGACACGTGCCTTCGAAGGAAGAAGCTTCAATTCCCGTGGAGCGGTCGAAGCGGCACTCAAACAATACTTTGCCTCACGCCCGGCTGGATTCTACCGCAATGGAATCCATAAATTGAGGGAACGTTGGAGACATGTTGTTGATAATGATGGACAATATAATTAATTATTCGGTTATTTTTTCTTTGAGAAATAAACTATTGAAAAAGTGACAAAGACTTTCCCGCCAACCCTAATAAGGAAAGAAGATTCTATTTTTCTATTAATACTTCATTTTTAAAAGAAAACTCGAATTCTCTATAAATGGTAAAAAAACCAATTAAAAAATTCTTTAACCTCGTTGGAACGACAAATTGTGCCGGTTTATGAACTTCTGGAGCCATCCTGAGCTTGCCTGCAAAGTTCTATCTTTTTTCATTTGAAAGGAGTATAAATCTTACTTTGAATGAAGGCTGTTTTGAAAGAAAGCCTGCCTGAATTTTGATCGTTTTTCTCGAAATCGTCACCTTATTCTTTTGCTGATGATCCACCCATTTCTTCAATTTTTCATCAAAACCGAGGTCGTTCAAATGTCGTCCTGCTCCACTGAAACGTAGTTTTTCCGAGTTTCCCGATTCAATTTCTTCTTGAATTTTTTCCACGTCATGTATCCATCTTCTCACACATTTTCGATCAACACCGAACTTTTTTGCAGCACTGGAAACAGTACTTCTTCTTGAAAACTCGACGACTTTGGACTTGAATGCATTTGAATAGCTTAATCTTTGTTTTTTTGCAGGCTTCTCGTCATCGTACACATCAAAAACATACAATTTTTCATCGTCACTCATTTTCGGTTCTTAACTGGACAGGAATAAAGACGACAAGAGTAAACGAAAATTAAATACCAGAAAAGGTGAAAAGAAAGAGAAGTTGGCAATAACCAGGAAGACGAACTGGTTGGCTTCTATTAGAGAGTGGGGTTGTGTGGTTATAATACATTCTGGAATAGGGCTTCCGTTTGTCTGAAATTTTGACTAATAATCCGGCGATTTTGGTCGGTGGTCTTCTAATTTAGACCAACCGAAATGGAAACCATATTCTGAGCTGATGTTATAGCCCGAAGAATTAAATTCCAACTTTTGAGTACACACAAAATAAGGCTTTATTAATCCAAATAATAACTTTTTTATGATATCGGTATCAATGGTTGATATATGTTTCCTGGCATGATCGCTGATAAAACCGATTAGATCTTCTCCAAATTTATGGAGCTGCTGAGACCCGGATTGAGATCGACTTCCATCGGGGAGATTGTTTTACGGGAACCGCCGTCGATATTGTTGAATACATTCGTCTGAAAACTATTTTATTGCGAAGAATAGAATATTGAGGATGGCAAACCTTAGAATCGTTTCTTTGCAAAGAGTCATTGGACATAGCTATCTCAGATATTGTATCTAGCCGCTTCTAAAACATCTCATTATGAGAAATTTTATTTTCTATTATCTTACGTTTTTGGCAGCATCGTCGTCTCTGAATCGCTGTGCTAATCCAGCGGCTACACCAGTTCTTGAATTGTTGGTAGACCCAGATAGATTTGATCCTCTATTTATTCTATCTTCGTACTGAAAAATCACGGTTAGCTACACTGAATTGAGGTACCCTGAATTTCGTGACGAGCCTGTCCAATAGTTTCTTGACTTCGGGCTGATCCCTCTCTGTGAGATCTGACATCTGAACTGGACTTGGCCAAATCATTCACACTCAAACGGGTTCCTGGTTTTAGACTGGCCTGTACTGCTCCATTCTTGGCTTGTCTGTAAGAGAATATTAGAACAATGAAATGCCAAGAACACCTACCCTTGCTCGAAATTCTGTAATTGAACTGCCCTGTCATGTTTTTCTTCGGATGCTCGAATATGATCCTTACGACATCGGCACATCCAGATGCATACGCAACAAATCGATAGAAAAAGGCAGACAAAAACAATTACTAGTATTGAGATTAACTGAAAAAAAGAAAATGTTTTTATTTGGTAACTCAAATCTAATCCCACAGTAATCCAGATCCAAACATCCCTAAATAACTTGCCTCTTGTGAGAGCTCCATTCAAACTGGAGCTATCTGGATCAGAAATGTGAAAAAAAGAATCCAAATTGAAAAATATGAAGCAAACGAATTTGTAGTCGTCGTCGCCGTGTCGTCGTTGTCTTCGGTCACCGGATAAAGATAGATCATCACCGGGGGATAACGACCAAGTGAGAGAGTGTGGAAGGCGAAGAGACGCCGAGATTTAGAGCTCTGAAGTCAGAAGGATTTGAGAAGAAATATGAGTGAGGTGACAAGAAAAGATGGATTTTAGGATTTTGAGGTTTTAAGAGATTCGAAAACGTGCTCACTGGGGAAGGAGAATTTTGTACATGCCCGTTGTTTTCAACTAAAATAACAAGGGATCATCTTCCACATAGTCAGAAGAGAAATATCCGGAACATGGACCTTTTTTGGCATCGGAAATTTTCAAAATGGAGACATACTTATCGGCGGGCCGATTCCGGGCCTGTACGGGGCCGCTGATAACTAGCTTACAAATTTGAATCGTGAACAAAACAATATACCAAATGATAGAGCTTTTCAAGCTCTACAAACTCCAATAAAAATCAACTAGTGTTCACATCAGTAACGGGGCGCGGGCCGACATTTAATAGCCAGGCCGGGCAAAAACCGTCGGCTCGGACCATAACACCGCTTTGGAAGCCTGTAGATCTGGTGAGATGTTTTGCTCACAAGTTTAATTTTGAATCGAGTTATCAGTCGGCCCGGAATCGGCCCGTCGACAGCTAGTGAGGCTAAAAAAAGAGCCACAATAGAGCCACAATATAACTTCACCCATAACTGAATGAGGATACAATTTCCTACATTTTCAGCTGCTTTTGGTTCAAAGCATAGAAAAATTGTCTTCAAATAGAGTTTCATTCACAGCATCAAAGATTCGAAAAATTGCGAAAAATGTTTCTGGATATCAACATCAAAATATGAAACCTACAAACTCGACGAAACGCAGACGAGAATAGACAAAAGGCTTTTCTCTTATTCTCTCTTTTTCCGAAAATTGACTTGGAAGAGAGCACACTCAGCCCCTCGCTTTTTTGTGCTCGGAATATTCGAGACTTGAAGAGGAAATTTCTATGGAAACGGGCAAAGGGAAGCAGAGAGTTTTCGAGTTTTGTGAATAAAAAAAAGAGTAGAGAGCATGTGATTTCTCATTCAAGCCTCAATTAGCATTGATGTTTTTTTTTGTGATAAACTTTCGAACTGTGTTTGTGTGAAGAAAAACTTATGACGAATTCTTTAGATTCGCTCGAAAAAATTTTCAGAGGTTGACACAAGATACAAACAAAGTTAGTTAGAACACCTGGGTTCTGAAAAGTTATAAGTTCCCAGAGCCAATTCTGAATATCAGAAAGCATACACAAATCCAGTTAATCTCAGCACTAATCCTAATAGAACAAGAAGTATCCATACTAATCTGAATATGCCGTTTTCTCAATTGCGTACACCATAAGTAGGTCAATGTCTTCCTGTTCCCATTATTCTTTCTCTTCTCAAGAGAGCTGCTAACTCGAATACCGATTAACTGCTCCACCAGTGAAAACGAAACGACAGGAAATGACTTTCCGAGTGTACAGAAAAATGGAGAACGAAAAAGAGCATGACTCAAGGTGGAGGAAGGTTTTCTAGATTTCAAGGCTCGAAAAATCGGTGGAGCAATTCAGAAAGTAGAACAACGGAAAACAAAGTCGGCATAATGAGACCAATAGGATCATGTTCTTTAAAGAACTGTATTTTGAACAAAGTGAACTCTTCCTAATGAATCATATTTTCTTGAATCAGGTATTGGAAACTACTGGTGTGATATCACAAGTCACTATGACAGGGAAATAGGGCAGTGTTCATAATAAATTAAGGAGCAAACTGACAGTAAGTAACTGTTGAATCATGAAAACTGTCAAAATAGAAAGAAATCCGGAACCGACACCAGGTGCCCTATAAACGAGGGATTGGGACTGACTTGACAGATGTTTAGCTACCAGCTGTCTCTCTCCATTCTTTTCTCCTTTTTTGAACGGTACCGAATGTCACTCAATTCATCAAACTTTCATTTCTCGGATCAAAAGAAGGGGGTATCAGAATATTTCACAGACGTTTCAATGAAGGAAAATGAGGAGAGAAATAAGAATAATGACCATGAGAATTTTGTGGGTGTTTTGAAACTATTACGACGCACAGCTTGAGAATACTGCAGCTGGTTTTTTTATTATTTCGGTTCCATTTTGCAGACCGACTGGACTGTTTTCGTAGAATTTTTGTATAGCATAAATCAGGAAAAAAGTAGAGAAAAAAGTCAGCTATTTCAAAGAATCAATTTTTTCAAATTGTTTCGAATAGATAGAGATGTGGGTCCATTGTTTGAACAGCTCAATTTTTAAAATAAAACTTTTCGAACATTCGCTAAGAATCGATTTATTTTAAATCCTGAAAAATAAATTGAGAACCAAACATTGACCGTATATAATGCGTTTATTGGTATCTATTACAGAAATCAACATACCGCAAACACTCTAATAGAACCCACCCAAAACGTCAGGCAAATAATTCGGAGGGTACAACAATTTTGGGGTCATTGGGGTACAAAGCAATTTAGGGGTACAAAACATAGAAAAAAAGTCTTAGTTTGCACCCCCGAATTGTGGATTTTGTACCCCTAAATCGGCTATATGACTAATTCTCTGTAAGAGATACCACAAAGTGCACGCTCTCCCACAGAACAATTCCGAACTGCAAATTAATTTTTGATCTACAGAAAAAAAGTTTGGCGCGATCACAAGTGCAGGTCTAGAACCATAATTTCAGAATTTTTTAGTGCACTATGTGAAGTTCCAAGATGGTTTAAATAATTCTTTAAAAAATAATTAGTGGTTATAGATTCATGAATGGTCGTTTTCCGGAAGAAAAAATGTCAAAAATGGTCATTTTGAAAGTTTTTTACAGAAAAAATCTATCTCCTCTTTCAGTTTTTGACATTTCTAGGAGTTTTATAGCTCAAAAAGCCGCAATTATTTTTTCTACATTTTCTATGTATGAATTTTTAATTTGTCTAAAAAAACTTTTTTTATAATCAAAAAATTGCACAAAATCGCCTTTTTGCGTTGTGTTTTGATTATAAAAAAAAGTTTTATCCAAATGGCATAACTCACTGCTTCTATACGGTTTTTTTTCGAAAGAAGAATAAAAATGTGAAAATGAGGAAAAAAACTACTCTACTTCAGGCACCTGTTCAAATGACTATAGGCACGTGGGTTCAAGCCAATGCGTCAGAAATCGCGCCCCAGTAAACGTGAGATTTTAGAAAAAATTCGCTGCTGAATTATGTGGCTGAGGATCAAACT